ATAGAAAAATACGGAGTGTCCTTACGGGTGCAACAGTCTATTAAAATTCACATTGACACTAGTGCTAAATGCCCATACTTTAAATTCTTTTAACAAATACTCAGAACTCTCACATGTATTTAAGCTACACAGAGAAAGGGCGATCAATATGTCATCTTTTATTTTATTTTTACAATTTTTCGTGGGTTGACCAGTGACTTTTCGAGAAATTCTCACCCAAAGACGACGACCCCCATTTTCCCCAAAGCGGAAAAGTAGCCATCTTGAAAAACGATCCCTCTACAACATGAAAAAAATAGCGCCACTTTCGAGCTCCATTGCATCCAAAATGCTCAGAATTGGAAGTCCCAAGTCTGGGCCAGAGGTTCATTGCCATATTTTTTTGCAATTCACCAATTTTATGGCTCTCAGAACTCTCTAATATAGAATATTTTGAGGGTATCACTTTTATTCATGAGCTCGGCGGACAAATATGTGGCCTATTTACATACGTGCACCCTTTAATTGCAGGCAACTTTCATATTTTAACACAAAAACACATTCAGGAGAAGCAGAATATCTCCAAAGTCAATATTTTGAGAAAAAAAATGAAAGAAAAATACTATTCGAGGTCAAAATTTGGCTCGCAAATAGTGACTTTTTTTTGCGCCTGCTAGATGTAGAGCGCCCCCAACGACAATTAATTGAGTTTCAGCTACTTTGAAGCTCAAAATGCCCCCCCCCCCCCACTTCAACTCGAAATTGCTGTAATCGGCTGATAGCCTACGACTCCCTTACGATTTGGGAGCAATATCCGTTACGGAAAAGCTCTTGTTGATACTGTTGATACTTTTGTCCCCCTCCCAATAGGCTCCACCCACTGCAAAAACATCGCCGCGCAAAGTGCAAGCGCGGCGGCCATCTTTAATTGTCAGTCTCTACAGGGTACAACCCTGCAAGAAAATTCTCATAGACACTAGAGCTAAATGCGCACACTTCAAAGTTCTTTTTAAAATACTCAGAACTCTCACAGGTATTCAAGCTGCACAGAAAGATCATGATCAATGTGTCATTTTTCATTTTCTTTTCATTTTTTTGGTGGGTTGACTATTGACTTTTTGAGATATTCTCACCCAAAGAAGACGACCCCTTTATTCCCCAAATCGGAAAAGTAGCCATCTTGAAAGACGATCCATTCACAACATGGCAAAATAGCGCCACTTCGAGCCCAATAGCGTCCAAAGTTCTCAGGATTGGAACCCCCAAGCCCGGGCCAGAGGTTCATTACCATATCTCTTCAATTCCCCACTTCTATGGCTCTCAAAACTCTCTAATATAGAATATTTTGACGGTATAACTTTTATTCATGAGCTCGGCGGCGGAATTTTTTTTGGCCTACTTACAGGCGTGCACCCTCATGGTCCGACCGTCTGTATCCTAGAACGAGCACATCAGCGGGCCATTCTGCGGTTCCACAGGTGCCGGCCCACTGACCCGTGACAGGTTCAAAGTTAATTTGTTGGGGGAAATCCCTCTCAAACTTGCGAAATCAAACAAAATCTCCCTCATGCTTTGTTATGTAAATCCTTTCACTCGGCCCATTCTCATTGTCACAACATTAAAAAAAATTTTTTTTGAGCACTTGTATGGCACAAACGATCCGTTCAGTTCCCCTTTGACGGTTGTGTATTTATGCACAGTTATCTTGCAGGTGTGTTTTTAAAGTATAAGTATATTTCGTTTTCGGATGATTCCATTTCCATCCAACTAGAAAACTCTTCAGCAACAAACTTGTAAGTACTTTTTGAACGAATTAACACTCTGGAATCAGCAAAAACATGGAAAAGAAGCCTCCCAGTCAAAGTGTCTAGAATTGCCGGAGCATGTGTGAACACTTTTATTGTAACATATGATATAATTCATTCTGATAAGCACCGTACCCCAAAAGGTCAGTTTTTTCAACGATGGTCGGCCGGCCATCGTTGAAAATTGATAAAAAAAATAAACTTTTCTTGAAAATGGCAGCACACCAGGTGCCATGATTTCACAGGATGATTGAGACTATTTTAACATCTACAAGTAAGGCATTTTGCAATAATTTAGCATTTAGTTTGTGATGTTTGCAAAACCTATTACCTATTACCTATTACAGGCAAATTGTGGACGGACAGACGGACATATTTTTAAAGTTATATGTATTACATGTATTTCTTTCCATGCCACGTAACATGCAATACAAAACTTAGATCGGTGCTATTTCAATACATCTTGATACAAGATGAATTTGGGTGCAACGTTGATTTCCATATAAAGGGGTATTTATACGGCCTGATATCCCCGAAAATGTCATGTTTTGCATTGTTTACTTATCCTATTTCAAAGGTCTCGTTGGCTTTAAAAAAAATCCATGAACAAAACATCTTGTTTCCTGTTATCTATCATAGCTCCTCTCTATTTTACATTGCTCTCTCAATTATTTGGGGTGTTTGTGTGTGTTTTTTATGGGGCGCTCGGGGGCTGGAACATTTCATGGGGGGAGGGCGTCATGTAGATCAATGATAATTTTTGTATAAACTCAAAATCTCAGTGGGGGGGGGGGGGGGGGCGACTTCCTTACCATATTACCCTAACCCAAGCCCTAACCCTAACCCATATGCTATAGATTTCAGGGAACATCGGTTTTGGGGAACATAGGTATTGGGGAACATCGGGTAGACCCCCTTTTATGCAACCTCGCGACATCAAATGGTGCCGCTCTAGAAGTTGTGACGTCATTATAGGTCAGATGTTTGGTTTTTTCTTATACAACATCGGGTCACCAAAGACACGATAGAAGACGACCGCTGAATGGTCAGAATCTGGAGGTTAAGATTCAGTGTTGTTTTGCATAATCTACATGAATAATCATAGACGCTTTGCCGTGCAAGCGTATACATGGTGAGTCAAAAAGAAAGTGACCCAGATTAATTACTTTTTTCCTTAAAAAGCAATTTAATACACAATGAGGTATGTCTTGAAAAGAGCAAGGTAATTCCACTCATCTATAATATATGCATTTGAAACAAACAATCTACCCAAAACTATTCGTTATTAATTTAACAAAATTTTGGATATTCATTCTCACAATACAAGGTCAGCCTCTAACCTTCATCTCCATAAAGCTAGAACATCTCTTTATTTATCGACTGTCAGAAACCAAGGACCTCTGTTGTGGAACCACCTCAAACCAATGCCTATCTTTAGATCAATGAAGCACTTCAAAAACTACCTGAAAAAGTTGCTGTTGACAAAATTATTATACTGATAATTAAGTATCCCAATAAATACTCAATTTAATTGTCATCTCACGGATTGTTGAAATAATGTAATATAGCTCTATGGATATTATTATTAAAATAGACATAACTTGAAAATGAATGACGTACGTGAAACTGTTCACAAGTGCTAGTCAATAACATGTACTTTAAGCCTATATCATTTTTGTTTTTAAATGAAGTGAGCCACTTTGTGTATTTTCTTTTGGTCTAATTCGAACACATTCTTTTTAACACGCCCTGTCGCCCATAATTTCCATACAATGGTTTATGCCAACTACCAGAAAATCTAATATTTTATTATTTTTGGCAAGGAATTCACCGATCGTAAAAGGATAAACGCATGTAGTGGCGTAGCCGGGGGTTAGGTTTTTTATCTCCCCCAATATTTTAAAAGGCTACTTTTTTTTTATTCAAGTGCCCTTTCTTCGGAGTGCCATTTTTTGTACCCCCCCCAATATTTTTAAAGATTGCCCTTTCTTTTAAATAAGTCCCCCCTCCCCTTTTCAAACAAGTGCCCTTTTTACAAAAATGAGTGCCTTTATTTTATACATGTAGCAGCCTCTGAGGCATCCCACATTGCTTCGGCCGAGAAGAATCGCCGTCGCTGTCATGCTCCCCCTCCACTGGCCCAGCAGGCCCCTGCTGATCCCAAACTTGTGTGTGACAGGTGGGTGTGTCTGCCGTGCCCGCATCAGAAAGCCTGTCTACGGCAATGAGGACACCATGGCCGTCGATGAATGACTGGCTGCAATGATGCTTACTATTTTACCGTTTGGCAACATTTTGTGTATAAAAGAATCGTTCCTTTTTTGTTTTCCAGGTAGGTCAATTCTACCGAGTCTAGAAAAGCTGAATGATGGGACGTCGTGGGGTATCTGTTTGTAATCTCCTTTGCCGACCTTCGGTCTTGCTTCTGATTTTGCTTCCAATATTCCTGACTGAAGGTTTTAATGTCGATGTCAACTCTCCGGGAGAGAAAAAGGCGGCTAGTCCAATCTTGACCGACGCAGATGTTAGTGAGGTGGGTCACAACGAAGCAGCTCAACGAGGGAATACCGAAGGAAGATTTGAGGATCAAGGGAGAGGAACACGTTCAAGCAACCGAGATCGACGGAGTGAACACGTAGATGGGGGACAGCGTTTCAAGAAAGACGATGATGAGAATTCCGGAAGACGTGGTGGTCAATGTAATGGTTTCTGCATAGCGACGATCATCCTAGCAGTTGTAGTTGCACTACTAGTGCTGACTATTTTTTGTCTGATCGGCTTCACGAGGTAACTACAAATATAGTAAAATACTCTGAGTTCCGTAAACTCTTATATCATTACATTCAGAAACAAGTTGTCAACCTGAGACAAACATAATGATTAAAACTTTATATTTTGTATACTTTTATGTATCTTGTCTTTATCTTTAACAGGGGATCTTGCCACGTGCACATGTTTGAGGGAGAGCAACGCCATCGGCATGGAGAACACCAACGGCATGGAGAGCCATCTGTGCCCTCTGTTAGTTATACATTGCACAGAGGAGCCACCATAGAATGTGGTGACTGTCGTAAAGGAGCTGAGATGGACAGTTCTAATTCCAGCGCAGGTAACTCCGAGAAAGGCGTCAAAACAGTCTCTCTTCCTTTAGTAGAGGACTTGGACTCCACCAATTCTATCCAGGTCCTCGGCGGAAAAGATCCATTCTGGCTGGTTATGATCGGCCAGTTTGGTCCAGAGGGAGGTATCCTGTCCTGCGAAGACTCTGATGTCATCGTAGAGATTCCCTCGGGTGCTATTCCTCCTGATCGCCGAGACCAGCTCATTATAGCAAGGATTTCTTTGTGCCCAGACTCCATCGGACCCAAGCTGACAGATCCCAACTCCTTGTGGCTCAGTCCCCTCGTCGACCTCAAATCTCCTGGTCTGGACAGATTTGATAAAGATGTCAAGATAAAGCTTCCGCATCGAGCTCGAGTGCAGCCCGGCTGGACCTTCAGTGTACATACTGATCCCACCGCTGATACCAAGTGCAACTGGCAGACCGATACCACTCCTGTAACCGTTAACCAAGTTCCTTCGTCTTCCACGTTCCTTCCCGGTAAAGACACCGATAACCTGGCAATGTGGAATTGTGTGGAGCAGAAATGGCATTTTCGCACGGAAGAAAAGGTTTCAAACGATGTGACCAGGCTAACTTTTTCGGTCGATGAGAAATATTTCATTATCTCAACATCTCACTTCTCCCAGTATGTCTGCTCAGGGTGCAGTAAAACACATCCTCTAAACCTGGAAGCTGTTGGTTATTGGCATCACTACAAGGTCGAAGGTCTCGATCAGATGGATCTCAATATCTACATCATTGATACAATTAAGGTATGTTTTTGTGCAATGTTTTGAATTGAATAATGAAAATGGCGTTTGCTCAGGTTTTGTGGTCACTGTATTTTCTCAATTCCTTAAACCAAAGGGATTATCAAACTAAAAATTAGTTTTCATGAGAGTCAACCTCAGTCAAGTGTAGTGTCCGAGGGTTGTTAAGGTTTTCAATTTTGAACTTTTAGACAATTTTACAAGCCAATTATTGCAAGTATCTTCTTTCCTAAGAAAGGTTCGTATGGAGATTTTCACCAATAGAATTAATATTCAAGACTTCTATAAAGTAATTACCTGTTGTGTTCTTGTGTTGTTCACGAATAGGATACCCGGAAAGCCAGCGTTGAAAGCAACGAGAGATCAAGCAAACAGCCAGGCGCCCAAAGCGGCATGACAGCATACTCCTCACTCAGCCTGGAATACACGTCTGGTGAGGCTTCGTCGCTAGTGATCTTTGTTGACGAGGAGTGCATGGATGACGACTGGAAATGGAGTCTAAAATCTTACAATGGTAGACTCCCGGCTAAGCGAGTGAGAAGAAACAAAATAGATGATTCACTTAATTGGCCATTTCAATTATCGAAGAAATGAAGATACCGATTGACCTTTTTGCTAGTCACAAGTGGGCACTGGGAAGGCCCATAAGTGTCCTCTCGGTGCCTATCTGACTGATTGACCGTCCGACCGACGGCCCCACCCGGCCACTCTCACGGGTACAAGTATAGGGTATCAAGTGATTTACAAATAACCCACCCACCAACCCACCCATTTTCACGTTTACGTTACATACCTAGTGTGGACATTCCTTTGTATTCGTGTAGTTAAGAAAAAACCTTTGAAAAAACTCGTTTTACTCACACTGTGAAAACTCTTTCAACCCAAACGTTTTACTATGATTCCCTTGAGTGCTTCTCTTCATTTTGCGACGGATAAACCTAGCCCAAATCTAAACCTGTTTTCCAGAGAGGAGGAAATTTTGTGTGGACGTGGGCAAGTCCACACAACGTATCTGAAAACAGGTTTATGAGGACAACGTATCTGAAAACTGGCTTATGTGGACATCTTTTGTCCGGTCCACACAGTGAATGTAATGCTTGTATACCCAATCAAGGGCACCCCATCTCACCCAATACCAACCTACTCACCTACTCACCCACTCACCCTTCATCCTTCCTGCCCACAGGAGATGTTAGTTGAATCAGTCATTCGTGGTTGCTGTTCATCCCACATGTCTACTCGACAGATGTTCACCTTCGTTCCGAGGGACCCTTCCGAGCATGAGCAACTCTGCTTTTTCCAAGCGATGATCGGCATCAAGCAGCTTACCTTACAAAAGGTGGTCATGAAACTGCCAATTCTTGTGACTGCTCTCCTTACTAAGGTAAGATGCAGAGAGTTAGTTACAAGTAAATCGCAAATCATTAAGTCTCAAGTCAAGTCACATGCTATTCAAATAGTGACAAAGACAGTCCTGTGCCATTGCTCAATAAAATTATGTTTACGGTTTTATCGACTGTTGAAGTCAATAAATACTATTTGAAAAGCTGTGAAAGAAAACTCACAATGTTTTTATTTATTTATTATTATTATTTTTTTTACAGGGATGTAGGACCCCACCAGCAGACTGCAGTGAGGGTAGGTGTTACATCCACGTTGTCCCACTAATTTTCGTTTTTTTTAAATTATGCACTGGCTGTCCCTGTTATGTTCCAGCTTTACCCTGAAAAATAACTAATTTCGTTTTTTCTAGAACATGTAATTACAAAGACATTCCCTTTGAATGACCCTTGAACGAGAAAAATTGGTCTCATGTGGTGGATAATCAGCCTCTGTACTGATGACGTCCCACTTTGTTTACATGGGCACTTTCCTATGGAGCCAGTGGGGACCCACGGTACACTGAGCACCAAAGCACACACGTAAACAAAGTGTGACGTCATCAGTGCAGAGGCTTATTACATTAAACATTTGGAATCTGTTGCGGCCGGTCAGTGGTTCCGTAACCCTGTCAGCATAGGGGATCGGGATCAGTCCGCTCGTAAGGTGGTTTTGTTTGAGCAAATAAATAAACGCCTTGATTAGGAGGGGTGAAGACTTCCATTTTTGAACTTTGGCAAGAAGTAAACAATACATTGTTGTAAAACAGTATTTATATGTTTGAAGGGAACAAGTTGGAAAAAGATTATCATTAAAATGGTTCTATTCGTTGACTCTACAGGACTGTATCTAGAGTTCTCAGGAATGCTGATGACTAAATCTAATATTTAGACTTAAACTAACCGATTGCTGTTCCAAGTCAAATCCACTTGTCTGGAGTTGCTATTATCTCATTGTCTTATTGAAATGCATATGGTGCCAATGACATTTTTAATGTTGTTTTTGTAAGTACCCATCAGTGACGTACAAGTTAACTTCGTCGCCGAGCGACTGTCCTGCATCGAATGGCGCCCTCTCTACCGCAAACTGATAGGAATGGGCGCCGACATTGGCATCGAAGAGATCCGGCACAGACATCCCACCGACTCCCGAGAGCAGATCCACAGCGCCCTCGTCGGCTGGAGGAGGAGCAAAGGTCGTATGGCAACGGTCGAGAAACTCATCACAGCTCTTCAGCAATTGGAGCTTCGAGACATTGCTGATCAGCTGCAGTCGTTTTGCCCAGAGTCGCCAGAGTAAACAGACGATGTTCTCACATCCTCTGATGCATGTGTGGAAATGGAAACACATATGGTCCTCATCCAATCTGTCTTAACCGAATAGTCTCTTTGAGTATTCAAGAGAGAGTTCAATCGACACCCAGTCAACGTGATTTAATATGTAGGCCAACTCTGTAACGTCCCCAGTCAGGTTCATCAGGAATCTGAAGTAAGCTAATTGACTTAAATCCAGTCGAGAATGTCATTCATTACAAATCAAGTTCGTCTACGCTGTTGCCGAATGGTGGCATTCAGAGATCGAATTCGACTTAATCAATCAAAATTTAAAACTAATCTGAAGTAATTTAGTACGGTGTGTGCCTCAGCGTTTTCCCTGTTTTGACGAAGCGGGTGGAAATGTGCACTGACAGTTCTGCGCAGTCATTCGCTTGTATGATTTTATTGGACAGAGTATAGTACTGAACTTAAAGATCGCTTACCAAGAAAAGTGAACCTAGAATAAGTGAGAAAATGTAGCGTAATAGTCCTTGGGCTACGGGGGTCTTAGTTCACCCCAAGAACCCTCCGCCACCGATATTTTATAATCCTTGGCATGTCCCTAATAGGAAAAAAAGATGATAACAGTGAAAATAATAGTCTGGAACGTTAAATATGTGTACTCATTGCTTGAACGAAATTTGAAATTGTCAGACAAAAGACGAAATTAAACATCCGAAGTGCACTAAATCAATGTTGCTGTACGAATCTGAATATTAGAATAGGTACTTGAACGATGAACGTTTTAGAATAGCCGGAAACCTATATTTTGATTTTGATGGAATTGGGTCAAGTTGAGAACTCATTTTCCCTGTTTACAATGTACATTTGTTTATTTTTAATAGTTTGTTTGGTTGTTGGGAAGTTGGTTTTGAAGTATGGTTCGAAGTAAGTTTTCAGTAGTTAGATTTAAGCTGAAAAAAATACGCAAACTATGGTTTTTAGGGGCGAAAAAGAGAGGGTATACCTAAGGTATACTTAGTTTGACATGGGTTGCTTTAAAAAAAGAAGAACACGACTCTAATAGCATAACATGGTGACGGTGAAGTTATTTGTGAAGGCAGTTGCTAAAGAAATTGTAAATAAAAGAACATTTATAAATTGTTCAACGGTAGTTTAGTTCCATTACCATCTTTAAACCAAGTGTGCCTTTTTACACTAATTAAATTTTTTGGATATAGCTGCAAATGATGTAATGTGCCTATCAGTTGTAACTTGCACGTTGTTACGTCATTGTTGCAATTGCAACTTTTTACTGAGCCCACTGAAAGGGGTCGACCTATTGCTGGTCAACACCGCATGATTAGCCGCATGGCTCAGTGTTTACCAGTTTTGTATAAATATTGTACGGTGTATCTTTTTTATATTTTTATTTAATTAGTATTAACTTGGTTTATCTATTTTGATATATATTTTAGGTATACTGGGTTGCCAACAAATATTTTTGTCTAGTGATTTTTTTATAGAAGGCGCTAGGCCTATTTATATTAAATTCAAGTGTTGAATCAACATGGCAAATAATATGACAAGAGTATAAATGAATTTGCCTTTTGTAAATACTTGTTTTTTTCCTCCTGAACAGGTACTTATCCTTTTAATAATGCTATTTTAAACCTTTTTCAGCATCACACATATGTCAAAATATGAAAGAAATCGAACAATTAAATAACAATTGCACCGTGGGCTTACCGTTGTTTCAATATGAAGCACTGTTGGAAGAATAATTTCACGGGGAGTTTAGTTCAATACCATCTTTAAACCAAGTAGGCTTTTAACACTAATTTCATTATTTTTACGTTTTAGATATAGCTACAAAAAGTTGTAACATAACTTGCACGTTGTTACGTCATTGTTGCATTTACAACTATTACTGAGACCACAGAAAGTGGTCGACCTATTGCTGGTAAACACCGCATGATTATCCGCTCTCCAAATACCAAATCATTACGGTTCTGATAGCACAATGATCACAACAACCAAAATGACAGTGTTTTACGAGTTTTGTATATACAATGTATGGTGTATATGTTTATATTTCATTCAATTAGCATTAACTTGGTTCATCTATTTTGATACACATTTTGAGTATGCCGGTTTTTATACTAATTTTTGCTTTGTGATTTTTATGGAAGGCGTTATGTCAGTTTTAAGTTTTGTATTATTAAATTACATGTATTATTCTTATTATAACCACCGCATTTGGGAGACACCGTAGCGTCGCAAGTTATATCTTTGGAAGACATGGGACACTAGAATACATTTATTTGTCTTTCAAATGCCTCAACTCCTAATTAGAGGCAAAACTGTAATGTTTCAAACAGGCTAGATCGATTGCTGGTGGTACAAAACATAAATATTCCAAATTCGTGGGTGAAGGATAAGACAAAATTAAAAAAAAGAATGATAAAAAATCAGCTGAGCAAATTCAATTAAAAGACAAACCTTTAACGAAAGCAAGAATTAAATACTGCTAAACAGTATGTGTGGGTTTGCTTAAACAATGAAGAAAATATTGTGTCAAAATAATAGGAATATTACAGAAGTGAATCAATAATGAAGACGTTTTAAATAAAACAATTTGGAATTTGGTTTTGACATTTAGTTCAAAATACGTGTAAGTAAATAAAGAAAATACGCAAACCTTGGGCTTTCAATTGGAAAGGAGGAGGTAGGCCTAAGGGTACTTATAAAATAGTGCGATATGGGTTGATTTTCTAAAAATATAGAACACAGCTCTATAGTAATAGCATAACATAGTAGAAGTTCTTGGTGCATGCAGTTCCTAAAGAAAGTATAAATAAAGGTTTCTTTTTAGGATGAATTAGTTATATTGATGATCAAAAATTAATAGAGAGAGGTGTTTTAGAATCTTGCAGAATTTTCTTAATAAAATAAAGTTGCAAAACTGTTTTGGGAAAATGGTCTATACAATGTTGTGTATATACCGTCTGTACTTTATTCTTAGTATTATTACTCATGGTTTATTTTATTAAACCTTCTCGGTCAAAAGGCCGAATTGCAGTTTAATTTACAAACATTAAATCATTGTACAGGGCCAGGTTGACCCCAAAAACTCAACCCTAAAACATTTGCCTTTTTTCCACAAACTTGATCGGTGAATTTTTATATTTTGGATATCAGAGCTGAGAGCTTTTCCTTTCAAATACTGAAAAGATCATGAAAACAGCAAATGGGGTTACTGAGAAAATGCCAATATTAGGCAAAAGAAGTCATTTTTCATCCGTTCGAATGGAATTACCACAGTTAAGGGATTTACACTATACCTTTTTGTGCATGAAATGCATGTAACGCATTGTGTCCTAATATTTGCAAACAACACGGCAGGACATACAATTTTAGGTCAAATCTTAAGTTTTCCAACAATTTGAAATGTTGATAAAATATTTAACATCATAAAAAAAGAATATATATTTTAATTTTAATATATACATTTAATGGAAATAGACCCCCATCAAACAAATGAAATAGAATGACACACGAGATGTCCAACGAGATGTCCAATATCGAATATTCCCGCATCAATCTCATTGGTTTTAAAGGTGAAGTTGGAGACGGGAATTCTTTTTACGAGTAGTCACGACCCATCACATTTGACAAAAGATAAAAACTTCGTCCTGTACTGATAATAACATAAGATTAAATAACTTTGTTCAGTCATAAGTCAATGTTTCTTGTAATTTAGTTGCATTTTTCCCCTTCGAATGTCACTTCTGCTGCCTTTAACTCTGTTTTCGTACCCAATAGGTGTCTGTGTACATATTGCACATTCATATGAAATGATTGGTGAGGTATATACGACTAAAAGGAGGTTAAGGGAAAAAAATATCCATATTATCGGCTTATTATGATCGGTGGTAGACACGCCGTATATATGCTACGTTCTCCATATGCCTTAGCTAAACGTGTTGTTTGAACACATTTGGAAGCTCAAATTTAAGGGTGCAGACCAGAAAATAAACTCCCATATCTGGCACCCAAAATAACTAGCCCCTTTCATAAAATCAGGGGTGGGGGTTCTAAACTGTCTTAGGTGATCTACAGCACATTAAAATAAACTTATTTACTACCTCTCCCTTTTTGTTCGTTTTGGGGGTACAACCTATTTACAATTGGTGACTTTTCCCATCTAGGATGATATATACCATGACATCCCATCGCCTTTTTAAAGATATGATCCGTCTGTTTTCTAAAAAATATAGCGACATTCATTCGGGTCCGATTTCAACCCAAATTTCACAGAAATACAAATTAAAAATGGTTGTGGTTTTGGACCTTTAATTTCAACCAAAAATTATTTGCAGTGTTAACAAAAAAATAAGGTTTACAAGTCGTGTTTTGGTCGGCGTACATAATTTGCTAAATGCGCATAGGGCCTACCTCAAAATTCTTTTAAAAATACTCAGAACTCTCACAGGTATTCCAGCTGCACATGCAGAAAAATGATGATCAATGTGTCATCTTTCATTTTGTTTTCATTTTTTGGTGGATTGACCATTGACTTTTTTTAAAGATATTCTCACCCAAAAAAGACAACCTCTATTTTCCTCAAGGCGGAAAAGTAGCCTTCTTGAAAAACGATCCCTCCACAACATGGCAAAATAGCGCCACTTTCGAGCCCAATAGCATCCAAAATGCTCGGAATTGGAAGTCTCAAGTCTGGCCAGAGGTTCATTGCCATATTTTTTTCCAATTCCACAATTTTATGGCTCGAAGAACTCTCTAATATAGAATATTTTGAGGGTATAACTTTTATTCATGAGCTCGGTGGATGGGTTTAGGCCTATTCACAGGTGTGCAGCCTTACACGTTAATTTCCTTCAATATATTACATACGTTCTTTGGCGGTTCCTGTTAATTTTCAATAACTGTGTTTATATCTCGAACGGCCAGACGTACGTCGGATCAGCGCGGTGAGCAGTGTTTGTGTAGCACGCTCTCTTTGTAAGAAATAACTGTGTTGACATAACGATAAAATACGGAGTGTCCTTCATAATGAAATTTCCTTGAATTATATTACAAGGCATTCTTTGGCGGTTCCTGTCAAGTTTCTAGAGTTTCGTGTCAAATACCATGACAAAATATTACAGGAAATGTCATTGCAATACAATGTGTTTATCTTGAGTTCCCAATTTCACAATAACTGTGTTGACATGACGAGAAAATACGGAGTGTCCTTCATACTGCAATTTCCTTAAATTATATTACATTCATTCTTGGGCAGTTCCTGTCAAGTTTCTAGAATTTCGTGTCAAATACCATGACAAAATATTACAGGATTTCATTGCAATACAATGTGTTTATCTTGAGTTCCCAATTTTACAATAACTGTGTTGACATGACGAGAAAATACGGAGTGTCCTTACGGGTGCAGCAGTCTATTAAAATTCCCATAGACACTAGTGCTAAATGCCCATACTTCAAAATTCTTTAAAAAATACTTAGAACTCTGACATGTATTTAAGCTACACAGAGAAATGGCGATCAATATGTCATCTTTTATTTTATTTTCAATTTTTGGTGGGTTGACCATTGACTTTTCGAGAAATTCTCACCCAAAGAAAACGACCCCTTTTTTCCCAACTCGGAAAAGCAGCCATCTTGAAAGACGATCCCTCCACAACATGGCAAAATAGCGCCACTTTCGAGCCCAATAACGTCCAAAATGCTCAGGGCCAAGAGGTTCATTACCATATCTCTTCAATTCCCCAATTTTATCGCTCTCAAAACTCTGTAATATAGACTATTTTGAGGGTATAACTTTTGTCATGAGCTCGGCGGTGGACAAATTGTTGGCCTACTTACAGGCGTGCACCCTCATGGTCCAACAATCTGTATCCTAGAACGAGCACATTAGCGGGCCATTCTGCGGTTCCACAGGTGCCGGCGCCCGATAGGTACGGTAGGCCGGCCCACTGACCCGTGACAGGTTCAAAGTTAATTGTTAGGGGAAAACCCTTCTCCAACTTACGAAATCAAACAAAATCTCCCTCATGCTTTGTCATGTAAATCCTTTCACTCGGCCCATTCTCATTGTCACATCATTTTTTTTTTTAATATTTTTTTGACGGTTGTGTATTTATGCACAGTTATCGTGCAGGTGTGTTTTTAAAGTATAAGTATATTTCGTTTTCGGATGATTCCATTTCCATCCAACTAGAAAACTCTTCAGCAACAAACTTGTAAGTACTTTTTGAACGAATTAACACTCTGGAATCAGCAAAAACATGGAAAAGAAGCCTCCCAGTCAAAGTGTCTAGAATTGCCGGAGCATGTGTGAACACTTTTATTGTAACATATGATATAATTCATTCTGATAAGCACCGTACCCAAAAAGGTCAGTTTTTTCAACGATGGTCGGCCGGCCATCGTTGAAAATTGATTTTAAAAAATCAACTTTTCTTGAAAATGACAGCACACCAGGTGCCATGATTTCACAGGATGATTGAGACTATTTTAACATCTACAAGGCCTAAGTCATTTTACAATAATTTAGCATTTAGTTTGTGATGTTTGCAAAACCTATTACCTATTACCTATCACAGGCAAATTGTGGACGGACAGACGGACATATTTTTAAAGTTATATGTATTTCTTTTCATGCCACGTAACATGCAATACAAAACTTAGATCGGTGCTATTTCAATACATCTTGATACGAGATGAATTTGGGTGTAACGTTGATTTCCATATAAAGGGGTATAACTGCCTGATATCCCCGAAATGTCATGTTTTGCATTGTTAACTTATCCTATTTCAAAGGTCTAGTTGGCTTTAAAAATCCATGAACAAAACATCTTATTTCCTGTTATCTATCATAGCTCCTTCTCTCTATTTTACATCGCTCTTTTCATGCACAAGTCTTTTTTATGCATTTTTATGTTTTTATGCATTTTAAGTCTTAAACGGACTTGTTTGCCAAGTACATATTTATACTAGTATGCTTGCTATTTTACCAATGTTTGGCAATATTCTATTTTAGGTGTATTCTACAGAGTCTCGAAAAGCTGAATGATGGGACGTCGTGGGGTATCTGTTTGTAATCTCCTCGGACGACCCTCGGTCCTGCTTCTGATTTTGCTTCCAATATTCCTGGCTGAAGGTTTCAATGTCGATGTCAATTCCTTGGGAGAAGAAAGTGGGGCTAGTCCAATCTTGACCAACGCAGATGTTAGTGAGGCTGGTCACAACGAAGCAGCTCAACGAGGGAATACCGAAGGAAGAATTGAGGATAACGGGAGTGGCACACGTTCGAGTAGCCGAGATCGACACCCTGTCGATCACCCTGATCGACAGGGTGACGGGGGAGGTATCAAGGATCACGTGGAGTTTCACAAGACCGAAGCAGCTCAAGAAAACAGAGAGAATCTTGGCAAGGAGTTTTGCCGTCTACTCATGCATGATCGAGAGCTACTGGACTTTCTTTTGAACAACACGTACCACGGGCACATCTCAAACCTCTCCAGGCCACAGATCACCGTTCCCAATTGCGATGTTGGCGAGTATCCCTCCATCATCCGCTCAATAAGTGGTCTCGGTGGGAGCCGGATGCGTGAATTGAAATTTTATGTCAACCAACAGGGCGAGTACAGGTACGGTTGGTGAGATTTCTAGTTTCCTTGCATTTGAACTTCCTGCGTTACCCATTAAATTATGTTATTTTATTTTATTCGACGAATTAGATTGTTGGTAAAACATTTTTGTAGTTGCGAATAGTGCAGGGACCGGCTTAGTTCAGGGCTGTTTTGTGGCCCTTTATTAATATCATTTTTAGCTAATATCTCACAATAGGCCTACTTTCTTTTTCGTCCACTTCACAGATTCTATATCTGTAATGAAGAACGCGTTATCGAACGACACAAGAGGAGTCCCGAAGATCATAATGATGATAAAAAACAATGTCATCGTTGCAAGAAGAATCGGGCGCAAATGAATATCTTCATAGCAGTTGGAGTTGTATTAGTGCTGCTGAATATTCTTTGCCTGTCGATCTGCGTCTTTGTCATGAGGTAACTACTACAATCCTTTGTTCTGTAACTTCTCTCATGTCATAATATTCAGCAACAAGTTGCCAACCTTACGCAAACAAAATTATTAAAACCTGTTGTAGTCTGGATTTGTATTTTGTATCCTATCTTTATCTTTTCAAAGAAAGAGAAGGGGATCTCTGAGCGTGCACAGATTTGAGGAAGAGCAACGCAGGAGTGGCACTCCGTCGTCAAGACACCACCGGCATGGAGAACCATCCCTGCTCTCTATTAGTTATACATTGGATAGAGGAGCCACCACGGAATGTTCCGGCCATAGTCCAAGAAGAGCTGAGATGGGCAGTTCTAATGCTAGCCCGGTTAACTCCGAACAAGGCGTTCAAACAGTCTCTCTTCCTTTGGTGGAGGATTTGGACTCCACCGATTCTATCCAGGTCCTCCGCGGAAAAGATCCATTCTGGCTGGTTATGATCGGCCAGTTTGGTCCAGAGGGAGGCACCCTGTCCTGCGAGGATTCTGATGTCATCGTAGAGATTCCCCCGGACGCTATTCCTCCTGATCGCCGAGACCAGCTCATTATAGCAAGGATTTGTTTGTGCCCAGACTCCATCGGACCCAAGCTGACAGATCCCGACTCCTTGTGGCTCAGTCCCCTCGTCGACCTAGAATCTCCTGGTCTGCAAAGATTCGATAAAAATGTCCTCATCAAGATTCCGCACCGAGCTCGAGTGCAGCCCGGCTGGACCTTCAGTGTACATTACACTGATCCCACTGCTGACACCAAGAGCAACTGGCAGACCGATACCACTCGTGCAACCGTTGACCAACTTCCCGAGGCTGCCACGTTCCTTCCCAGTAAATACACCGACACCCAGGCAATGTGGAACTGTGTGGAGCAGAAATGGCATTCTCGCACGGAAGAAAAGGCTTCAAGCGATGTGACCAGGCTAACATTCTCTGTCGATGAGAAATACTTCAACATCTCCACATCTCACTTCTCCCACTATGTCTGCTCAGGGTGTAGCAAAACACATCCTCTAAACCTCGAATCCGTTGTGTATTGGCATCACTACAAGGTCGTAGGTCTCGATCAGATGGATCTCAATGTCTACATCATTGATATAATTAAGGTAAATGTCTACATCATTGATATAATTAAGGTATATTTTCGTATCAAATTTATTTTTGGATTGAATAATGAAACTGGCGTTTTGTCAGGTTTTGTGGTCGCTATATTCTCAAATCCATAACCAAAGGGATAATCAATAAATCAAAGTGTAGTGTCCAAGGGTTTGTTGAGGTTTTTGATTTCGAAGTTTCAAACAATTTAGCAAGCCAACTTTTTCAAATATCTTCTATCCTAAGAGCCGTTCGTATGGATGTTTTCACCAATGGAATAAATATTCAAGACTTCTAAGTAATTACCTGTTGTTTTCTTGTGTTGTGCACGAATAGGATACCCGCAAAGCCAGCGTTGAAAGCAACGAGGGATCAAGCAAACAGCCAGGCGCCCAAAGCGGCAGGACAGGATACTCTTCACTCAGCCTGGAATATACGTCTAGTGAGGCTTCGTCGCTAATCATCTTTGTTGACGAAGAGTGCATGGATGACGACTGGAAATGGAGTCTAAAATCTTACAATGGTAGACTCCCGGCTAAACGAGTGAGAAGAAACACAATGGACGATTTACTTAATTGTTGGCTATATGCCAATATTATCAAAGCAATGAAAATACCGATTGACCTTTTTGCTAGTCACAGTGGGCACTGCGCGGCCCCTCATGGCTAAATGGTGTAACTTTAATTTTGGCCTTTTTGAGATAAGGTCTTTTTTTTGGGGGGGGGGGTATTAAGGGCGCTGTTTCCATTAAACGAACCTTCAAGTCCACACAGCCTTCCGTTTCAAAGATAGCAGGGTGTATCTTGTGCAAAAATGTGCTTGTTTGATTCAGTTTCTTTGATAAAAGGGTGCATATCGAGATACAACCTGTTTGTGCTAGATGTGACCAGATGCGACAAGGCAAAAGGGCGTAACTATGAAAGATACACTTTTTTGCCATGTTATTAGGCACTTTGTGATACGCATCGTAGAAATGCAATTATAGTGCATTTGGATATGCTTTCTCAAGATACACCATTTGCCAAATTAATCCTTTTAATTATGTTTGTGATACTTCATGGTTAAAATGGTGTAACTGTTTTCAAATTGCCTCTATCCAAAACTCAGTAAAGACAAGAAGCTGAAATTTGTACTGTTTGTTTACAACATTATTCACAACCTGTGGTAGAAAAATTGATTTAATTGATCGTCAAATACAATAAATAGAAGGCATTGAAATTTCAAACTGACTTTTCTCGAAATGCGGTTTTTCAAGTTACACCCTTTTGCCTTGAGAGCGCCGTGCGAAGGTCCAGTGTCCTCTTGGTACCTATCTGACTGACTAACCATCCGACCGACGGACCCACTCACCCACTCGCCCTTCATCTTTGTTGCCCACAGGAGATGTCAGTCGAATCAGTCATTCGTGGCTGCTGTTCGTCCCACATGTCTACCCAACAGATGTTCACCTTCGTTTCAACGGACCCTTCTAAGCATGAGCAACTCAGCTTTTTCCAAGCGATGATTGGCATCAAACAGCTTAACTCACAAAAAGTGGTCGTGCAAATGCCAATTCTTGTGACTGTTCCCCTTACTAAGGTAAGATGCAGAGAGTTAGTTACAAGTCAATCACAAGTCATTCAGTCTCAAGTCACGTCACATGCTATTCAAATAATGACAAAGACATTCCGTTGGCATTGCTCATTAAAATGATATGTACGGTTTCATTAACGTTCTATTCAAATGAAGTTGCACCTAAAATTTTGAAAAAGATGTAAAAGAAAATTCCTGACGGTTTTTGTTTTATTTTACAGGGATGTGGAGCTGTAGGGGCTACTAACACCGATAACACCAGCAATGGGGGTATGTGGTATATCTACGTTGTCCCAGGAATTTTTGTTTATCATTAATGCACTAGCTGTCTGTGTTATTTGAGCTTTACCCCCGTGTGTTGTATAAAGTGAATGACAATTACAAACATTTCGAATCTTTTGCGGCCGGTCAGTGCAATGAAGACTGGTGCCTTATGACCCTGTCACCATTAGGTTCGGGATCAGTCTGCTTGTAAGGTAGATCCGTATGAGCCAAAAAAAAAACCGCCTTGATTCGGTGGGTTGAAGACTTCCATTGAGAAAGTTGAGAACTTTCGCAAGAAGTGAAACATAAATTGTTTAAAAACAGAATGAATATGTTTGAAGGGAAACAAGTTGGAAAAAAGTTATCAAACAACTGGGTTTGGTTCGTTGACTCTGCTCGACTGTATCTAGTTCTACTGCTGAGGACTAAATCCAGTCTTTACTCTTAAACCAACCGACTGCTGTTTAAAGTCAAGTACACTTCTCTGAAGATGTTTTCATCTTCATTGTCTTATTAGCATGTATATGGTGCCAATGGAATGTTTGAATTTGTTTTTGTAAGCACCCATCATCAGTGACGGCGAAATTGACTTCGTGGGCGAGCGACTGCCCTGCAGCAAATGGCCCCGTCTCTACCGCAAACTGATGGGAAAGGGCGCCGACATTGGCATCGAAGAGATCCAGCACAGAGATTTCACCGACTCCCGAGAGCAAATCCACAGCGCCCTCGTCGCCTGGAGGAGGAGCAAAGGTCGCATGGCAACGGTCGAGAAACTCAACACAGCTCTTCAGCAATTGGAGCTTCGAGACATTGCTGATCAGCTGCAGTCGTTTTGCCCACAGTCGCCAGAGTAAACAGACGATGTTCTCACATCCTCTGATGCATGTGTGGAAATGGAAACACATACGGTCCTCGTCCAATCTGTCTTAGCCGAGTAGTCTCTTTGAGTATTCAAGAGAGAGTTCAATCGACACCCAATCAACGTGATTTGAAATTGTAAATAAAACATTTATAAATTTTTCAACGGGAGTTTAGTTCAATTACCATCTTTAAACCAAGTGTGCCTTTTTACACTAATTTACTTTTTGGATATAGCTGCATATGATGTACTGTGCCTATAAGTTGTAACTTTCACGTTGTTACGTCATTGTTGCATTTGCAACTTTTTACTGAACCCACTGAAAGGGGTCGACCTATTGCTGGTCAACACCGCATGATTAGCCGTGTTTACCAGTTTTGAATATATATTGTACGGTTCATCTTTTTTATATTTGTATTTAATTAGTATTAACTTGGTTTATCTATTTTGATATATACTTTGGGTATACTGGGTTTTAAACAAATATTTTTGTCTAGTTATTTTTTATAGAAGGTGCTAGGCCTATATATATTGATTTCAAGTGTTGAATCAACATGGCAAATAATTATACGACAAGAGTACAAATGAATTTGCCTTTTGTAAATATTTGTTTTTTTCCTCCTGAACAGGTACTTATCCTTTTAATAATGCTATTTTAAACCTTTTTCAGCATCACACATATATCAAAATATGAAAGAAATCAAACAATTAAATAACAATTGCACCGTGGGCTTACCGTTGTTTCAATATGAAGCACTGTTGGAAGAATAATTTCACGGGGAGTTTAGTTCAATACCATCTTTAAACCAAGTAGGCTTTTTAACACTAATTTCATTATTTTTACGTTTTAGATATAGCTACAAAAAGTTGTAAAATAACTTGCATGTTGTTACGTAATTGTTGAAATTCCAACTTTTTACTGAGCCCACATAAAGGGGTCGACCTATTGCTGGTAAACACCGCATGATTAGCCTCCAAATTCTGCAATACGGCTCTGATAGCACAATGATCACAACGACCATTTAAGGGAAAACGACAGTGTTTTACTAATTTTGTATATACACGTACAGTGTATGGTGTATATGTATATATTTTCATTCAATTAGCAATAACTTGATTTATCTATTTTGATACATATTTTGGGTATGCTGGTTTTTATACTATTTTTTGCTTTGTTATTTTTATGGAAGGCGTTATATTAGTTTTAAGTTTTGTATTATTATATTGCATGTATCATTCTTATTATTACCACCGTAAATAGTACCATTTGGGAGACACCGAAGCGTCGCAAGTTATATCTTTGGAGACATGGGACACTAGGAAGACATTTCTATCTCTTTCAAATGCCTCAACTCCTAATTACAGGCAAAATGTTGCAAACAGGCTAGATCGATTTCTGGTGGTGCAAAACATAAATATTCGTGGGTGAAGGATAAGGTAAAGTTTAAACAAAAATGAAAAAAAATCAGCTGAGCAAATTCAATTAAAAGACAAACCTTTAACGAAAGCAAGAATCAAATACTGCTAAACAGTATGTGTGTATGCCTTAAACAATGAAGAAAATATTGTGTCAAAATGAAAAGGGATTTTACAGAAATGAATCATGAAGACGTTTTAAATAAAATAATTTGGAATTTGGTTTTGACATTTAGTCCAAAGTACGTTTAGGTAAAATACGCAAACCATGGGCTTTCAAGTGGAAAGGAGGAGGTAGGCCTAAGGGTACTTATAAAATAGTGCGATATGGGTTGATTTCTAAATTATGTAGAACACAACTCTGGTAATAGCATAACATAGAGACGGTGAATTTCTTGGTGACGGCAGTTGCTAAAGAAATTAAAAATAACGGTACCTTTCTAGGAAATAATAACAGAGAAATGTGTATTAAAGTATGAAGAGTTTTCTTAATAAAATAAAGTTGCAAATCTGTAGGGGACAATGTCTTTTTTTACAGTCTTAAATACACCATCTGCAAATTTACTGCAGTGTGGTATAAATCGTTACAGGATCAGTGCGCTCAAAGTGTTTTTTTGCACTCACAGGCTCACGGTTGCACACACACTTTTAAAGTCGCAGTGACAGAACTGGCATGGCTACATTTTTGTCCAATTTGATTTGTTGGTTGGTCGGTAATATCACGTCAGCGATTATATCCCGAATGTCCTTTGGCCTGGACTGCTTCATCGAGATACCGAACTGGCTTATTGAATTGCGGAAAGTTTAATTTACACTCTCTCAATTATCATTCCCATGTTTGAGAGGTAAAACATTTTATAGTTTAGTTGTTGGTTCATCCTATACTATAAAAAGCCCTAAAAGCCAATCGCCATTTTACAGCAAATGATTCCTCCACTCCCTGTAAAAAGTAGGGTTCCATACCATCCCAAATTTCACCGACATACAAGTGAAAAGACTTGCTCAGAGTTGGGACCTTTCTTTTCTACCAAAACTTAGGTGCAAGGACCATAGAACTCCACCCCCACTGTCTGAGCAGTTACAGACAGTCTAAAATCAGTTTTCTTGCCCTGCCATGCCTTATAGACAGGCTGGTCAACAACAGTCAAATAGCGGGCACTGTACTTCGCAGGTGCTGGCGATAGACGGTGACTAATTGTCGAAAGTTTGGCCCTCTCGCCCGTGGAAAATGTTTCAAACCAACAATTGCGGGGAATCCCCCTGCCCAGATTGCGACATCGTAAAATAATTGTTCCCATGCTTTGTCATATAAATCCTTTCACTCCGCCATTTTTCATTTTCAGCGATTTCATCCCGAATGGCTTTTGACCTGGACTGCTTCATCGAGATACCGAACTGGCTAATTGGGTTGCAGAAAGCTTAATTTACACTCTCTCAATTATCATTCCCATTTTTGAGAGGTAAAACATTTTACAATTTAGTGGTTGGTTCATCCTATACTATAAAGCCCTAAAAGCCCAAAAAGCCAATCTCCATTTTACAGCAAATGATTCCTTCACTCCCTGTAAAAAGTAGGGTTCCATATACCATCCCAAATTTTACCGAAATACAAGTGCAAAGATTGGTTCAGAGTTCGGACCTTTCTTTTCTACCAAAAGTTAGGTGCAAGGACCATAGAACTTTTCAATCAAAATAAAAAAACAAAGAAAATGATGGTGGTGGTGAGGATGCTAGTGATGAAGATGGTAAACAAGGATATTTCAGTGGCGAACCCAACGGAGGAGGGGGGGGGGGTAGTTTTGGGGCTTGAGCCCTCCCCCCCCCCCATGGTTGCCAGTTTTGTTTTGTTTTGGGGGAAAATTTTGACCGCGGTGATATGTATGTGGCCTATTTTCGAATAGTATGATTGGGGTGTAAATGGCGCCAACAATTTTGGGCAACACTTTTGGAAAAGAAAATCAAACTTCTGCAAGCAATTTAAAACAATTTTTTTTTTAAATCGTGAGGCGCCCCCCCCCCCCTCCAAGCCAAATCCTTGGTGCACCGCTGGGCTATTCGTCAAATTACTGAATTGGTCTATTTTGATCATGTTTTCTTTTTGCAGTGATATCCTATAGCTTTTCCCAAGCTAAGATCACGATCAACATATTAACGCTGCCCTCTTTGTGCGCATCGTGCTTCAAGTATAATATCGGATTTTGTAGTGCCATTTTCACACAAGTGGAAAAAACCCCATAATTTATACGTAAAAAAATAACAAAAATCTTGTACAGCTAGTGCCAGAACGCACAAAAAAAATGTTATTTAATTGAAACTGAATGTTATTTACAGGAAGTTCTTTATTGCATCTATACAATAGAACTGCCCGTCCTCACACGTGACAGTCAGTCTGTCAGTCAGAATATACACTCCAAAAACAACTTAGTCAAAATATTGACTAGTTTTCCTAGTTATTGAAATTGACTAGGAATTTAGTCAAATATGCAAAGTTTCATACTATGACTAGAAACATAGCTGGGTTCGAGTCCAATTTCAGTTATTTGCATAACTATTTTTTCCAAAGTCAATAATACTGACTGGAAAAATCTTTTCCGATTGACAGATTTTCAGTTGCACCCAGCTGACCTGAATGGCTGGTCAAATTGAACTGGTTTCGAGTCAAATCTGACCAATGCTTTGTTTAGACTTTAGAGTGTAACGAGGACAACGATGACACTAGACTGGCACTCTAGGACCAGGAAAAGGACGGCTCCCAATCACATGGGCCTTATGCACCAGTTGTCCATTTTTTTCTCGTGTTCCCTGAATGTATTTCATAAATTGTGAACTGTTGAATGGGATGGTGCCAGACTATTTATTCTCTATAGCCTCACTTTCAATTTTTTTTTAAATGTGGCTCAAATCACAAAGTTTAATCACAAATTTTAACTCATTCACCAGAGCAGACTGGTATTAATTTGTAACGTCATTGCTTTCATACACAAGTTCCAAAAATAAAGGTTTTCCTTACTCTCAATCCAATATGGCCGACTCGTGTATAAGGCCCATTGCTTTGACAATTTAAATACTCTTTGTTGAGGTCCATCACTCAAGACTTGATTCACGTAGGCTATCATAGTGATATATGCTGTGATGTGTGTCCAGAAATACATCAAGAGAAGCTAAAAACGGCGCGCTAAACTAGTGATTTACATGATGCAAGATTCCGCTGAAAGCCTATCATTATAGCTTTGGCGACGACTTTGTGACTCGTGTTGTTCGGCTCGGTCACGATGATGGCGCGCCTGTGAAAAGTGGAGCGTATTATGATTGGCAGCCGTCTTTTGTCGTTCAAATTTCAACGACGACCCGGCTTTGACCTGTACCAGACTGAACAGGTGAGCTTGCACTTGGATCAGACAATGGTGGAATATTTTTTAGATCGCGCAGTACAATCGGTTGTGCCAGCTATGTGTAAGTTATTTTTGGCGACGCATACTTCAGCCCCGACTGAATTAAGGATACGGAGCTTTAATAAAGTCAGTAAGTCGGCTCGCTAGAAATGAATTTCTAAAAAAAAAAGTTGTGATGCATTGCTCTCTGAGTAATTTCGATTTTGTTTTTCTCCTCGCGCAATATTGGTATAAGTTTTATTTTGTTAAACTGAAAAACTACTTTTTTGTCTTTGCGGGTGTCGTAAAATGATCAGCGCACACTCTTTTTTTTTCAAGTCAGGTTTTGAAACGCATATACATATCGTTCGAATTCGTACGATCGACGGTTAGAGGATATTTTGGCACATTTTTCATCGTGAACGTTATGTTTCACGCAATAGCGATACGTTGTGGAGTGTATTTATGAGGATAATGTTGTAATATTTAACTATTCAAAGTCTGAAAGAAACAAATCTTCCAAAAAAAATCAAAATTACTCTACGTGCCAACAGTGAAATTGGCGCATACAATTGAAGGACTACAATAACCAAGCCTCTCCATTATCAACCCTTGCGTTTTGCGTTTGCGTACGATTCTTAGGCCTTTTTACAAAGAAAACGTGACACGCAGACATCAGACAGACAGACAGCCCGACAGCCCGACAGACAGACAGACAGACAGACAGACAGAGTAGGTGCTTTAAAGATATAAGTCCATCATTTGTAATTCGTGCATTTTGTTCGTTTGAAGCAACAAAAGTGTTCAAAATCTTTAAAAGGGTACTAAACAACTAACCTGATGAAGTTTCAGCTCAGCTTCAGCTGTATATTCCGAGAAAAACAACATTCTAGGATCTCAATTTCAAATCAAAAGTTGCTGAATCATGTTTTGAATTGCTTGAATTCAGCGTCCGAGACGCGTTCTCACTGAGCTGATTGCAGCTATACGCGATGTCCCGCACATGATCCGACGAATTATAGCAACTGCGCGCGCGTGTGCGTCGTGCCAATGCTTGCGCGCGCTTCGCCGAATAACAAAACGAACTACTAATTTAAATTTTCCTACGGTGCGTCTTAAGACGCACCGTTGGAAATGCCTTCTTTCGTTGATTACATCAAAATGACAGCTTGCCAGAAAGAATAATTTCACAGGGAGCTTAGTCCCCTTACTATCTTTCAACCAAGTATGTTTTCTAACAATAATTACGCCAGTTACTTTTCGGATGGCTGCAAATGATGGACTATAGCTTTAATATAGGATTATTGTTTGGGGTAGGCTTGTTTTGCCAAGAATACGTTTAATGTCGCACCGGGTACCGCAAATAGTTCTAAATGTGAAATTATTTCTTTTTTTACCCCATTTGTATCACTAAACGTGCATGGACGAGTTATTTTTCGTTCGATGTCGCATTCAAAAGATAAAGACATTTATTGCTTAAATTTACCAAATTTGAAAATTAATTTCGTGTTTTAAGTCAAATAGCACGGGGAGAACAACTTCAAAATAACAGGATCTTGTAGAATTTTTTTTCAGGGTGAAACTATAGATTGGCTGAGTATATTATTTTACTGTGTTGGTGCACTGCATAGGTTGGGGATAAATTTTATGTTTGGTAGTTTTAGCAATTTGGCAAATCTTTTTTTTTCTAGGAAGGTAAAGTCTACCCAGTGTACAAAAGCTGAATGATGGGACGTCGTGGGTTATCTGTTTGTAATCTCCTCGGCCGACCGTCGGCCCTGCTTCTGATGATGTTGCTTCCGATTTTCCTGACTGAAGGTTTCGATGTCGTTGTCAACTCTTCTCGAGAAGAAAAGGCGGCTAGTCCAATCTTGACCGACGCAGATGTTGGTGATGGATCCCCATTGAGAGAAGGAGAGGTGAAGACCAGGAAACAAAGGAGCGGCACACGGGTAGGCAGCCGAGACCGAAAGAGGGGACGTGCAGATGATGGGGAGACAAAGACTCCGGCAGATGTTAAACAGGACGAAGTATCTCAACGAAGAAGTAGCGGAGGAAGAACGGAGGAACCACAGAGCGGCACACGGCCAAGCAGCCGAGATCGACAGGGAAAACGCGCGAATGTAGGAGACACCAAAGATAGAACGAAGATGGACCAGAACGAAGCAGCACAACGAGGGAATACCGAAGGAAGAACGGAGGAACAATTACGGAGCGACGCACGGTCAAGTAGCCAAGATCAAAAGAGAGAACGCGTGGATGAAGAAGACACCAAACATCGCGTCGAAGTAGGCCAGAACGAAAACGAAAGGGCGAATCTTGGCAGAGATCTTCGTCGTCTACTCAGGCACGATCTAGAGCTACTGGATATCCTCATCAACAACACGTTTCGTGAACATAATTCAAGCCTTTCCATTTCCGAGATCACCTTTTGCAAGTGTGGTGATGGCGAGTATGCCTCCATCCTCCACTCAATAAGTAGTCTCGGTTCAAGCTTCATACATGAATTGAAATTTTATGTCAACCAACACGGCGAGTTCAGGTTGGTGAGATTCCCAGTTTCCTAGAGTTATACGCTGCCTTCATTTTTGTTTTATATGGCGAAGAAGTAGTTTCAGGGTGACCGTTTTAGCCGATTTTCGGCTAACGTTTACGGTTTTTTAGTTTAAAATGAGTTTGACAGAAAATATGACAGAATGGCTTTTTTGGCAGAATTCTGCAAAAATGTTTTTTTGACAGAAAAACAGCAAAGTTGAAAAATATGGTACATTTGTTTAAAAAGGCTTCAATGTTTTCAAACAAACCCTTGCATAATGGGACAGGTTGGCTGGTCTAGGTGTTGAGGTTCACTTGGAACTAGACTTTATCGTGACGCAACCACATTTTGCCTGAAATTTACGCAATGATTTCTTAACATCCGAGTTATGTGACTATAGATTGTTATAATGTAATTTGAACATTAATTAAGGCAGTACTATAAATCTGCATGTGATTTTAAGTGTTTATAGTGTATTTCGAGTAACTCTGGGAAATTTGGCAGATTTTTGATAAATCTGACAGATTGTTGAAGTGCATTCAGCCGAATTTGGCCATGACCTTACGGTCACTCTTAGTAGTTTAATGTTGATAGAGAAATGTTTGCAGCTGCGATTTAGTTCAGAGGCCGACTTAGTTCAGGGTTGTTTAATGGCTTAAAAGCACTTGCGTTAATGTCTAACTAGGCCGACTCTGTTGTAATCAGCTTGTTTGTTTATTTGTTTATTTGTTTGCTTGCTGTTTCATCCATGGCACAGATTCTATACTTGCAAGCCATGTCGCGTGTGTCATCCAGATACCTACGAGATCCTCCCATGTCTAAGGAAAAGCAACACAGTGTGTTTTGGAACCAAAACGGGTTTCAGATGCAAGCACGAGGACATGGTATTCTACCCAGGTACAGGCTGTGGTGAGTATAGTATTCATTGCCATTCATCTCGTCACAGACACCAAGAAGTAACACCAAAGTCCACTAAAGTGTTACTTCGTGAAAACCGCTTGATGACAATGTTTGGTTTCACGAAGTAACACTCAAGTATGCGCGCGCACATCGGACACTGGCGCGAACGATTTCCGTTTCCAAGAAGTTATAAAACTGTTACGGAAATACTATTTGGATAAAAAAGTTTGACAGGAATAATTAATCCGTATTCTTGTAGTATTTTTTAAAAAATCAATAAAAAGCCTTCAAAGTGGTGAAATAAAGATGAGTGTTACATCGTGAAAACGAAAATGATCGAGTCAGGTTCTGTAACACGCGCGCGTAGCGCGCACTCACGTCCACTTGGGAGTTACTTCGTGGTGTCGCTGATTTTATGTAAAGAAATTAAACAGAAAACACTGTTCCCAACTGAGGGGAAAAGTGAAACGATGCATTCGTGCATTACACGAGAAGCCCGATAATGATCGTCGCATTTACAGTGGCATTTAGCACAATCGAATTATGTTTTAGTAATATTTCAAGACTACTTTGCGAAAAGCCGTCATACTACATAATACCTGACGTTGCGACCGTATTCACCTTCTGTCGAGCGGTGACAAAGTTAGTGTTTGTAATAACAATTGTGGCAATTTGGCTTGTTCCACTGCTAGTTACTTTTACCCAGTGTTATCGCGGCATGAAGTTCATTTTCAAACTGTAATCAAATTTTTGTTGTTGGTTATTCTGTGTTTATATTTAGTGAAGCTAACAAGCTCGCCGAAACCAGCCGCGTCCACCACAATGCGGCAGGATTATATTAAAGCAACACGACCACAGACGGTCGACGTTCTGATCAGAGAACGCCTTAACGGACTCGGAGACCCGAAGGATCGCGTGGATGATGTGCCTCGCTTGCTGAGTTCGGGTCATTCAGTCAACCTTGAGGAGGATGAAGCTTCACAACCGTCTCACTCGGGTCCTCTTGGGACAAAGTCGACCATCATAACAATTGGGGTTGTATTGCTGAATACTCTGTGTCTGTTGATCTTCATAACCATGAGGTAACTATTTCAATCATTAAAACTTGTCTGTAATATTCTGAAAAAAACGTTGTGAACACGATGCAAAACTTAAATAATTTCTCGGAATTTCAGAATGCGCATTTTATACTCATGTGTGTATTTCTTGTTGTTATCTTTTTGAAGAAAGAGCAGGGGATGTTTGCGCAGGTTTGAAAGAGAGCATCGCAGGAGCGAGGGCAAAAATAATGGCTCACCAACTCAGATGGGTGGCATGCTGTCGTCTAGACATCACCGGCGCGGTGAACCATCCCTGCCTTCCATTAGTAATCAAGTGGATAATAGACCCACCACTGCAGCCTCCTACCGAAGTCCAAGAGCTGTTGAAATGGGAAGTTTATTCCCATATGACAGTTCTAGCGCAGCCCATTCCGAAGTGCCATTAGTTCAGGTCAGTCGAGCTAAGGAGAGCAACTTGAACGTCTACCATGAGCCCAGTTACGAGCGAGGCGCCCAAGCAGTTTCCATCCCTCTATCTGAAGATTTGGACTCCGCTAATTCCATTCAGGTCCTCAGGGGAAAAGATCCATTCTGGCTGGTCATGATTGGCCAGTTTGGCCCAGAAGGAGGCATCCTGTGCTGCGAAGACTCTGATTTCATCTTAGAGATTCCCCCGGGCGCTATTCCTCCTGATCGCCGAGACCAGCTCATTATAGCTAGGATTTCTCTGTGTCCAGACTCTATTGGACCCAAGCTGACAGACCCCGACTCCTTGTGGCTCGGTCCGCTCGTCGAACTGGAATCTCCTGGTCTGGACCGATTCCATAAAAATGTCAAGATCAGGCTCCCGCATCGCGCTCGACTGCAGCCCGGCTGGACCTTCAGTGTGCATTACACAGATCCCACCGCTGACACCAAGTACAACTGCCAGACCGATACCACTCCTTCCACTGTTGATCAAGATCCTGAGGCCGCCACATTCCTTCTTGATGAAGACACCGATACCAAGCCAAAGTGGAATTGTGTGGAGCAGAAGTGGCACTCGGGTATTAAGGAAGAAAAGGCTTCAAAAGATGTGACCAGGGTAACCTTTACGGTCGACGAGAACTACGTAAACATCTTATCCTCTCACTTCTCCGAGTATGTCTGCTCAGGGTGCAGTAAAACACATCCTCTAAACCTGGAGGCTGTTGTGTTTTGGCAACACTACAAGGCCGAAGGTCTCGATCAGATGGATCTCAAGGTCTACATCATTGATATAATTAAGGTACTAAAATGTCTTTATGATTAAATAAACGAAACCGACGTGTTTTAATCAGCAGTATAATAAATATTTAAACAAGTTTTCATCGGAATAAAGGGTAATATTTGAGGGCTGTTTTAAGTTTCCATTTTGTAATTTTTGACACTTTTTAAAAGGCATTAATGAGCTTGCACCAATGAGTTTACTTGTTAAGAACAATCGACGTGGCGGATATTTTTACAAATGGAACTAACAAGACTGTGCAAGCTTCGATTAATTGTTTTCTTATGTTGTGCATTGATGAAATAGGATACACGCAAAGTCAGCGTTGAAAGTAACGAGAGATCCAGCAAACAGGCAGGCGCCAAGAGCGGCATGACAGCATACTCCTCACTCAGCTTGGAATATACGTCTGGTGTGGCTTCGTCGCTTGGCATCTGTGTAGACGAGGAGTGCATGGGTGACGACAGGAAGTGGAGTTTGAAATCTTACAATGGAAGACTCCCGGCTAAGCGAGTGAGAAGAAACGAATTTTTTAAAAATACAATCTGTTTTTTTTTTCGTTTATTTTCCTCCTATCGAATTTCCATGGTTTGACAAGAAAAAGTGTTTGTAACACATCTTTCTTCCTTGCCGATAGGTGATGTCAGTCGAATCAGTCATTCGTGGTTGCTGTTCATCCCACCTGTCTACTCGAGAGATGTTCACCTTCGTTCCGAGGGACCCTTCCAAGCAACTCAGCTTTTTCCAAGCGATGGTTTGCATCAGTCAACCAAACTCACCGGAAGGGGACCCGACCCCAATACTTGTGACTGTTCCCCTTACTAAGGTAAGAGGCGGCAGCATTGGAATCGAGTGAGTGACAAGTCATAACAAGTCATAACAAGTCATCTTGTCGCATTCTATCGGCAGTGACAAAGACATTCCATTAGCCAGTGTTCGTCTAATGTTAGTTATGACCTGACTCGTTCACTATAAAACATTAAAATTATATGCACGATTTTATTGACCTTTCTGTATTGTGAAATGAAGATGCTACATGTACTATAATATCGGAAAAGATGTAAGAACATATATTACAAAAATGTACCAATGGTTCACGTTTCATTTTTAATAGGGATATCGCGCTGTTAACAACAATAACAAGGTCTGCAGTGAAGGTGAGTGGTTCAAACATTGATTTGTCTGTGCTGTTTTCGAGCTTTAACCCAATACTATTTTAGTTTGCTATATTTGTAGTAATTCGAAAGCTATTAAATGAGTCTTCCAACCACAAAATGGCCCATGTTTAGTAAGTGAATAATCACATTGACATTTTGAATCATTTTGCAGCCAGTCAATGCAAAATAAACTGGTTTCAAATCCACCGTAAGGTAAATGAATGAAAAAAATGCCTCCCCCTGTATGTTAACTCGATTGGGCAGTACCTGTCCCCCAATTCTAAGTCAGAATAGGTGATGGGGGTAGTTGGAACCAGTCTAAACTTAAAATGGCCGACGGCTGTCACTTGGATCCAGTCTAAACCCATGGCCGGTGGCCGTTCCATGTCAAACCCCCGTGTCGGGAAATAATAACTATTGTCTTACACAGCACTAAAATTTATAAGAATTTGTTTAGGTTATCTTATAAATTTGTAATGATGCCTTTTTGACATGTTCTTTTTTTTTTTTTTAAAGCAGGCCAACCCATCAGCGACGACCAAATGGACTTCGTCGGCGAGCGACTGCCCGGCAGCGTATGGCCCGCTCTCTACCGCAAACTGATTGGAAAGGGCGCCGACAACGGCATCGAAGAGATCAGGCTCAAACATCCCAACAACCCCCGAGAGCAGGTCCACAGCGCACTCGTCAGCTGGAGGAGCAGCAAAGGTCGCATGGCAACGGTGGAGAAACTCATCACAGCTCTTCAGCAAGTGAAGCTTCAAGACCTTGCTGATGAGCTGCTGTCGTATTGCCAAGACTACGCAGAGGAAGCAGAAGAGGTTTCCACACCCACCGATACACGTCTGGTTATGGAAACACATCTTTAGGGGCCTCGTCCAATCAGTCGTAGTTATTCAAAACAGGGTTTGAATCTCACTGACAAATGAACATGATACCAAGGATATGTGGTCACAAAGACTTATGTCTGAAAACGTATCATAAAATTCTGAGTGTAGGCTTACATGTATTAACGTAAGAGGGCCTGTACACAAGTTTGACTGAGTTCGGTTTAATATAGGAAGTGTAGGTTTTAACCCCAAAGGAAATGAAATATTTTGCTAATGTCCAAACAGTCCGTCACACCCAAGGATCAACCCTACTATTATTGGTTCCTCAAGACTTATGATTAATTTCCCAACCCAACCCTGTCAAACGTGACAGCCTGGAAATTAAGTAATGTGAAAACACCCAAACCCGACATTTTTACGGGTATGTCAGTATGTAAGAAAGATCGTCTCTGAATGGGATGGAGACCCCATTTTCTTCTTTATCCTATGCACCCCTTGTGTTTGGGAATGTGTGCACACACGTGTGGCAATGAGTGTGCAGTGCGGCATGGTCAGAACTAATGGGTGCAGATGGCCCAGTATTCACATGAAAAGTTAATTTTGCAAAAGCAGATAAAAGCCAATTTTACAAAAACGGATAAAATCCATTCCCCAAATATTTTGTTCCTGAACAAATTCTTTTTCAAAGAATATAATTATGATCATGGGCTGTCCACATTGTGTGCATAAGAAATGGGCTCTGTGTTGATTTCCAGCAGAATTTTTTATAAGGTGAACAAAATTGATATTTTTTTTTTTTGCAAATGAATGAACTCATCACATAAATCACCTATGATTGATTACCGACTTCAACAAATCGGGCTACTCTCAACGTACAGCATATTCCAGACGTGGGCCTACATCAACTTAATTTCACTTTCTAATCATTTAGCGGGGGATTTAAGCAATGATTTTGGCTTCTTTTTTCCCCTAAAAGTAAGTCTAAAGGCCATCGCCATCTTGAAATATTATCCCTTCACTCCATTGCGAAAAAGACCAATACAACTTTCGGGCCAATTTTTTTTCAAATTGTCTCAGAAATGCAAGTTCAACTTCAGCTAGGACCCTTTATTGCTACAAACCCAAGTGCTAGGGGCCACTAAAGTCATATTTTTTTTTCTTTTGGAGCGAAAGGATCGTTTTAGCTTTTAGGGCCCACAAAAAAATATTTTAAGATGGTACGGAGACATCTTTAAATATATTACATTAATTTTATTCAAGTGTCTTTAACATTCTTTTTAATTGATCTGCCATTTTGATCTATGCAAGGAGGGGCGCACAAAAACGATTACTGGGGTGTGTCCCCCCTCCTTTGGAAAGTATGCCGAGGCAAACTCATTTCCTCGACAGCGGTACCAGTTTTGCATCCATAACAACCAATCTGACCGCACACGATCGCACACTGCCTTATTATATTTTATACAACACTTTCACAAGTTAGTACCTGAACATGGTTTACTGCCTTTCAGCAGCTAGATTGTCACCACACCAGCTGGGCCCAATTTCATAGAGCTGCTTAAGCAGAAAATTTGCTTAAGCAGGAAAAAACATTGCTTAGTAAAATTAGGTTACCGGCCAAAACTCCATGTGATGTACATTGCTTGTGACTGGTATTTAGCTGTTGTTTACTTAGCGTAACAATCGCATGGAGTTTTGGCCGGTAACCTGATTTTATTAAGCAAGACGTTTTTGTGCTTAAGCAAATTTTGTGCTTAAGCAGCTCTATGAAATTGGCCCCTGCAGTTGCACCCACAGTTATGCTCAAGGCTTGTTTTCGCTTCAAAAGAGGAGAATCGTTTAATCCAGTTAAAAAAAACGGATTCACTTTGCAAAAGCGAATCGATGACTGTGACAGGCATGGGTGTCGCCAGGATTTTTTCTAGAGGGGGACAAAACATATTTTTGCCAAAAAATGTCTGTATTTCTCAACACATTCTCGATTTATCAGTTTTAGAGGGGGGCACCTACATTTTGCCCCCCTCCCAACATTAAATTTACACCACTATGACTTCGCGCCTCTTTTTCTTTTCTTTTTTCTCTTTTTTTTTTTCCTTTTTTTGTGTGGCTTTTCCGGGGGGGGAGGGCAAGTGCCCCCTTCCCCCCCCCTCCGCGACGCCCATGGTGACAAGGTGTTAACTGGGCCGTTGCAGTGCGCGTGAACCAATCGCCATGGTTGAACCGACATTATAAGGAACACAATTCTCTTGTTAACGTATTCTTTATGATGAGGCTTGCGGTTTTGCCGAAGTCCATTGAGTGTGATAGTCCGACCGTTAAGGTTTGTGCACAAAACTCCAGACGCTTGGGGTTTTGTGTAGAACTGACCATTTTTTTACGGAAATGTGCTAGTATATAATTGGGCATCGAGCAAGGTGCAAGGGCGGATCCAGAACATAATTTTGGGGGGGGCCAAAAAAAATTTTGGTCTCCCAAAAAAGTGGGTCTAACAAATTACGGCGTGGGGTTCGGGGCCCGCTAGGTCCCCGAAAAACATTTGGATTCTAGATGCTCTGTGGTGCGATCTGAGGCAATTTCTGACCACTTTAACCAATTTTTTTTGAGGAAAAGATGGTGGTGTACTCACTGCCTGCCTTTATTGCGATGTCACATTAAAAAAAAAAAAAATTGGTTTCGTTTTGGGGGGGGGGCCATGGCCCCCTTTGGCCCCCCCCCCCTGGATCCGCCCTTGGCAAGGTGCAGTCAAATTGACGATGGCATCCCTACATTTTCTTGGGTAAAAGTAGAACCCCCATTTTTGACCGCAATTTTATCAAGTCTGCCCTCAGATATAGCCCAAAAGCCAGGAAGTTGATCCTCGGCTATATTAGCACAATTCCACTGGTTTTTTTTAACTAGACGGTCTCCCCAAAAACAAATGTGGGGGCACAAACCCCAGACGCTTGGGGTTAATTGTGTGTAGAATGCTTGCCGGACCATTTTTTTTTACGGAAGTGTACTAGTAGTGAAGTTGACCTCTTATAGTGACTTCACGACATGTGAAATATTATTTGGACAAGATTACTGGCGTTGTTTGCATGTATGTGTATGTATATTGTTTTGTTTTAGCTGTAAATTTGCAGAGTCGACTTTCGGATGAAAATGTGTTGTCATTGCTATTAATTCTTATGCTATGTAATTGTATTTTAGCCAATGTTAAGTCATAATGTCGATGTGAACCTAGCTATATCTCATTTGACGGTAATATTAATAAGGCGAAATAAAAAAAAAACCAACATGTTTAGCGCTAGCGTCCTGCCTTTGTGAAAAAAAAGAAAGCGGGAGGCCTTTTTTCCCCTCCAAAATGGCAGCCCGACCGGGCTATTTTTCAAGAGAGCCGCCATTTTTTTTTGTTTTTGTTTTAAATATGCCCGCCACTGGACTCAGGAAATGACATAACTGCTCTATATGGGCTAGATGCAACAAATAAAGAGGCCAAAATGATGTCACTGTTTAACATTTTTCATTTTTTTCGGTAAAAAAAAAAAAGGAAGCGGCCTCCACAAAGGAATCGGGCGGGGACGCTAAACATGTTTTTTTTTTATTTCGCCCAATATAACAGGGAAAAAAAGGTCTTCCAGACGCCTAGATTTCATTGGTTGCTTTGTATGATTATTCTGTTTGATTAGCCAGAATGCGTTACAGATTCTCAAGTTTTATAACACTATGCAGAATTGATCTTTATTATATTACATGTTTTTGTGTAGACATATTAATGCGTATAAAAATGAGAGCAGAGAATTAACAATTGGTATAGGCTACTGTGGTTGAGGAATTTTTGTACACAGGTGAGTTGCGATTGTAAATGGGCTAATCCTGTTTAGGATATACGTCCACTTGACTCGTGGTTTGCGGTTAATAATGTAAATTCCATTGGACGACGATTTTTCAAATGTTGGCAGTAGCACAGCAGTACTCCTAGACTCATTCAGCCTACAGCGATATCCACCGCCAAGAATACCCCTCATTTAATCACTTGCCTTCAGTGCCGGCCCCCTCGGAAAAAAACGTTAGGCCATATATATCTACCCACAGGTGTCTCCGCCCCGCCCCGCAGAAGTTTTAGTTAGGCCACTGTTGAGGCGCCCACGTTGCACAACTTAATTTTATATTGAAAAAAAAATAACCTCTTGAAGAAATAAGACCCGACATTTGCATGCACTGCTTGTGTTTGGTATCAGACTTTGTTGTAGGCCTGAAACAGAAACATCAATTTGGCACCCTGGCCATAAGAAGTGGGTTCCCGGCCGCCCCTCCCTCCCCTGCCGCCCACTCCCTCTTCAGAAATCCTTCATGCGCGATCTACATTATGTACTTACTACTTAAAGCTATAGTCCATCATTTGCAGCAATCCGAAAAGTAATTGGCGTAATTCATTATTAAAAAACATACTTGGTTGAAAGATAGTAAGTGGACTAAACTCCCTGTGAAATTATTCTTTCTGGCAAGCTGTTATTTTGAGTGCGGAAAATGGTCTGTTTGGACTAGGACTGCATTCTCGCCAAGTTTTTCTCTGCGTTGACACAAGACACTGTTGAGGGGGAGAAAAACAATATTGTGTCTAAATCTTCTCTCTGATTTGTCTATTTGTCATGATAAATCACCTGGACTGGGACTGCACTCTCGCCAAGTTTTTCTCCGCATTGACACTAGACACTGTTGAGGGAGAGAAAACAATATTTTGTCTTAATCTTCTGTCTAGTTTGTCTATTTTTCATGATATTACTGTCATGTTGTTTTTTAAATACGGCGTTAGACATTAGGGTAGGGAATGTTTCATTACAAATTTTAGATATTATTCATTGAAGCAGAGTGGAATTTTATATTATAAACTTTCTTTCTCTTCGCAAGTTCAAAGATTGACGATGTTACCTCTCGCCAAGTTTTTCTCCGCGTTGACACAAGACACTGTTGAGGGAGAGAACAACAATATTTTGTCTAAATCTTCTGTCTAGTTTGTTTATTTTTCATGATATTATCACCTGGCCACCGTTCAATTTAATGCATTACTTAATTTTTGAGATAATTAGTCGTCGTGACTATCATTTCCGAGCAAAAAGTGTGGAAAATGGTCTGCTTGGACTGGGACTGCAAACTCTCGTCAAGTTTTGTTCCGTGTTGACACAAGACACTGTTGGGGGGAGAGAATAACAATATTTTGCGGAAACACCATGTGCGAATGATTTCTCAACTAAGAGAATGGTTCTGAAAAGAACCAGAGGTATAATCTCGACGTTCCGGTCAGTACGCGACCCGGCCGGCCCTCGGCCCGGTGTTACGCGCGTACGCCGTCGCATCATGGCGCCCGATACCGAAGCGTACAGGTTTCCATCAAGGGCAAATGGGGATCTTCGGTCATTTTCGACCGTTTAATTCGGATAAATTTGAGTGTAGAACTGGGGGTATAGGTAATCGCCCAGAGCTGTGCCGATGGTGTAAAAGCGGGTTACACCGTGCTAAAAATACAAACTTCAAAGGAAGAATCGGGTCCATATAAAGATGTCGATGCAGATGAAACGGCTAACATTTTGTCTGATTTTGGATTCCGCTTTTTGATATGTACCTTTAGAAAGGTTGATGATGAGCCTTGTTTTCTTTTGTTATCGTGTACTACTTCTGGCTTAATGTCATTTTCGTTGCTGGGATTATAAAAAAAAAAAAAAAAAAAAAAAAAACCGACCTACCTACCCTATTTTTTCTGGCCCGTTACGCCAACATAACTTCTTTTTTTTAGGCCCTAGTAACCGCTGGACCGCGGAACAGGGTTCAAAGCTTATAATTTTGGGGATTCCCTCTCTTCAAATTGCGAAATCGAAACAGAATGTTCCCCCGATTTGTCATGTCCATTCTTAAACTGCACCCATTCTTTAAAATCTTCAAAACATTCATTGGTTTAGTTCTCTTTGGCAAAGGTGTGTTAAGAATGCACCCTTTGTCTGGTACTCCTGTATTGATTTGAAATATATGTCGTTCTTGGATAATTCCAACTTTAGAGCTCTTCAGCAACAAACTTGTAAGTACTTTTTGAATAAACTTTTGACTCAAACTTGAGTTCAAATTATAGGATCGATCTGTAAAATGGGTACATTTCATACACTAGTAGTTGCACAAACCAGTACAGTGGATTAGTGGTAGAATTGTTACCTGCCACACCATATGCGAGTTACTCCAGAGGATTATGCACATTACATGAAGGTGGTGATTATGGGACTGTATCATTGTTGGCTGTTCATTCGTCAAATTTTTTCCACCAAAAACTTTGCCCATGATGCCGGTTCTTTTTCTTCTTCTTTTTTTTCAAGTGTTACGACCAAAGACCACGAGCAACTTATATGCGTCGCCCTCATGGTATACATTGTTTTCAATAACAAACGTTTTTGTAGAGCCATTTTCACACTGGTGAGAAAACAGCGAATTTAGATTTTACAAAAATAAGGAAAATCTTTTAACTGGTCCCACAACGCACAAAAATCGTATTTAATTGAATCAGAAGACCATTCACTGAAAGACTTTTAACTGTTTTCCCCACTGATTCATTTAGTGACGTTTCGTAGTAATCCTATACAATAGAATTGCCCGTCTCACACATGACAGCCAGTGAGATACTCAGTCTGTCAGAGAAAGATACACAAAGAGGGCACAAGGCTTGCACTTTGGGACCAGCAAATTAAGAAAAGAAGGCTCCATATTCAAATCGTCTTGGACAATATTTATTTATTTATTTTATTTCTTTAGAAACGCATCTATCCGGAGCTGAAAATTGCTCATTAAACGTAAGAAAATACAAATTGTGGCCTGAACACACAAAAAGTGTTACCGGGGTAACTCTTTTTTTTCAAGTGATATATTTTTTTCACATGCAACAATTAAGAAGCTTGTACCTTGCTTTTTTATTCTAATCCATCTTGATAATGTGGGTGCAACGTTGATTGTTCCTACTTATTTCCCGATGTTGTGTAAGTGTTGAAGGTATGGAAACTGTGACTCATTTTGTTTGGCTTGATCACAATGACGGCGCGCCCGGGCAAAGTGGAGCTGATGATTGACAGTGGTCTTTTGTTATTCAAATTTTAAAGATGACCCGGCTTTGACCTGTGCCAGAGTAAACGGGTGCTTGCACTTGAATCAGACAAAGGTGGAATATTTTTTAGATCACGCACTCTGATTATGGCTTGTGCCAGTTACATACATGTATAGGCCTAATTGTCTAAGCTACTTTTAGTGACGCATACTTCCTCTCCGACTGTAGAAAGATAACGAAGCTTTAAGCAGCCCGCTGCACATATTCGAGGACGTTCACAAAATATCCCCTTGCGGTGATTTTTTTTTTTTTGAGTTTTCTGCTTAGCGAGGCCGTGAGGCAAATATCTCGCCTGTTTGATTTCTTTCGCTTCGCGAGGAGAAAAACTCACCGTGTGCGCAGGGGCAGATCCAGGAATTTTCGCAGGGGGGGGGGGGGGTTCATCAGCACAAAAATCTGAAAATGTACACAGGTTTTTTTTTTCTCCGGACACTTGGCCTCCGTAAAATCAAAAACTGGGGGGGGGGGGGGGGGGGAGTCTGAGTATCACCCGTTATCCACGGAGACATCTCCTGTCTAACGTACGATATGTCAAAGCATGCAGATTTATGCAAGCAGCGCGACAGCCAATCGGAGTCGACTTTACTAAATCGTGACGTCATTTCATTCCAAAATCTGGACTAACGCTGTGATTGGTCAATTCGAATACAGCGTTTTGTAATACAACAACGGCCGGCAGCGCATTCTCGTAACATGGTAACATGATACCTGCATGATACCGAGCGCCGCGCGCCGTGACATTTTTTTTTAATCCATGTCTATGACGCGCAACGGGTGAATGACCGAAGACCCGATAGACCTGTAGAAAGCGCCTGCTGATTGGTCAAAATCTAGGAAATGAAGAGGCGGGGTCTTGCCTAATTAATCAGCAAATCTGTTCGCGCATAATAGACCATGGCATTAGCCGTGGTCTATTACATAGACTGGGTGGGGGGGGGGGGGGGGGGGCTGGGTACCATATTTCAATACAGGACGCTGTTCAAATTCGACGATACGGCGATTATTAACACTAGATTACAGAATGGTGTACTGTATTTTGAACAGGCGGACATTATGGTAGAATAATTTTTTTGGGCGGGGTGTCACAGCGGGGGGGGGGGGTTCGACTAATTTTTTTGGAATTTGTATGATAATTTTTTTTGGACAGAGCTGGGGGGTTTTGACACCCCCCCCCCCACCCCAGCCCCCTTCTGGATCCGCGCCTGGTGCGGTCAACTTAGGGTATTTGCCTCACGCCTCGCAAGGCAGAAAACTATGCAAAAACTCACCTTACATGGGAATAGTTTGTGAACTATGTTCTGAGCAAAACCGACCTCGACTTACTTTTCCCCATCGCGTAGCTAGCTCTCGTGTGTGGCGGATTTCAAAGTCAGTTAGTGCGCGCTAGAAATGACAAGTGCTCTCCGATAAGTTTTATTTTTTCCACTCTCTATTTTCAGTATTATTTTAGCTTTTACTGAAAAACTATGCTTGTTGTTCTCTTTTTGGTCTCATCTTTAACCTTCTGAAAAGTTTTAATTTTGGAGTGCGTTGCTTTTCACCTAGAATGCATAATTGTCGTGCCTCGAATAATTCGAAATACAGGGTGAGTCATAAAAGCGGAACCCAAACCCCCCAAAATATATTTCATATTTTAAAAAAATTGTAGCACCAAACATAATAATGACTTGAAAGCAATTTCATGAGCTACTTTTAGATGAAATAATTACTGAAATTATTCAATCTGTTCAAATTCTTTCTGAAAAGTTTTTAATTTTGGATTGCGTTGCTTTTTCGCCTATAATGCATTATTGTTGTGCCACGAATAATTAGAAAAATATTGCAATTATTTGTTTTGCATCTGCATGTATAGGTAAACCGTAAACGTGGACGTGTTATTATTGTTTGATGTCGCATTCAAAGATCAGGATCTGTACATTGTGTTTGCATATACGTCTGTAAATATTCCTCCATGTGGGCCTAGTGTTCTATTTTGCATGTGCATTATTTATGATCAAATTAGGGTTGGGAATATTTTTTGGCAATTTTGTAAATCGTTTTGTTTTTTCCCCAAGGAGGTGGATTATACCGAGTTTACAAAAGCTGAATGATGGGACGTCGTGGGTTATCTGTTTGTAATCTCCTCGGACGATCATCGGTCCTGCTTCTGATTTTGCTTCCGATATTCCTGACTGGAGGTTTCGATATTGGAGTCTATGCTGCGGGTGACGGAAAAGCGGAAAGTCCAATCTTGAGCATGGACGATGGCAGTGATGGATCCCCAAGAGAGACGAAGGGGCAGTGAGGACCAGGGAAAAAAGAAGCAGTCCATGGTCAAGCAGCCAAGAGCGATTGGGAGAACGAGGCAGTAAGGATACCGCAGAGGTGGTTCAGAACGAAGCAGCTCATCGAAGGAATAAATCATCAACGGAGAAACAACGGAACGTTACGCAGTCCAGCGTGAATGAAGAAAGCAGCAAGGGTGGCGACGGTGGCGTGGAAGTAGACCACAACGAAGATGAAAGAGTAAATCTTAGCAGGGATCTTCGTCGCCTACTCAGGCACGATCTACATGTAGGGCTACTGGACCTCCTCATCAACAACACGTATGGTGAACACAACTCAAATCTCTCCAGTTCAGAGATCACCTTTCCCAAGTGTGGCGATGGCGAGTATGCATCCACCCTCCGCTCAATAGGCTTGATACGTGAATTGAAGTTTTATGTCAACCAATACGGCGAGTTCAGGTTAGTGAAATTCCTAGTTTCCTAGAGTTATACGCTGCATCCATTTTTGTTTTATATGACGAAGATGTAGTTTAATGTTGATAGAGAAATCTTTTAGTTGCGATTTAGTTCAGAGGCCGGCTTTAGTTCACGTCTATTTAATGGCTTAACTTGAGCTAATGTCTAACTCGGCCGACTCTGTTGTAATTAGTTCGTTTGTTTGTTTGTTTGTTTGTTTGTAAGCTGTTTCGGTGTACACACCGAAACTATACGAAACAGCTCTTGTTTTTGTTATTTTTTGGCTTTTCCGCAAAGTTGCGGAAAAGCCTTTGTTTCTCTACGATTTTTTTAATATTGCCAATTTCATTCTGCTTACAAAATTTAACACTTTCATTAATCCGATTGTTTGCAAACTTAGTACAGACTAAAACCGCAATAAAATAATGAGCACTGCCAAGTATTGTTACAATGACGTCATCATTAGACATGTGACGTCATCGTTTGTATATTTTAAGCCCCTATATCTCATCAGCAGTAATTTAGATTGGGTTAAAACTTGGTACGGGGGCATGCCGAGATGTGTTACCAATAAATATTGAGGTGACGTCATAATGACGTCATCTTGTGATTATATATATATTTTATATATGACAAATGCAATATGCCAAAATCAAATTTCCATTTGAATGAGGTTTGTTAAACAAACGTAAATGCACACAGTTTTGCACAAAACAGAAAAACATGACCTTAATTTTTAAAAAAACGATAATGCGGAAAAGCTCTATGTTCTGTTGCAAACAGACATAGACCTCTAGTTTCTCTTTTTTGTTTGTTTCCACTTTTACCAATAGTAAGAAGTGTTTTCGTTCTACGCAGCACTTGAGGACTTTTTTTCACATCCGATCGACTTCAAACCTGGCACACACTTAGACCACCATCTGAAGATTCAGGCGGAATCATGACGTCATCATGACGTCATCACGTGTCACGTGACGTCATCCGAAAAGTCCATATTTTAAGGCTCTATATCTACAGAACCGTAAGTCATATCAGGTTCAAACTTGGTATGCATGTATGCCGGGACATTTTATAGACAAAAATTGCAATAACGTCACGATGACGTCATCATGTGATTGTATATGAATTATTACATTTTTTGACCTTTAAGCCATATCTCATCAACGGAACGTGCTAAATATGAAATTATTTTTGTAATAGGTTTTTTAGGTCATCGATGGGTATAGAAAATTTCGAAAAATTTGTGACTCATCATAACGTCATCAAAAACGTGATTTCTTGATTGAAATATAAGGGTATGTCCGATCGTTATGAAACTTGGTGGGTAGGTGGTACTGATAATAGTTTTCAAAATCTGAAGTGACGTCACCATGACGTTATAATCCGATTTTTTAAAACTGTAATATCATCTTCTAACTACAAAACAAATCTATAAAATACGATAATATTGACTTCAAAGTAGGCACATACCTAACCCGAAGCTTGTATTGTTTCTAAACAAGTAACGCCTTGATGACGTCATCATTAATTATATGACGCCATCTACATTTTGTCAATTTATCACACCAAATTAATTTCTACACAGCCTAATATTTTTAGAAGAATGCTTGTGTACCTGTACATTCGACTTGGTGAAACTCCTACGTGGATGCTTAAACAGTAGAAACAGCTACGTGTTTGACCACAAACACAACACAGTCTAGTTTATTTGTTTGCTTTCTTTTTCATCCACGGCACAGATTCTATAACTGCAAGCCATGTCGCGTGTGTCACCCAGATGTTTACGAGATCCTCCCCTGTCTAAGGAAAAGCAACACAGTGTGTTTTGGAACCAAAACGGGTTTCAGATGCAAGCACGAGGACATGGTATTCTACCCAGGTACAGGCTGTGGTGAGTATAGTATTCATTGCCATTCATCTCGTCACAGACACCAAGAAGTAACACCCAAGTCCACTTAAGTGTTACTTCGTGAAAACCGCTTGATGACAATGTTTGGCTTCACGAAGTATGCGCGCGCACATCGGACACTGGCGCGAACGATTTCCGTTTCCAAGAAGTTATAAAACTGTTACGGAATAACTATTTGGATAAAAAAAATTGACAGGAATCATTAATCCGTATTCTTGTAGTATTTAAAAAAAATCAATAAAAAAGCCTTCAACGTGGTGAAATAAAGATGAGTGTTACATCGTGAAAACGAAAATGATCGAGTCAGGTTCTGTAACACGCGCGCGTAGCGCGCACTCACGTCCACTTGGGAGTTACTTCGTGGTGTCGCTGATTTTATGTAAAGAAATTAAACAGAAAACACTGTTCCCAACTGAGGGGAAAAGTGAAACGATGCATTCGTGCATTACACGAGAAGCCCGATAATGATCGTCGCATTTACAGTGGCATTTAGCACAATCGAATTTTGTTTTAGTAATATTTCAAGAACTACTTTGCGAAAAGCCGTCATACTACATAATACCTGACGTTGCGACCGTATTCACCTTCTGTCGAGCGGTGACAAAGTTAGTATTTGTAATAATAATTGTGGCAATTTGGCTTGTTCCACTGCTAGTTTCTCTTACCCAGTGTTATCGCGGCATGAAGTTCATTTTCAAACTGTAATCAATTTTTGTTGTTGGTTATTCTGTGTTTATATTTAGTGAAGCTAACAAGCTCGCCGAAACCAGCCGCGTCCACCACAATGCAGCAGGATTATATTAAAGCAACACGACCACAGACGGTAGACGTTCTGATCGGAGAACTAGAACCCCTTAACGGACTCGGAGACCCGAAGGATCGCGTGGATGATGTGCCTCGCTTGCTGAGTTCGGGTCATTCAGTCAACCTTGAGGAGGATGAAGCTTCACAACCGTCTCACTCGGGTCCTCTTGGGACAAAGTCGACCATCATAACAATTGGGGTTGTATTGCTGAATATTCTGAGTCTGTTGATCTTCATTACCATGAGGTAACTATTTCAATCATTAAAACTTGTCTGTAATATTCTGAAAAAAAACCGTTGTGAACACGATGCAAAAACTTTAATAATTTCTCGGAATTTCAGAATGCGCATTTTATACTCATTTGTTTATTTCTTGTTGTTATCTTTTCGAAGAAAGAGCAAGGGATGTTTGCGCAGGTTTGAAAGAGAGCATCGCAGGAGCGAGAGCAAAAATAATGGCTCACCAAATCAGATGGTTGGCATGCTGTCGTCAAGACATCACCGGCGCGGTGAACCATCCCTGCCTTCCATTAGTAATCAAGTGGATAATAGACCCACCACTGCAGCCTCCTACCGAAGTCTAAGAGCTGTTGAAATGGGAAGTTTATTCCCATATGACAGTTCTAGCGCAGCCCATTCCGAAGTGCCATTAGTTCAGGTCAGTCGAGCTAAGGAGAGCAACTTGAACGTCTACCATGAGCCCAGTTACGAGCGAGGCGCCCAAGCAGTTTCCATCCCTCTATCTGAAGATTTGGACTCCGCTAATTCCATTCAGGTCCTCAGGGGAAAAGATCCATTCTGGCTGGTCATGATTGGCCAGTTTGGCCCAGAAGGAGGCATCCTGTGCTGCGAAGACTCTGATTTCATCTTAGAGATTCCCCCGGGCGCTATTCCTCCTGATCGCCGAGACCAGCTCATAATAGCTAGGATTTCTCTGTGTCCAGACTCTATTGGACCCAAGCTGACAGACCCCGACTCCTTGTGGCTCGGTCCTCTCGTCGAACTGGAATCTCCTGGTCTGGACAGATTCCATAAAAATGTCAAGATCAGGCTCCCGCATCGCGCTCGACTGCAGCCCGGCTGGACCTTCAGTGTGCATTACACAGATCCCACCGCTGACACCAAGTACAACTGCCAGACCGATACCACTCCTTCCACTGTTGATCAAGATCCTGAGGCCGCCACATTCCTTCTTGATGAAGACACCGATACCAAGCCAAAGTGGAATTGTGTGGAGCAGAAGTGGCACTCGGGTATTAAGGAAGAAAAGGCTTCAAAAGATGTGACCAGGGTAACCTTTACGGTCGACGAGAACTACGTAAACATCTTATCCTCTCACTTCTCCGAGTATGTCTGCTCAGGGTGCAGTAAAACACATCCTCTAAACCTGGAGGCTGTTGTGTTTTGGCAACACTACAAGGCCGAAGGTCTCGATCAGATGGATCTCAAGGTCTACATCATTGATATAATTAAGGTACTAAAATGTCTTTATGATTAAATAAACGAAACCGACGTGTTTTAATCAGCAGTATAATAAATATTTAAACAAGTTTTCATCGGAATAAAGGGTAATATTTGAGGGCTGTTTTAAGTTTCCATTTTGTAATTTTTGACACTTTTTAAAAGGCATTAATGAGCTTGCACCAATGAGTTTACTTGTTAAGAACAATCGACGTGGCGGATATTTTTACAAATGGAACTAACAAGACTGTGCAAGCTTCGATTAATTGTTTTCTTATGTTGTGCATTGATGAAATAGGATACACGCAAAGTCAGCGTTGAAAGTAACGAGAGATCCAGCAAACAGGTAGGCGCCAAGAGCGGCATGACAGCATACTCCTCACTCAGCTTGGAATATACGTCTGGTGTGGCTTCGTCGCTTGGCATCTGTGTAGACGAGGAGTGCATGGGTGACGACAGGAAGTGGAGTTTGAAATCTTACAATGGAAGACTCCCGGCTAAGCGAGTGAGAAGAAACGAATTTTTTTAAAAATACAGTCTGTTTTTTTTCCGTTTATTTTCCTCCTATCGAATTTCCATGGTTTGACAAGAAAAAGTGTTTGTAACACATCTTTCTTCCTTGCCGATAGGTGATGTCAGTCGAATCAGTCATTCGTGGTTGCTGTTCATCCCACCTGTCTACTCGAGAGATGTTCACCTTCGTTCCCAGGGACCCTTCCAAGCAACTCAGCTTTTTCCAAGCGATGGTTTGCATCAGTCAACCAAACTCACCGGAAGGGGACCCGACCCCAATACTTGTGACTGTTCCCCTTACTAAGGTAAGAGGCGGCAGCATTGGAATCGAGTGAGTGACAAGTCATAACAAGTCATAACAAGTCATCTTGTCGCATTCTATCGGCAGTGACAACGACATTCCATTAGCCAGTGTTCGTCTGATGTTAGTTATGACCTGACTCGTTCACTATAAAACATTAAAATTATATGCACGATTTTATTGACCTTTCTGTATTGTGAAATGAAGATGCTACATGTACTATAATATCGGAAAAGATGTAAGAACATATATTACAAAAATGTACCAATGGTTCACGTTTTTTATTTTTTTATTTCATTTATTTTTTTTATCGAACTCTCGCGGTCAAAAGACCGAATTACGGTTCAATGTACAAAGATTAAAAGTTATCACTTATATAAAAACACCATTAAAACATTATTAATTAAAATTACACACACACAAATTTTGACCAAAAAGATGAACAATACATTTAAAAGCATACTTAACATTAAAATCACATTAACATTTTCAGATTGTGAAAACAAGAAAAAGAAAGAAAAAAAAACCGGCACTATACAATAATAAAATAAAAATGGTCCAGCCTTTTCCAAAATCCAACCGGCAGTTGAAATTTAGGGGTGGTATATATCCTGGAGAGTTTTTTTTTTATATAATTTGTTAATTTTTGGGATTTTTTTTTTTTTCGTGTTTGTTTAGGTAATGTGATTATTATAAAACTGTTGACAATCAAGTGCGCATACATGCGTTTAGTAGTTTTGTAAGGTACGGGACAGTACTTTTGGAGTAGCTTTCCACCTTTATTTTAGGTTCAATGAACTGTCGTCTTTGTCTTAGTTCCATGGCATGAACTCTACTGTTTAGGGGGAACCAACTCTTAAAACGATCAGAAGCAACACAAGATTTGGCAAATTGTAAACAAAGATCTTCCCTCCTGTTAGCCAAGGTTTTCATACTAAATCTAGACAATGCATGATCATAAGTGGAGTGATCCTGATCCAAGATTATCTTAAATGCCCGTTTTTGGATTGCTTCAATATATGATGTTTGATTTGATGTAAGACCAGAGTGCCACACAGGGGCAGTGTATTCTAAGACAGGACGAACATAAGTAGTAAATATTGTTACAAGATCGTTTCTGGGAACACCAAACCTTTTTAAACGGCTAAGGATGTGGAGGCGTCTACTACTTTTAGAGATCATTTCTTGGACCTGGGTGCTCCATTTAAGGTCACTCTGAATCCAAACTCCTAACAACTTTGTTTGTGCTACAACATCAACTATGTTATCACCAATCTTTAAAGAAGGTGGGTCGGGGGGATTTTTCCCAAAGTGAAATTGCATAGTTTTACACTTAGATGGATTAAGCGTAAGTTTGTTAGCCTGAGACCAGTGAAACAAATCATCCATGTTATTTTGCATAAAAGAATGGCTATTGACTGATCTGATCTCACCTAAGCTGAGGTCATCGACATATTTCCATTTGTGACCAACGGAGTCAGCGCAGGCGTCGTCAATTTTTAATAGGGATATGTCGTTTCATTTTTAATAGGGATATGCTGTTAACAACAATAACAAGGTCTGCAGTGAAGGTGAGTGGTTTAAACATTGATTTGTTTGTGCTGTTTTCGAGCTTTAACCCCCATACTATTTTCTTCTTTCGGTGGCGTAGGGGGGGGGGGCGACCGCCCCCATGAAACCTTTTCGCCCCCCCCCCCAGTCGCCCCCACTGAGATTTTGAGTTTCTAAAAAAATTATCATTGATCTACATGACGCCATGGGCGTCAATCCTGGGGGGACAGGGGGACATGTCCCCCCCCCCCCCCCCACCTTTTGAAGGGTACGTGGGGGACACAATATCAAAGCCCCCCCCCCCATTTTTGAATAGCTCAGAATACCAATAGCTGATTCAATGTCTCCAACCTCAAAAACGGTGTTCAAATAATTATCTTTTGCCAAGAAAATATTTGTTAAAGCATGGAGGAAAGTCGTAACAAATTGCTTCAAATCACACCACAGAACATCTAGAATCCATTTTTTTCCCTACGGCGTGAGGGCTTCGCGCTTGCATCAGTTATGATCAAGGTATGTCCCCCCCCCACTTTTGAGAAGCGATTGACGCCCCTGCTTGACCCCCCCCCCCATGAAATGTTCCAGTCTAAACTTAAACTGGCCGACGGCTGTCACTTGGAACCAGTCTAAACTCATGGCCGGTGGCCGTTCCATGTCAAACCCCCGTGTCGGGAAATAATAACTATTGTCTTACACAGCACTAAATTTGTCTAAATTTGTTTAGGTTATCTTATAAATTTGTAATGATGCCTTTTTGACATGTTCTTTTTTTTTTTTTTTTAAAGCAGGCCAACCCATCAGCGACGACCAAATGGACTTCGTCGGCGAGCGACTGCCCTGCAGCAAATGGCCCACTCTCTACCGCAAACTGATAAGAAAGGGGGCCAACAAGGGCATCGAAGAGATCAAGCTCACACATCCCAACAACCCCCGAGAGCAGATCCAGTGCGCCCTCGTCAGCTGGAGGAGCAGCAACGGTCGCATGGCAACGGTGGAGCAACTCATCACAGCTCTTCAGCAAGCGAAGCTTGAAGACCTTGCTGATGAGCTGTTGTCGTATTGCCAAGACGACGCAGAGGGAGCAGAAGAGGTTTCCACACCCACCGATACACGTCTGGTTATGGAAACACATCTCTAGGGGCCTCGTACAATCAGTCGTAGTCCAATTATTCAAAACAGGGTTTGAATCTCACTGACAAATGAACATGATACTAAGGATATGTGGTCAAAAAGACATCATAAAATCATAAAATCCTGTGTGTAGGCTCAACGTAAAAGGGCCTGTAGGCCTACACAAGTTTGACTGCATATGAGCTCGGTTTAATATACGAAGTGCTCGCACCCCCAAAGGAAATAAAATATTTTGCTAATGTTCAAAAAGTCCTTTACACCCAAGGATTAACCAACTATTATTGGTTCCCCAAGACCTAATTGGTTCCCCAACCCAACCCTGAGTCAAACGTGACAGACTGGAAATTAAGTAATACGAAAACACCCCAAACCCGGCATCTTTACGAGCACAGTCTCTTAGAAAGAGCGCCTTTGATTGGGATGGAGCCCCCATTTTCCATATGCTACAACCCTTGTGTCTTGAAATTCCTGCTCCCTGCTAGCCCAATATTCACATGAAGAATTCATTTACAAAGTACCTTGTAAATCCTTATAAAGGTGCTACATAATGGGTCTCATGGTTCTCGTTATAAACTTGAGGCCTCCATGGAAAGCAGTGCCTTGCGCTGATTGGAGTTTACCCTCATTACAGATGACGTTAAAAAAAAGCAGATAAAGCCAATTTTACAAAAACGGAGAAAATTCATCGACTAATATTTTTTTCCAGAACAAATTCTTTTTCAAATACAATTTTTCAAGATTTCTCAAGACAAGATGTAACTGGGCAGTCCAAATTGATTTTTTTTACCCACATAATAAAAAAAAATGAAAAACGTATATTTCAGACGTACATCAATTTCATTTCACTTTCTAATTATTTAGAAGGGGACTTTTGGCTTCTTTCCTTCCAAAGTTGATCACCCCTAAAATTAGTCAGTCTAAAGGCCATCGCCATCGCTCCGTTGCGAAAAAGACCAAAACAACTTTAGGGCCCAAAACTAGTTCTTCCGAATTGTTTCAGAAATAGTGCTATGGGCCACGAAATCCATTTAGTCTTTTGAAGACAAACGCTCGTTTTTGGGCCCACAAAACTCTCTTTAAGATGGTGTGGAGTACAAAGATATCTGTAACTATATTATAATTTTTGAAGTGCCTTTATTATTCTTTTTAATTGATCATGCCGTTTATATCTATGCAAGGGGCGCGCACAAACGGGTGTCACACCCTCGTCGCAAAGCGCGTGATGTCTCCTCCTGCCAAAGGCAGGTTCGACAACGGTTTACGCGCATAAACACCAATCTCACCACACGCGATCACAGGCAGCCTACTTGTATCTTATAGAACACTTTCAGTCACCGAAATAAGTACCTGGATATGGATCACTGCGCGTCTTTCAGCAGATGTTCATCTCCACACCAGTTGCAACCACAGTTGGGCTTCAGTGTTTTCGCTTCAAAGAGGAGACACATTTTAAGCCAGTTATAAAAACGGATTAACTTTGCAAAAGTTATAAAACGGACTTTAAAAAAGCTAAACCATGCCACGGTGTTGATAACTGGGCCGTTGCATTTAGTGCGCGTCAGTGAACCAATATCAATGGTTGAACCGAGTCGACCTCTTAGTGACGTCGCAACTGATGAAATATTATTATGTTAGGACATAATCGGCGCAATTTGTTTGTATGTATGTACACATCGTTTTTTTAAACGTATTGTTAAGCTGTATATTTGCAAAGTCGAATTGATGAAAATTGTACGTGTGATTGCTACTTCTTATGCTATGCAATCATTTGTAAGCCAAGTTAGCCAAGGGCGGATCCAGAACACAATTTTTTGGGGGGCCCAAAATTTTTTTGGACCCCCCCAAAAAGCGGGTCAAACAAATTTCGGCGTGGGGTTCGGGGCCCGCTTAAGGACCCCGAAATTTTTTTGGATTCTAGATGCTCTGTGGTGCGATCTGAGGCAATTTCTGACCACTTTAACCAATTTTTTTTTTGAGGAAAAGATGGTGGTGTACTCATTGCCTTCCTTTATTGCGATGTCACATAAAAAAAAAAAATTGGTCTGGTTTTTTTTTTGGGGGGGGGGGCATGGCCCTCTTTGGGCCCCCCCCCCGGATCCGCCCTTGAAGTTAGCCAATGTTAAGTCATAATGTCGATGTGAACGGATCTCATTTAAAATATAAAAAGGAAACGGGTTTTCCCAGACACCTAGATTTAATTGTTTGCTACGTGAAATGATTATTTTTTTCTGATTAACCAGACTTGGATCGGATCGAGTCACAAGTAAAACAATTCTCAAGTTTGTATATAACACTACACAGAATTGACCTATATGATATTACTTTTCTAGCTTGTTATCAAGAGGCTACGGTAGTTGAGAAATTTTGTACACAGGTGAGTTGCGATTGTAAGTGGACTACTAGGATGATTGTCAATAAACTACCTGATAACTCCACTTGACTAATGGTTTTGTATATTCCATTGGACGACGGTTTTTTCTTCTTCAAATGTTGGCAGTAGCACAGCAGTACTCCTAGACTCATTCCTACAGCGGTATCCACCGCCAATTAGAATCCCCTCATCCTTTGCATTCAGTGCCGCCCCCTTAAACACCATTATCTACCCTCAGCTCCTCCATCAGTCCGCCCCGCCCCTCGGAAGTTTTAGTTAGGCCACTATTGTGAGGGGCCAACATTGCACAGCATAAGTTCATATTGAAAAGAAAATTATATTGAAGCAAAAAAAGACCCGACATTTGCATGCACTGCTTGTGTTTGGTATCAGACGTTTTTAGGCCTGAAAACAGAAGCATCTTAGTGCACATCGGTTTATTGGAGGATATCTGCCGAGCCGCGTCATGAATAAAATACCCTCAAAATAATATTCTATATTAGAGGGTTCTGAGAGCCATAACATTGGGGAATTGAAGAGACATGGCAATGAACCTCTTGCAAAAATTGAAAAGAAAATGAAAGATGACATGTTGATTATCATTTTTCTGTGAGGCTTAAATACCTGTGAGGGTTCTGAGTATTTTTAAAAGAATTTTGAAGTATGGGCATTTAGCGCTAGTGTCTGCTCCCTGGTCAGTATTTTTAAAATAGCGCCACCAATCGTTACCAAGTTGCCATTGTTCTTCAGCTCTCTGAGCTGCGTACTGTCTGACTGTTGTTTCATGAATGATAAGTTACGTCAAGTTTGTGGGACGGTCTCTGTTTACGCTACTTAAATCGCTTTGAAACCATAAACTAAGTTCTTGTAGAGTTCTGAGAGAATGTTATTCTTTAAGAGGTTCCGTAAGAAGAAACAATGTGGTCTTCATTTGGACGAAATTTGCTGCTAGAGATGCGATTTTGGACGGCAAATATGGCAACTTCGGTGACCAACGTTGCCAAGCGAAATGCCGGACGCGCCGGTACCGCGGGAAAATCTCGGGGCAACACGGGTATGACTGGCTCCGTGAAACCGACGAAAAAGGAAAACGAAAAGGTTTCAAAAGGTACGTCTTATAGATTTTCTTTTGGGGGGGGGGGACGCGGACGTGGATGTTTTCGCAATTAATTTACAGAATTGAAAGTTACCCAGCCCGACTGGATTTTTTTTCTTCATGTTTTTATTAAATCATAAATGGCCAATAAAAACATAATTAACAAGGTTTTACCTGGGCCAGGAGTAGTCCGAGTAACTTGGACCCAATTTATTGCCTTTTTTAACATTCGGACATGTTAAAAAAGGCGATAAATTGGGTCCAAGTTACTCGGACTAGGCCAGGAGCATTAAACTAGATTCATTCAGAAATGAGAACCAAGGAATTAAAAAGGGATGCCCTAATAACATGCTTGACATTAGCATGATTAGCCTAGACATATAGACATACTCCTAGAAGTTAGAATTATATATGAGGCTCCACGTAGGCTCCACTACGTGGTACGTGGAGCCTCATAGTTCTAGGAGTAGGAGTAGATTAGACAGACATTTTTATTCTGTAATCTTTCATAGCCTGAGCATTGAACGTGAAAACCTACATTGTACGTACATACATACATTGTGTACATTGTCGTATTTGCCCACTACTGATAAACTACCAATTTGTCATAATGAAATGTTGTACTGACATGACTGATGTGTGCTCAGTGCAGTCCCAAACTAAAATCAAATCCTTGCACAAATCACCAAACAAAATCAGTGTAACCTTGTCTGCTTGTGTTCTTCAAATGTTGTATCAGGGCGACTGCAGGCAGCATCCGATGTTCGTCCCAAGTCCACCACAGCTAGCCTCCCAGACAGAACCTCTCCTCCAAATAGAAAACTGACCACTTCCAGCAGTGCTGGTAATGTCAACGCCAAGCGTAATGTCCGCCAGCCCAGACTGAGGAGTAGTCAGTCCGATGCGGGGATTGCAAAGGCATTCCAGAAGTTAACGATTCAAGAGAGGAAATCAGCATCAAGGTACATTTACTGTAATTCCCCCCCCCCCCCTTCTCCCCACCCACCCCAACTCCCTTACCCAACCATCCCACCCCCCCCCCCCCCTCCCCCCTCCAAAAAAAAAAATCACTTCAAACCTTCTTGAATCCTTCAAAATCCAACCTACACTATTTTCTAAGCAAAATAGGTTGCTAAACTAAGGCCAAAAAAAAAAAATAAGTCGGTCTCTGGTCAGCGCGCGCGTCGATTTTAAGCATGCGCGTCGATCTTTTTTTTTTCCAAAATGTTCCGCGGTAGCTCCAACAGTGCCCTCTATTTCCGCACCTCCTCAATTTTTTTTACCAAAGAGCACCAAGGAATGGGAAACTGCACCAAGGCAAATGATCGAAAGCACCAAGGCAAATTATGGAGGCCACCAATGTACATGAGGACACCAAAAAAGCAAAATAGTACCCACCTTGTCTGTACAATCCAAGCTGAAGAAGAAAAAAAAAGGAAAAAAAAAAAAAAAAAGCTGCGTGGCCGCGTCAATTCCGGAACTTTGGTCTGACCAGAGACCGAATATTTTTTTTTTTTGGCCTAATACTAGCAAAAAATAGCTGGAAACACTACCAGTGAAACATAGCGTGATCATTTGCTGATAACATACATGTAGTTTGGCTATAACCACTGTTTTAAAGGGAAAATACAACATTTGCAAACATCAAAAAATAAAACTACCAAATCATTTTGAAATAACCTTGCTGGACTGTTAGTGAATGACAGTGTAAAGCATCCTGTAAAATCATGGCACCTGGTGTACTGTCATTTTCAAGAAAAGTGGTATTTTTGTATCAATTTCCAACGCTGACTGGCCGATCTGCGTTGGAAAAAACTGGCTTTTTTTCAAATACTGGCCCCAATTGACCATCGCACTTGTTTGCAATCAATTACAAACCTATGAACGGGTACGAGCCAGCTAGACTGGTTCCCTGACCTTACAATTCCCCAATGTATGTAAACTGCTCTGTTTCTTCTTATATGGAGTCAGGGAACCAGACTACAGGAAAATGATTGTTTTTCTTGGTTTTTATAGCATTTTCAAACCCAAAACCTCAAAAAAGTCAGTGTAACTATATTTGCTATATATTTCCAACCCCCCAATTCCATCCATTTCTGACAATTACAGCAAAAGCAAATGATGTAGGCCTATATTCCCTTTAACAAAACATATTCTGAAGGCATAGGCTAAGATCCATACTGTAATAATAAGGTAGAATGCCGCTAAAACTAGATGTGTCATAATCTATGAAAGGGGGTAAAAATGTTGTCAAATAGCATTACAACAGAAACATTTGGTGGGCCACTACTCTGACACAGGTGGTGTGTAGATTCCACAAAAGGATGACCCACTGTTGGACAATGACGCACCATTCCTTGGGTCATGACCACTGATCTCTAGCGGATATGCATACAACATTCACACAGTAGACTTTGCATATTGACCAATTCGCCCCCGGTCTCACAAAGATGGCCGCGTATAATACGAACGTTCTACGCGTAAATACGTGCGCGTTGTATCAACAGTTGACGCGCATTTTGGTCACGTACACATATTATGATGTTCTAAAAGGGACACATTTCCGTAGTGATTATTATTTCAAAATGCCGAAAAAGTTATATTTGCGGCATTTTAGTAACCACGACGTTAGAAAATTGTAGTTAACCTTGGTCAGTGATGGTGGTCAAAATATAAGTCAAGTGAACCGCGACGTTACAAAAGAAATCATGCTGTCTATAAAAACGACAACTTGTCCTTTGTAGATCACCAGCCGGTCTCACCAATATGGCGTCAAATTCGTACATTGTGCGGCTCTGTATTAGCTATCCAGTCTTTATATAGAGATCAGTGGTCATGACGTGCAGCATAGTTGATGTGATTATGGGCTCCGTACACTTGTAAGTACTCCCTCAACCGTAAGAAAGGGAAAAGAGTGTGGAGAGAACACCGAAGGAGACATTTGAGCGCAGTACGCTTGAACACGGTGTGTCCCTGTCCATAAGGCTCTCGAAAATGACAAAGAAGTGCCTTCTCTTGTTAGCCCTCTGAGCCCATTAGAGCAAAGTTCCACTGTATAATTTCAAACCCCATTTTTTAACAACACAGTGCCCAGTCTCGCCGCAGCAGCTCAGCCAGCGGCGGTAGCCACGTCTGTAAGAGCCTAGAGGATGTAGCTCGCTGGATCCTCACCAAGAAATGCCACAGCATCGTTGTCATGGCTGGTGCTGGCATCAGCACGCCGAGCGGAATCCCAGATTTCAGGTTGGTGTCAATACAAAGTTCCGCTGTTTTTCAGGAACCTTGCTGATAAGGCGGACAGGCTAAATACCCCCTGTTCACTTACCGGGAGCCGCTTTCAATTGAGCCCCTCTTTTATCGGCTCCCGCTTGAAAAGAAAGCGGGTGACCTGTTTCTACAAACCGTCCCACGGTTGGCACTCCCGGCTCCCGCTACAAATAACCATTTTTATAACAATGAATCCTGCGGTTTCATACCCATCATTGGCGACTTCTACTCACCGACCGCAAAGACCTGGTACATTGCTAATCCTCTGATCTTTTGTTTGCCCTAAACATACAAGCCCCACTGCAAACCGTCACCATGCATGGCTGTACCGTGTGCGTTCATGCGTGGACCGTCTCCTGCTTTGGCTTGAAGGGTCCCACACTTCCTCAATAACAATACCGTCCCACGGTAAATGAACAGGGGGTATTTAGCCCGCCCGCCTAAAGAGAAATAAGGTTCCAAACAAAATGCAACATCACAGGTAAAGCTTTTCATAAGCCAATTACAAGTCTTGAGGCTTTGCATGGTGGGGTATCGGTGTGCTTTCTGTTTTGCGGTAACACCATGTGGTAATTAACTACTGCTTAGAAGATATTTAGTTCTGAAAAGAATTTGTGCTGCTTATTATCAACTTTCCCTTAGTAGTTTTTGTTCTGATAAGAACAGTCCTGCTTTAAGTTCTAAAAGAACTTGTCTTTGGTCTCAACGTTTTGACTAGCCTGCTCTAGTCATCGTCAGGGGACTGTTCTTATCAGAACAAAAACTACTAAGCCAAAGTTGATAACAAGCAGGACTAGTTCTTTTCAGAACTAAATATCTTCTAAGCAGTAGTTATTACCACATGGTGTTACCGCAAACCGAAACGATACCAATTACAAGTCGAATCCCAAATAAATCACAACATCAGTACACAATTCAGTTATAATTCAGTTAGCAAATTCCCTTTGTGGTTCTCTTATAATTTTGTTCAGAACTCCAGGGTCTGGTCTGTATGACAACCTGCAGCAGTACAAGATCCCCAGCCCTGAGGCCATATTTGACATTGACTTCTTCCATCGTGACCCGCGACCTTTTTTCACTTTGGCCAAGGAGCTTTACCCAGGGACTTACCGGCCAAACTACGTCCACTATTTTGTCCGGATGCTGCACGAGAAAGGCATCTTGCTGAGGATGTACACACAGAATATCGATGGCCTGGAAAGAAGTAAGTAATGCATTTTTGTACAAAAAAATTGTCAGACTTGCACTGTACAGCGTGTGTCACTAAAAACGCAGGATTAGGCCAAAAAAAATAAATATTCGGTCTCTGGTCAGACCAAAGTTCCGGAATTGACGCGGCCACGCGGCTTCTTTTTTTTTTTTTTTCCTTTTTTTTTTTTTTTCTTCAGTTTGGATTGTACAGACAAGGTGGGTACTATTTTGCTTTTTGGTGTCCTCATGTACATTGGTGGCCTCCATAATTTGCCTTGGTGCTTTCGATCATTTGCCTTGGTGCAGTTTCCCATTCCTTGGTGCTCTTTGGTAAAAAAAAATGAGGAGGTGCGGAAATAGAGGGCGCTGTTGGAGCTGCCGCGGAACATTTTGGAAAAAAAAAGATCGACACGCATGCTTAAAATCGACGCGCGCGCTGACCAGAGACCGACTTATTTTTTTTTTTGGCCTTAAAAACAAAAATATTAAGAATATAAACCACCCCTATTCATCATAATGTTAACCCTCTTTTCAAAGTACCTTTCCTTCTCTTCACTATGCTTTTTATCCCATCTCATTTGGACAATCCTGTCCAGAGATAGAGTACATTGAAGAAGGGTTATAAATTCCAAGCTGGTCTGATTTGTGAAATCGTACATACCTAATGAAAGGTTTGAATTCAGTACAGGTGAAAGTATTTGTGGATCACAAAGAAGGACATGTGTGGCAGGATTAGGCTTACATAATCCTTTAGTCCACAATCAATGTTATCAGTCAATAATTCATGATGCTTTGAAACAATGATAGTCCAGTTATTAAATTTAAGTGATACTTATCATCAGTTGTTTCAAAGAAAGTTTTGTTCTGGTTTAATTGTCTTCAATGCATACCTGCATTGTACATAACTGGTCGTTGTGTTAAGGTCATTGAATCAGACCAACCCGCTTCAGAAGGGCTTCACAAAACTTGTCATAACTTTTGAACCAAAAGTCCAAATTCCACCAAACAAAAATCTTGTCAAAGATGAAATTATGGACAATCAAATCCTTATCAAATTAGGCACACCAGTAGCATAATTTTCTCAGAAAAAAAATCGCTTTGAATACTGCGTTTTTATTGACACATGCTGTATAGGCACAGCAAGGGTCTATGATATGCCAGCAAATACGGCGATTTATTATGTGTCAAGGCCGTGTCTTGACCTCAAGATTCTAACCATTCATTGGGCGCCTTCTATATCGGGTCTTCGGTAACCCGTTTTGAGAGCCAATGTCGGGTTTTAATATATCTCTATGCATGTTGTTGTATTAGAAACGCATGGCAAGTGGCAACCCAATTGACCAATCCACAGCTTAGTCCAGATTTTGGAATGAAATGATGTCATGTCAACTGGGATTGGCTGGCAATCAGGGTCGCATAAATTGGCTTGCTTTGATATCAGACGTTGGACCGGAGACCAAGAGGGCTCCATTGGACAACGGGTGATACTCAGACTTGGTTAGGGTTAGAGAATCGAAAGATTGAAGTTTGAAGGACCTATGTAGGAGTGTTGGGTTTAAATGATGGAGGTTTAAAGTTAGAGTAGATCATTTGCAGCTATCCAAAAAGTGTCGGACCAAATTATTGTTAAAAAGCTTAATTGGTTTAAGAATAACAATGGCTATATACTCCCTGTGAAATTATTCATTCTGGCATACTGTCATTTTGAAGAAAATGTCAGCTCGGTGCGTGACATCACGTAGCTGCAATTTTTTTTTCCTTTTTTTTTTTTTTTCTTCAGTTTGGATTGTACAGACAAGGTGGGTACTATTTTGCTTTTTGGTGTCCTCATGTACATTGGTGGCCTCCATAATTTGCCTTGGTGCTTTCGATCATTTGCCTTGGTGCAGTTTCCCATTCCTTGGTGCTCTTTGGTAAAAAAAAATGAGGAGGTGCGGAAATAGAGGGCGCTGTTGGAGCTGCCGCGGAACATTTTGGAAAAAAAAAGATCGACACGCATGCTTAAAATCGACGCGCGCGCTGACCAGAGACCGACTTATTTTTTTTTTTGGCCTTAAAAACAAAAATATTAAGAATATAAACCACCCCTATTCATCATAATGTTAACCCTCTTTTCAAAGTACCTTTCCTTCTCTTCACTATGCTTTTTATCCCATCTCATTTGGACAATCCTGTCCAGAGATAGAGTACATTGAAGAAGGGTTATAAATTCCAAGCTGGTCTGATTTGTGAAATCGTACATACCTAATGAAAGGTTTGAATTCAGTACAGGTGAAAGTATTTGTGGATCACAAAGAAGGACATGTGTGGCAGGATTAGGCTTACATAATCCTTTAGTCCACAATCAATGTTATCAGTCAATAATTCATGATGCTTTGAAACAATGATAGTCCAGTTATTAAATTTAAGTGATACTTATCATCAGTTGTTTCAAAGAAAGTTTTGTTCTGGTTTAATTGTCTTCAATGCATACCTGCATTGTACATAACTGGTCGTTGTGTTAAGGTCATTGAATCAGACCAACCCGCTTCAGAAGGGCTTCACAAAACTTGTCATAACTTTTGAACCAAAAGTCCAAATTCCACCAAACAAAAATCTTGTCAAAGATGAAATTATGGACAATCAAATCCTTATCAAATTAGGCACACCAGTAGCATAATTTTCTCAGAAAAAAAATCGCTTTGAATACTGCGTTTTTATTGACACATGCTGTATAGGCACAGCAAGGGTCTATGATATGCCAGCAAATACGGCGATTTATTATGTGTCAAGGCCGTGTCTTGACCTCAAGATTCTAACCATTCATTGGGCGCCTTCTATATCGGGTCTTCGGTAACCCGTTTTGAGAGCCAATGTCGGGTTTTAATATATCTCTATGCATGTTGTTGTATTAGAAACGCATGGCAAGTGGCAACCCAATTGACCAATCCACAGCTTAGTCCAGATTTTGGAATGAAATGATGTCATGTCAACTGGGATTGGCTGGCAATCAGGGTCGCATAAATTGGCTTGCTTTGATATCAGACGTTGGACCGGAGACCAAGAGGGCTCCATTGGACAACGGGTGATACTCAGACTTGGTTAGGGTTAGAGAATCGAAAGATTGAAGTTTGAAGGACCTATGTAGGAGTGTTGGGTTTAAATGATGGAGGTTTAAAGTTAGAGTAGATCATTTGCAGCTATCCAAAAAGTGTCGGACCAAATTATTGTTAAAAAGCTTAATTGGTTTAAGAATAACAATGGCTATATACTCCCTGTGAAATTATTCATTCTGGCATACTGTCATTTTGAAGAAAATGTCAGCTCGGTGCGTGACATCACGTAGCTGCAATCGGCTGAATGAGAACGTGTTCCGGATGCTGATTTTGGGTGCAATTCAAAATATAACGCGGCAACATTTGAATTGAAATTGAATATTAGAATATTGTTTTCTAGGATTACACAGCGTTTACAGAGCTAAAACTTCATCAGGTTAGTTGTTAAGCACCTGTCTGTAGACATTGAGCACTTTTGTTGCTTCAATCGAAACAAATGACAAATGATATACTCTGTTTTTAAAGGATTTGGGACGGTTAGGATTGAAGATCGAAGAATAAAAGTCTGAAGGGTTTTGGAGGGTTGTAATGAAGTCAGAATTATTAAGCAGTAGCACATACATGTAGAAGCTCTGTCTTTCTGCCTTGCAGTTTCAGGAATCCCCGCAGCCAAGTTGGTAGAGGCACATGGGACTTTTGCAACATCAACATGCACACGGTGCGGAGAGAAATATGATGGTGATGACACTAAGGTAACCCCTCATTTCAATAAAATGTTAATCCATCCGTTGTTGTGCCGTCCGAAACCATACATCTTGTTGCTACTTGTATCACAGGAGGATACAGTGTGTAGACCGTGTCATCAAACCTGTGCCTAGTCTAGGAGCTAGCTATAACCGCCGCTGCGATAACCTGCTGACCAACCAATATCACCCATGAACCCTTCAGAACAACGTCTAGGCCAGTTTCTATTGGTTGTGTAAAGCGCATGTACCTGTTTGGCCTAATATATGCAGTGCGCAATTCAAAAAATTCATAGTAGTTCCGAAGCAAGCTCTCAAATTTCTTCCAGTACTATAAAAGATGTGTTGACATTATTTAATGCTAGCAAAATAACTTGTGACAGATGCTGACATCTGTAGGTGTTTAGGTGATCCATACATGTAGTTTGGCCTGTTGGTGCCCTCTCAATGTTGCAGTTGATGGTCTAAATAGTTAAACTCATACATGTCGCCCCTGTACTGCCTGAAGCAGCCTGCCTGTGACTCCGATCCCTGTACTGCCTGAAACCGCCCGAGCACTCAATAATTTTATGAAGTCTTCAGTAAATCAATACAATACAATGTAGTACAAGTGCTCAAGATATAACTTTGACCTTGCTCCAAGTTTAGAGTATTCTGCTTATTCCAACAATATCCTTCAATTATTGAAGTGTGGAGCCTGCTGAATACAACACGATTCCAACAGCTAGGCCAGAAAGATATTTTTTTTTTACTGGTCAGTCAACACAATCCAACATAATGTTTTTGCATTTGAATCGTGATAGTTTCATCTGGGTTTATTAGTTAATGGTAAAAACCTGTGGGAATTCTGTCTCAGACTCGAACCCAAGACATCTACATGTAGATCGCTTTTCTAGTGCTCTACATCACAACGAAAGTTCTAATTTTTTTTATTCAACAGGCTGAGATCATGAATGACGTTACACCGATATGCAAACAGCGATCTTGTAGGGTAAGAACTGGTGTTCTAGATTTGTCAATTATACTGGTGTTGGAAATTTGAACTGAAACTGTCAGAATTTAATCTATTGTATCTCTTGTTCACACCTTATACACTAATATCAATTTTAGATAAAAAGCTCTATAATTCCCTCAACTCCCTAAAGTGTTAATAAATTAAGCATTATTTGTAAGGGATGTGGTCAGCAATGTTCTTACCATCTTTTCAGGGTAAAGTCAAGCCTGATATTGTTTTCTTTGGAGAGGACCTACCAAAGAGATTCTTCTATTACCTGAAGGACTTTGCCCAGTGTGACCTTGTGATAGTCATGGGAACCTCTTTAGAGGTAAGGATACAATGTAGTCTTGATTCCTTACCCACTCTCTGCCTGCCGAGCTAGCTTTACAAAAAGTATGTTGATCGTCAGTCTCCTAACAGTTAAGCTACCATTTGCAGCATTAACCCTAACCCCCTAGACCCTTGTTGCTTACAACCATCCTCAATCCTCCAAAATTTTGCAACTCCGCCTAAATTTTTCAAAATTGTCAGACAGTCCTGCCTCAAAATGCATTCATCCTCAATCCTCCAAAATCCTCTTGTGCTTCAATCACCATTCATCCTCAATCCTCCAAAATCCTCATGTGCTTCAATCACCATTCATCCTCAATCCTCCAGAATCCTCATTTGATTCAATCACCATTCATCCTCAATCCTCTAGAATCCTCCAAAACCGCCAGGAGGATTTTGGAGGAGTGAGGTGGGTTAGGGTTAAGAAGCTTCTAAGAACCACTTGTAACTCAAAAGAGATTTATTGGTATTTTCACGTAATGCCAAAAGAGATTTATTAGTTTTTTTCACCTGGGTCCAATTTTATGGACCTGCTAAGGAGGACTATCTGCTCAGCAAATGTATGTGCTAAGCAAAGTTTAGCCGAGAACCAGTCAGAAGCAATGTGCGCCTCATTACAGTTTGGCTGGTAACCTGGATTACTTTTCAGCAAGTGTCTGTTCACTTTTGTGCCTAACCAGCTCCCTGAAATTTGCCACTGAGTTCATGCCAGCTTGTTTCAGGCCTCACCCTTAATCAGATGTAAATTTTGAGTTCATCCATTATCATTGCTGTCTACCTTAAAAAGTTTCAAGTTGGATGGTTGTATTTACCCATGTTTTGTAGGTCCAGCCCTTTGCAAGCATCATCAACTCGGCCAGGGGCTACGTTCCCAGGCTGCTCATCAACCGAGAAGCAGTAGGACCCTTTGCTCGGCCGCGCTCAGGCCGCTTCAACGATGTAGCGGTGACTGGGGACCTGATGGAGTGTGTCCAGAAATTTGCTAGGGTTCTAGGCTGGAAGAAGGCCCTGGAAGACTTGATCAAGGAACACGGAGCTGTGTTGGTAAGATATGTAGAGTGCAGTGGTTGCTAGAGTCGGGGAAGGGGGCTTGTCTAGAGATTTGCTGGAGTCATAGGCTTGAAGGCCCTGGAACACTCGATTATGAGGAACAAGAAGCCCTATTGCTATGTTAGTCCAGATGGCAAATTATTTTAGGGAAGGTTATTCAGAGATTTGCTAGGGTCCGTAGTCAGATGAGGAACACGAAGCTGTGTTGGTAAGATAGTACAGAGTGCAGGGGTTGTTAGGGTCAGAGGAGGGACCTTGCCTCGAGATTCGCTGGAGTCATAGACTGGAAGGCCTTTGAACGCTTTATTTTTTTGGGCGGGGGGAGTTCTTATCAAGAGTTTTCAAGGGTCTGTAGTTGGATGGCTGGTGGAAAACAGCCCAGGAAGACTTGATCAAGGAACAAGGAAGTTACATTGTATGAGACTCTAGATAAAGGTTGTAGTGGGGTGTGGCCAGGGGACTGAGGTTCTAGGCTAGGAGAAGGCTCTTGATGAGGACCTGATCCAGAAACAATAAGTTTTGTTTCTAGGTAAGTAAAATGCAGCTTTTTTGGGGGGGGGGGGGAGGGTAGGGTGATTTCCACAGAATTGCTAAGGTCCCAGGATGGCATGTTGGAAGAAACTTCTTGAGCACTTGATCAAGGAACACATAGCTGCACTTTGGTAATTCTAAGGTCAGAAGCTGTATGAATGCCATAGAAGACTTGATATATAACAAGAAGGCCATGTCACTAAGTTAGTTGCTTAGGTGGTGATGGCGCTTATCTAGAGTTACTCCAGGGTCCTTGGTTGGAAGAAGGCATGACAGCTTTGATCAAGAAACAAGATCCTAGAAGACTTGATGTAGGAACAAGAAGGCCATGTTGCCAAGTTAGTACCGATTGGTGCTTCCTTTGGTGGGGGCCACAATTTGATGGGGTTTGGCTAGAACTATGCCAGGGTCTACGGCCATGACAAGTTGATCAAGAACCCAGAAGGTCCTAGAAGACTTGATGTAGGAACAAGCAGGCCACGTCTTTCAGTTGGTCCAGCTTGCAGGTTTGTTGGTGGAGGGATTTGGATGGAGCTTGTCTAGAGTTATACCAGGGTGCCAGGGTCTCAGGCTGAAAGAAAGCCATGAGAACATGATCAAGAACCAAAAAGCTGTATTAGCAATTTCTGATAGTTTCTGTGGGGGCTTGGGATCGGGGCTTGTCCAGAGTATTTTGCCAGGGTCCAAGGTCAGGAAAATGCTTCTTCGTAATTTTAAAAACTGAATCATTCAGGAGAGTGCTATTGATTCACCAATGATTTATACATTGTGTTGGCTGCAAGGGGAGAGAGGGAAGGGGCTTACCTGTTACCACTCATTTTTTTTATGGTTATTTTTTTTTTTTTTTGGTGCGGTTGAGAGGGACAGCATTGCTGGAAACATTTCATAGAGGGACAGTTTCCTACTCAATTTTCTGCCAGTACTCTTAGAGTTTTATCAAATAAAACTGAAGTGACATCCACACCAACCTGTTTCACAGCAGGCTGTATGCTGAAATACATACAACATAGATATACTTCTGCTAATTCTCTCTACACACATTTGAGTTTATATAGTTTAGCAACTGATAGCAAATTTCGGAACTCTTGATTGATTTGAAGGATGAACAGTTTGGATCTAGAAAATCTACAGAGTCTGTGTCCGAAAATGGTGTCGATGGGGATCCAGGAGTGGATGGAAGCACTGATGGCTCGGCCAATGGGAAGCCTGCTTCTCTGGCATCGTCAGGAGGATCGACCAATCAAAACCCAAGAGGTGGTTTCCGTGGTTACAGAGCCAACAGCTGCCAGTCTATGGATGCTCTGAAAGGACATGCCACAAAGCCAGATGGATTTAAATCCCCCTCAAGAAACTTGCACACTGTGTCAGAAACCACAGCCCCTCTAAACACCCTCGCAAAGTTCAACCCCTCTCAGAGAGTGGTACGGTCAACCAATCACAGAGTAGCATTGCCAAGACTCAACTCCAGACAGCCGCGGCGTAAGGATACCTCGGGCAGAAGGGGTAAATCATCATGGCGTAGTGATTCCTCGGACAGCAGTGATTCATCTGAAAGTAGTTCCGAAACGGACTCAAGTGACAGCTAGCACAAGAGTTGTGTTAAAGCCCGTCTCCTCATCAGGACAAATCCATGGATTAGGTGAGTCTTCACTTGAAGTTGATGATCACTTTGAGTGAATGACCCTGGAAAGCTGGTTTTTGCCATGCGCCCACACTAGCTACAGTGCTCTTCCCGGAAAGATGTCAAGAGTTGGTGCATTTACGTTGAAAATTGGACTTCCACAGACAATGCAATACACATTCTAACGAGGGGCCTATTTCATCATTGGAGCTGCTTAGCGCACATTTTCCTAAATATGGTAACATTTAGATAGTATAGGTGGTTACCAGTCAGAATGTAACCTGACGTGTATTGTGTGTGACCGGTTCTCTGCCGAATTGTTTAGCATCTTAAATAGCTGTTATTATTAAGCAATTTTTTTTTCTCTAGTTAACGGCACAGTCATGTGTAGATGCAGAATGCAGAGGACCTCCGTAGGTCTTGAAACAAAAAAGAGTCCATACGTTTGGAATCTTTTTGAGAGAAGGAAAGGTCTATCCATACTATTACCAGTAGTAGTCACATGTACCCCTAACCCTGCTAAATGCAACAGAATGCACCAACGGTAAAAAGTTGTTGCAACTTGTTGCATCTAGCATTTGTCCTGATCTGATGCATTCCACCATTGCATACCGTTGCATTTGGCAGGATAGGTACTTGGTACCAAGGCTGGCACTGCATTCTGTTCCATTTGGCAGGGTGCCTAGAGAATACCCCGTGGGGGTTAGGGCTAATTAGGGGCTAGACGTTGTTATGGTTTGATATGTTATAACCCGCCGCCGTGATAACCCACCGCCGTGACAGGGCGTTATCATGACCAACTAATATCACCCACGAACCCATCAGGAACGTCTTGGGAAATTTGTAAAATCTCCCCCCCCCCCCCGAAAAATGGGGGAAACTAGTGTGCATGCAGGCAATTTTGGTCCATATTCAGTCCCACGCACACACTACACACCACAAAAGAGCTGACCAGTGAAGTGGCTCAAAAGTCCTGCAACACTATACTGGGAGAAATGTCAGATTTTGGTTCGGAACTACTATGAAATGTTTTGAATGCGGGCTGCATATTTAGGCCAAACAGGTATGCGCATTACACAACCGATACGATTTTCCCTAGACGTTGTTCCTGACGGGTTCGCAGGTGACATTTGTTGGTCGTGATAATGCTGTCTCGCGGCGGGTTATCACGTATCAAACCATAAAAATGTAGCCCCTAGAATATCATCAGGGGCACCGGCAAGCTTTCAGGAGATGGGGGTTGATAGGAAGGGGAGGGTGAGTTGAGTGAAGGCGTACCAAAGGCCTGCCCAGCTAGGGGGGTACATGGAAAGGGCCCCCCCCCCCCCCCAATTTGAGAATAAATTTCGGAACTTAAGCATTCCACTTGATTTTGTCCCCATTTAACTCGTACATGTATCACAACATTAGTTTGCGGCTGAACTTGGGGGTCGCACCCCCCCCCCCCCAAGATTTACCAAGTTCACGTACCAGTACATGTACATGGACTCATGTGTGTGTTGATGTCCCCATAATTCATGGGGTTTGTGAGAAATGTACACAAACAAAAGGTGGAAGTGGCTTATTGCCGAATTTGGAAGTCTGTTGTGTTTGTCAATTTTTTTCAAAATCTACAGGGTGTAACTCCTCCCCCCCCCCCCCCCCTTAGCTGGTATGCTTACTGTTTTGTTCAAATTGCCAGGATTTTTATTTATGCAATTACAGGAAAGTAACCAGCATCTTTTGTAAGACTGTTTTTGGAAGAATTTGGTGTTTTCTGTGTAAATTCCAAAAGCAGTTTAGCTGGTTCGATAACAGTTGGTGCCATGAATTAAGCATTAATTTATTGCCGAAATTTGTGCATAGGTGTGTCTGAATGTATATGATAGGGTATAAGAGATTAACTTAAAGATTGCACTATTTATAAATATAGCACAGATTTATTCAAATGTCTTGACTAACAATGATTGTTTTGGAATAAAAATATATTTGTTCACATTAATTCATGTAGTTGTGCATTTGTTATTTTTATGCAGTAACATCTGTGTGTTGCATATTACTTTAACATATTTGTGTCATAGATTTTCACTGTCCTGAATCCTCCAATTTTAATATAATTTTTCACACCCTCTAGGGAGTTAACATTTCGCTGTTTCCCAGGTTTGCTGCATTTAAGAATGCCCTTTTTAGTAAACTATAAATCACGGCGCTTACAGTATTATTATTACCCCTGATCATATGGCCAATCAAACATTCCAAATACCATCTCAGCTCCCTGGGGAGTATACAGCTCGATGCTGCCTGTTAGGCGCAAGCAAGCTAAATCAATCACATAACCATCTCTGCCCTCACAGGTACCCATTTACTCCTGGGTGGAGAGAAGCAATGAGTGACAAAGCACCTTGCCCAAGGGCACACGCACCATGACCCCGGCTGGACTCGAACCCACAACCTGCAGCTTTACCCGCAGACCGTGAATCAGTGCCCTTAACCACGAGGCCACAGCGCTCCACAACAGCATTGCTAGTGTTGCTAGCATCGTGTCTTTGGGTGTGATCCTGACTACATATGCCATGTTCAAGTTCACAGCTTCGGACTAGGGCTGTTATTGACTTGGGAAATCCGCCACCGTATACGGCTGGATGGTTCAGTTGGTAGAGCACTGGTATGGCATTCCAGAAGTTTCAGGTTCAAACCCCGCTCCAGTCAATTTCTTTGTTCAACAACACAATTAACTCAAGCATTAAAACATAAATGGGGGTGCTTGTATTTTTAATTGCATTTTTTTTTCAATATGCATACATTTACATTTTAAACTCATTTAAAATCAAAAATAGGTCCTACATGTGCTAGCCCTTGTGCACAATATGACATTCAAAATGTGTACTTTGTAATCTTACTCTTTACACATATTTTACTAAACAGTACTGTAGTACTTCAGTGTTGTAGCACTCATACTCGTACGCCAGTACATTTTTTTGTACTCGTATTCATAAAAAGTGTACTCGTACAGAAAACAATTGCCAGTACTCGTACTCGTGATGAAACACCACTCACACTGCCACAGTAGTCCGTCCTGATTTGAAAATCACAGGCGTGTGGAACAAAGCACACCTGGATTTTTCTAGGCGTGTTTTTTTTTAGGAGTGTGGTTTTCTAGGTGTGTAATCTGTGGTCCAGGGAAATTCAGGCCTGCAATTATTCACACTTCTCGGGAAGCTTTTTGCGATGGTGTGGGGGTGTGATCGCACGCTTCAAATCAGAACGACTGCTGCCACTCATATTAAAACTATACTCCTGTAGGAAACTTATTTGATTATTTTCAGGCATGTAAATGGGACTTGAGAAAAAAACGAGGAAATTCCAAGCCACACAAGACTTTGTACAGTGTTTTTCAAGTTGTAATGGCATTCTTGAGAAGTGAAAAACGAGGAAATCAGCGGATCCGAGGAAAAGTTGCATGCCTGTATTTTACAGACATGTGCAGGAAAAGAACCTCTTTTCCCTTCTGTTTGATAGGATTTTGCATTGATGCCTAGTTTGACAGCCAAAAATCCTTTGGAAAACACATTACCATTGAACTGTGTTTGTATACTCATGGAAAAGTACTCATTCTCATATTTATACATGTACTGGTGGAATTATGCTCACTGTGTGTACACATGACAAAAATTGCCGGAAACAATGTTGCAACCTGGCGCTACTTAAGCGGTTGTGTACAAAGTATATGGAGAGTCAAGAACAGTTTCTAAGTATTTACTAACAAAATTGGAAATGTTCCTCAGTCCCAGATTTATGTCTTATCATGTTTGCAATGATTGACCTTCATTGAAATGATATGAAGAAAAAAGCAGTGTAAGGTTGCAACATTCTTTCCGAATTGCCTTGTACTGGTACTCAAACTCACTCTTATGGCAAGATACTCGTACGAGTTATGTACAGTCGAGTCTCGTTAATACAAACTCGTTCGGACCTAGCCAAATTGTTTGTTATATCAGAATTTTGTATTAAGAGGAACATCAGTCCCATTCATTGTGCACATAAATGCACAGTCGGGACTAAGGCTTTATGTTTGTTATAACCAGGATTTTGTATTAACAGAGTTTGTACTAACGAGATTCGACTGTACTCAACTACAACACTGCTGTACTCACACATTTCTTGTACTGAAATGTACTGTACTCACCGACAACTCAACAACAATTACTGAACTTCTGTACTTAAAGTTTCTTCAGTAAAATCAAGTACATTATTCCATTGTCATACTCATCCAAAATTACTTCACTACATTACGAGGGTTCTGTATTCACACCCTGAAGCCTACACACTGATAACAAATACAAGTATAACAAGGTGCCAGTCTACTTTATGCATCACTCTGAAAGTCATCATCTTGTACTCAAGAAAACCAAAAATTACATACATGTACTTTTCTTTTCAGGAACTGGCACATATTGCTGCAGATATACACATTTGACACTGGCAAGATGTAAATTGAAAGATAAACTTATAAATAATGTGATCGTGATAATCAATCTGTACAATTTTAAATCCGAAATTGCTAAAACAACAACACTTTTTCATAAATAAAGTGACTCCTTGTTGACAAAACTATGTGAGAAATGGTGGAAAGTTATGGTGGTATGATATAAAAAAGTATTTATTTCCCCGACTTTCTAACAAAACTAAAATAAAAATCCCTATTCCTGTTGCAGACCAGTGGTGCTTCAAAGGTCGATTCAATGTTGTTAGCCAAAAGTGGCGGTTTGTAAAGTGCCAGATGAAGTAACCATGCAAATAGTGGTTTATTAACCCTAGTAACTCTCTACTGGCTTTACTAGGAACTGGACCAAGTCCGCCAAAATCCATCACTGACGCTGCTTCACATATTATGCTTCAGGACCAAATCTGCTGAAATCCACCACAAGATTAGACCACCACTACTTTAGGTGGATTTTGATGGACATGGTACAGATGTAAGATTTGAGGCTTTGCATGGTGGGGTATCGGTATCGTTTCGGTTTGCGGTAACACCATGTGGTAATAATGGTACAGATGCTTCTACTAAGTACTGGACCAAGTCTGCAAAAATCCATCACTGACGCTGCTTCACATATTATGCCTCAGGACCAAATCTGCTGAAATTCACCACAAGATTAGACCATCACTACATTAGGTGGATTTTGATGGACATGGTACAGATGCTTCTACTAAGTACTGGACCAAGTCCGCCAAAATCCATCACTGACTCTACTTCACATATTATGCTTCAGGACCAAATCCACTGAAATCCACCACAAGACCACCACTACTATAGGTGGATTGTGATGGATTGGTACAGACAGCTTTTCTGCCCAAATCCCACAAAGGGGATGGATTTTGATGGAGTTTGGAAGGTTGGGGTTAAACAAGAAGCCTTTCCCAAGCCTCGCACAATACCCATGTATCACGTAATAGTACACCAGCGAAACAGTGCATGCATGCGATATGTTCCTTTACATAACTGACTTACAGATCCTTGTCATTGATTTGGTGGAACTGCCATCATGTGACATTCGTTATTGCTCCCATTGACGCCGGGGCTCAAAAAGTCCCATTCGCCCATGGTGAATTGGAGTTCAGTTGGGATCATCATTGTCCATGGTGCGGTATTTGTATGCAAATGCATGCTGGTGTGCGTGTTGAGCATTGCGCGTAATGTTCCCAAGAGCCAGTAGCTACAGAGTTGGGTTCAAACATTTCATGAAGGGATGATTGGAAGAGAGAAATACATTTCCCACCAATTTTGTATTGAAATAGAAGTTCATTTTAACTATAAATCAAATGACAAGCATCTAGATGTCCATTATATAAAACAAATATTGAGTGCCTTTTAATTGTGAAATGGGAGGAATATTATCGCTCCGTAAAATCTGGACTTTTCCATTTCACTTGGCTTCGACTTGTGAAATAAAAAAATCTAGATTTTAGCTTGCGATAATATTCCTCTCATTCCTCTCAGAGCCACTCAATGTTTGTACATGTATACTACTGAGCTCTCACAAGTGTTCACAAAAAAATACCATCTGATATTTCAAACCTATTTGAATTAAACTGACCTTCAAGGTAATTCTTTTTACAGCACATATCTTTTACAGATCACATACAAAGATTTCAACAAAAAAATTTGTTGGCTATATCTTGTTTAATTTTTCATGTTCTCTAGCCTTACACTTATATTGTACATGCATCAAGCATTTAAAATAATTTAAAATAATAAAATTATTCTCAATAGCATACGACACACTATGATCCCATCAATCCCTTGTCACTTAAATAGATATACATGTATATTGATATAATACAGTTGAACCCTGAAGAGCAATGTTAACACAACGTCATGCTTATAACAAGCAAGATTTTAGGTCACAAGTCTTGTTTTTCCATGTTTTCCAATACTGTTAATAAAAGGTACCGGTACCTGTTATAACAGGGTCATCTGTAAAGTCCCAAGGACCTTGTTTTAAAGCTATAGTCCATCATTTGTAATTAGTGCATTTTGTTCGTTTGAAGCAACAAAAGTGTTCAAAGTCTAATGAAGGATACTGAACAACTTACTTGATGAAGTTTCAGCTCAGCTTCAGCTTCATATTCCGAGAAAAACAGCATTCTAGGATCTCAATTTAAAATCAAAAGTTGCTAAATCATGTTTTGAATTGTTTTGAATTGCAGCTTTACGTGATGTCGCGCACTGATCCGACGAATTATAGCAACCGGGGGTGCGCGTGCGTCGTGCCAATGCTTGTGCGCGCTGCGCCGAATAACAAAACGAACTACTAATTTAAATTTTCCTACGGTGCTTCTTAAGAAGCACCGTTGGAAATGCCTTCTTTTGTTGATTTCTTCAAAATGAGAGCTTGCCAGAAAGGATAATTTCACAGGGAGTTTAGTCCCTTACTATCTTTCAACCAGTATGTTTTTCAACAATAATTCCGCCAGTTACTTTTTCGGATGGCTGCAAATGATGGACTATAGCTTTAACTCTTTCGCTACGGCAAGCCGCTGACAGCGGCACACACAAAGATTGTACATGTCGTACGGCAAGCCGCTGGCAGCAGCTCGGTGACGTTGCTGTGAATAAACAGGGTATCCCCATGACGTGTGCCTTATCTACATAATTTATATCGTATAACCTCTGACCCTTAGTTTGAGCTGCTCGCCGGGGTCTGCTGCAGGTTATTTTGAGCAGTTCATTTACGGAGAGACATTTAAAGATGGCGGCGCCCACATCAACACACGGTGGAATTTCCAGTGATTTATTACGTCCAAACGTGGAAAAATCGGTAAATTAAATTCTGTAGCGAAAGAGTTAATACAACTTAGGTACCTGTTATAACAAGATCATTTGTAAAATCCCAAGGACCTTGTTTTAAAGTTGTTCGACTGTTTTTGCACTCCAATTTTTTACCTGACAAAACTGATTCTGTAGAACATGTCCAAACAAAGTGCCTTAATGTTTTTGTTAATGCTGTTCTATCACTTGTATGTTAAAAATTAGAAGTTGCATAGTTATAGTAAACAGTTCCAGAATTTTTTTTTGTGGGTGGCTGAATCATTACTAAGTGCACAAACGTGTTGTTCATGCCTTTAGTATGCAGTTGAAACAACAGATATATGCAAACACTCTAAAAATTATATCCTTGATTAGAAAGAGTATTTTTTTTTATTATTCGAGTTTTGTGAGTACATTGATTAAAAATCAATACTTTGAGGGATGAACTTGACTAATCTGAACTGCAAGTTAATATTGTTGTCATTATTGGCATTGTCATCAGATGGAGATATCCATATCTGCTAGTTATTGTCACCATTGTCATTGTCAACAGTTGATAATATCCTTATCTGTTAGTTATTGTCATTATTGTCATTGTCATCATTGTCATCGGCTGATAATATCCTTAACTGCTAGTTATTGTTGTCATTAGTATCATCGTCATCTTCATCATCGTCCGATGGTTGAGTTTGGCTGGCTTCCATGGCCGCTTTCTGCACAATGTCCATCATGGGTACCAGTTTGCCATCATCTGACACCGACATGGGTTGAATGACACCCTCTCTGTTGAGAAAATGCCAATGACGTCAGTAAAACTGACAAACTGTGCATGCTTACAGGAAAAAACGTAAAACTAACTGCCAGATAATTTTGTGCCACTACTACCTTGCGCTATTCCCATAAATCCTTTCCTTACCATGGGCAACTTCTGTAGATGAGGAACTACCCCCCTGCTGGTTACCATAGGCGTTTTTATAGTCGACCAGGAAACCACACACACAACACCCTCAACACAGATTTATTCACTACTTTTCAGAAAGGCGGCATGTTGATATGTTTGGCCGCCCATACATTAACCATATACCAGCTGAAAGAGTGTTTTCGAATCATTCTAATGGTGTCGTTTATTCACAGTGTTACCATTACAAAAATTTAAGAAAAGTCCTTCAGAAGTATCCACACACAATTTGAGGAATGAAGTGCCATTCGGTCATGTGGTGAAATGGCTTGCAGTTTGATAAATGGGACCAGATGAACAAACAGGCATAACATTCTTATATTTGCACATATGGACTTCATTTCTACATCACATAAAAGAGTAACGTTCAAGGAACAATCTTTACACACAACACAGAAGATTTTAATTCCTCCTTGGCAGTGAAAATCTGGGTTGAAAAAAGTAAGTTTTCTACTTGTGGTCATTTTTTTCACGCTCTAGTGATTTCTGCATGACTGAGCAAACAATTTGGTCCTGGGGAGAGCCAAGTCAATAAAACAATGTAGTAATGAAAGGGTTAAATATCTTTCCTGATTTGCACCAAAACCGAATAATACAGAAGTGACTCTAGTCGACCAAAACATATTTTGGTTTCAGACAGTCGCAATTTTCTTTATTAATTTTCCATTGACAAGACACACCATGGAGTTGCTTTACACGACTGCAACAGTCCAGTTGTGTTTATTGAAGTTTTGCATCCACGCGACATTATACCGTGAACGGTGCAAGATCTGCCATTTTGGATGTCTAGCATGCTCGATCGATTGTACAGTACATGTACATTGCATTATGCGTAACGTGCATGTTCTGCGGTACTTGTCACGCGGTCAATATCAAATATTTCTCTCAAAACTCATTGGTCAACCCCCCAAAAATTGAACAGAAAATGAAAGATGATGAAATAAACCTTAACTTGATGTTTCTCAAAAACCTTGGAGAGTTGTGAGTATTTTTCCTGAATTTTTGAAGTGGGGGTATTTATCACAGGGTCTATGGCAGTTTGTTTACGAGTCTGCAACCATAGACGTCCATTTTGTGGCAGGCGTGTGGGTGACCACTGACCTGTGACGTCACGTGAGATTCCTCAACTTACCGAGATTTGCCCTTTGCTTATTACATGATGTTATTAAAGGGAATATACATCATTTGCTTTTGCTGTAAATTTCAGAAATGGATGGAATTGGAGGGTTGGAAATATATAGCAAATATAGTTACACTGACTTTTTTTTAGGTTTTTGGTTCAAGAATGCTATAAAAACAAAGAAAAACAACCATTTTCCTGTAGTCTGGTTCCCTGACTCTATTTAAGGAGAAACAGAGCAATTTACGTACATTGGGGAATTGTAAGGTCAGGGAACCAGTCTAGCTGGCTAGTACCCGTTCATAGGTGTGTAATCGATTGCAAACAAGTGCGATGGTCAATTGGGGCCAGTATTTGACAAAAAGCCACTTTTCTTGAAAATGACAGTATACCAGGTGCCATGATTTTACAGGATGCTTTACACTGTCATTCACTAACAGTCCAGCAAGGTACCGGGGGTATTTCAAAATGATTTGGTAGTTTTATTTTTTGATGTTTGCAAATGTTGTATTTTCCCTTTAAAAGCATTGTACCTGGTGATTCTGTGGATCATGTTGGCCAGTTCAATGGCTGCGACTTCTTTCTGTTCGTCCGTCATGCCTTCCATGGGATTGGGCCGCTCAGATTCCACGCGGCCAGTTACCGGATTCACCCTGAAATTACAATGGCACAAATAACCTCAGATTAAAAAAAAAATAGGATCAAAACCAGTATCTATTGGGGAGTCAGGTTGGCGTAGCGGTACTTTCCCCGCCTTCCACCGCTGTGACCCGGGTTCGAATCCCGCCTGGGCCAATATGTGGATTGGGTTTTCAGTCCCTGCCTGATTCTGTGGGTTTTCCCCAGAATATTCTTCTGGGCTTTTCCTCCCACCTCTAAAACTGTAACTTCTTCTCATTGTCTTCTCTCCACAGGTTTCTTCAGGCTTGCGAGCTACAGTGCCTAGGGCGCTTTTGAGGAATCCTTGGTTTCATTACCAGAAATGATTAATAATAATAATAAAAGATCCTAAATTGGGTGCATTGATGTTGTGGGTAACAGTAGCTGGACAATTTGGGGCTCAATACTGTGTATGAGAGTCCCAAAACTTAAGGTATTGAAAACATACAACACAAGAAAATAGACTGGCACCTGAAACAACCAGTCCAACACCCTTTTAGTATCGCATCAGTCGACTGTGTCAAAAGAATCATCTGGTACCGGTCTCTATTTCTACATATCTCTCCATAGTCTGCCACCAGACTACTGAAGAGGTCAGTCTTTTCAAACAGTTGGACTTGTAGCAGTCTAGTCTTAGGCTTCAAATTGAAATCACTTGGCTTCAATCTCAGGTGCAAAATATTGAAGAAAAAATGAAGTGAGTCTTCAAACTTGGTTGGTGAAATACTGAGGACCTTGCCTTTGCCTCATGAAAATTTTGGAGAATTTCGTCAGCTGAAGAGTGATTTAAAGTTTGCGTGATATTGTTTTTGCGTGATTTTCAGCACTCAAGGTCCCAGTCTGGGCTAACAGTAGAACTGAGGCCCATAGCACAGAAATCTGCAAAGCACACGAGTTGAACAACAAAAAAGGCAAGCCTTTGACTTGTGAGGACTCGTGTGTGCTTGTGATGGACTTGTGAGTTGTTAGAGACATGTAATGACTTGTGATGACTTGTGATGAGTTGTTGGAGACTTGTAATGACTTGTGATTGACTTGTGATGACTTGTGAGGATCTGTGAGGGCTTGTGAGGGCTTGAGATCAACATGAGGACTTGTGAGTTGTTAAAGACATGTAATGACTTGTGATGACTTGTGATGAGTTGTTATAGACTTGTAATGACTTGTGATTAACTGGTGAGGATTTGTGATCGACTTGTGAGGACTTGTGAGTTGTTACAGACATGTAATGACTTGTGATGAGTCGTTATAGACTTGTAATGACTTGTGATTGACTTGTGAGGACTTGTGATGCTTGTAAGGACTTGTGATGCTTGTAAGGACTTGTGATGAGTCGTTATAGACTTGTAATGATTTGTGATTGACTTGTGATGCTTGTAAGGACTTGTGATGCTTGTAAGGACTTGTGATGAGTCGTTATAGACTTGTAATGACTTGTGATTGACTTGTGAGGACTTGTGATGCTTGTAAGGACTTGTGATGCTTGTAAGGACTTGTGATCACATATGATAACATAACTACAGCTCTGCTCTCTGTCGTGTGCTTTGAAAAGCCAAATTAAACAATGTTTTTCTATGGTAAACTTACTCATTCCTAACGTCTTTATATTCCTCCGTGTCGCTGTCGTCTTCATCCGAGCTGTAGTCCCTGTTGCCATGACCACCGGCTAGGAGACCACGCCTTGCTAGCATCCCTGCTGCATTGCCATAGCCCGTGTATTTGATCAATCGGTTCACTACAACAAGAAACAGACATTTTGTGGAATACGGAGGTAATAAGGGCAGCTTTGGAAATTGAAAATGTGGCCGGATCCCACAAAATGAGTATTAAGGTCAAATTTTCACTGATTAGTTGTTCACATGGAGTATAAAAAAGTGCATAAGTTGCTCTTCCTGTTAACCCTCCCTTTGCTTAAGAGGTCACCAATGGTCAACATTTTCTTCCTCACCTCCTGGCCTACTGTGTACAAACCAATGGGACTCGGACCAATATTGACCCAAGTAATAAGCAGGCTGACAATGCATGTTACCATTGGAGGGTTAATATATCACTCTATTTCACGTCTAAATATATTTAGATATGATGTGGGTGAAGAGACTGGTTGCTACTACACTGTTGTACAAAAATGTCTGAAGTTCAAACTATTAAAAAAAAGGTCTTTATCTTTTCTCAAAATACAGGTATAGATTGAAAAAGAATGAAATATTTGAATTATAGTAACTTGTGAACTCAGGTCAACAACCTGGGATTCATGTTAGTTTGTTCCCTCACATAACACAGGGTGAATAAAAAAAAAAAAACCAAATGTCGGGACCATTGTCTTAGTGAAGTTCTGCATGTAGCACTTTCAAAATCTAGGATATGGAAGCCCGATTCATAAGCTTTCTTTCAGGACAAGAATCATTCAAATCACTCATGTACTTTTCAAGTTACGGAATTTTAAATACAACCACCTTTTTAAAGTTCTGTCCACTGATCACAAAACTGGTACGTGTTCATTCAGCAAAACGAAAACAAATCACAAGCGGATGTGTGTGAATTGTTTTTGTTTTGTTGAAAGAACGCACACCTTTTTTTGTGATCCGTTGACAGAACTTTAACAGGGTGGTGGTGTTTTAAATTCCGTTACTTGAAAGTAACATTAGTGATGTGAATGATTCTTGTCCTGAAAGAAAGATTATGAATTGGGCTTTCATATCCTAGATTTTGAAAGTGCTACATGCAGAACTTCACTAAAACAATGGTCCTGACATTTGGGTTTCGTTTTTTTTACTCACCGTGTATGGCCTACTGTGATCAGCACTCACCTGATTCTTTGCAGAGGATGAACAGCAAGTCAGCAACGACTTCCTTGATATCCGTGGAGTGGTTGGTCATGAGACGTACCAGCTTATTGCGCAGGCTTATACCTTCCTCAGGGAGATGGCATGCCTGGTCCTTATTGAGAGGAGGTAGAACCTGTAATGCAGCAAATGCAAGACTACAGTGTAATGGTGAAGCACTAGACTAGTAAATAAGTGGTTACTAGTCCAAGTCTGTATGGATTTGAATTTTAAAAAAATGTCAGTAACCACGTTTTGGTGAATGGTAACCACAATTCTTATTCAGAGAAAAATGGGCTCCCTCAACAGTAAGAAAGGGAGAGTTGGGGAGACCACTAGGAGATTCATTCGAACGCATTGCCGCACCACGCCTGACACTCACATGAAGTTGCTGTGGAATTATGCACTTTCGAATTAAAATTAGTCGTGCGCAGTTGGTGCTACATGTATATTCGCGCGTAAACCAGTATGGGCATGTGGTGCATCCCGTCCACTTGGCTCTCGAAAGTGGTAAATAAAATGTCCTCTCTTGTTTGTGCATGGAGTCAATGGAACCTCCAGCTGAAGTAGAACCTGTTATGCATGGCATGCAAGGAGCATGGTTGAGTGATGCCGCACTATGACCATAATCCTGTGGTAGCAGGTTCAAATCCAACTGCGATCAATGTAAGATTTAAAGGCTTCATAATTTCTTTTAATGACTTTTTTCTAGTATTTTTCTTTCAATGTTTTAGACTTTTTTTACAGATATTTTGCTTTTCTTTTAATGAATTTTCTCTAGATTTTCTTCTTTTTTTTGACATGTAGATATTTTGTAGATGTACACGTACAGTTTTGGACATGTACAGTTTTCGTAGCATAATTATAATCTGTTTTATGTATAGGTCTAATAGGTCTTCTATTTAAAAAAAAAATAAACCAGTCAAATTCACGTAAATTGAAAGTAACTAGTTTAGTGTAAAACCCATGTTGTAGAATATCATTGGTGAGACACTGTGACAGCCAACTGCATGGTTTAAGGTTCAAGTCCATTTTATTGAAATGAAGGAAACATGCAACCTTAATGTTTATGTTTTACTAGATGAAAGAGTGACTACAAACCGTCTCCTTGAGATATCTGCGTATACGTCTGTCCGTCCTGCTCAGCACACAGAGGGCGCTAAGCACAGGGTTCAGCTGCTCAACTACGTGCAGCTTCTTTGCAGCTGCAGCCTTTATACAAAACAACACAAGGTGAGTACAATTTTATTTCAAAAAGTACATAGGGCATAAAAGAGATCAATGTTAACAGCAGGAAATAACATTGGTTTCACATGGACAAAGCTAATTCCAAATCCTTAAACAAACAAAAACAGGCATAAATCTGGGAAGTAACAGAAAAGAGGAAATGCCAAGCTTTCCAAGATTTTCTGATTTTTTTCAATTTTAAATGGCATACAACACAAGTACAAAAAACGAGGAAATCAGCCGATCCGAGGAAAAGTTGCTTGCCTGAAGTACTTTGTGTCTTGAAACTGAGAGCTGACCACCCAAGAACCGAATGCAGTGGAACCAATCACCAAATTTGGAACCTACAACTCAATACAATTCAACCTTGGAACCCAAAATCTTGGAACTTGGAAAAAAAAATGTTAGAACCTGCAACCCAAAACTTAAAACCTGGAACCTAAAATCTTGGAACCTGGAAACCAAATAATTGAACCTAGAACCCCATATCCTGGAACCTGTTATCCTATATCCAACACCATTTATTTTGGAAATGCCCAACAGTAAAACCAAAATTTTCTGGAAGCTGGAACCTTTGAACAAGGCCCACAGCCAGTGCCATTCCCTTTGAAATCTGAAGTCAGAAGCTGGAACCTTTTATTGTTCTAGGAACCTAAACCTTTTATTGGAACCTTTTAAACAGGCTTATTCTCACCCGATCCACCCTCATCTCCAGGAACTTGAGAATGCTAACGATGGCGTCCATGCTGTGCCCGTCGTAGAGCAAGTCACCCCCTGCCGCTCCCCCGCTGGGTTCAGGGGTCAACTCTTGTATGCAGGTCAACGGAAGGGCACAGGTCATCAAGTTGATGGTTTGACTGCAGATAATAAAAAACTATTAGATGCAACTATTTCACTCTTTCCGACTTATATTCCGACAATAAATTCATCGTCTTTGTCATTCAGTTTATTTCTTTATGCGTGTACTATTGCTTTAAGCATGCCATTTTTTCTCCATTGCCATTTTCTTTAACGCCATTTTTGCATTTTTTGTTGTTGTCTATTATGGCCCTAACTTGCTTCCATATTAAATTAAATTAAATTAAATTAATTTTGTTAATGCTTCTTTCCAATAATTCACTCATTGTCCCTGTCATTTACATTCTCGTATTGTCTATGTTTATACGGAGTCCCTTTTTTTGGTTATTATTTACCTTGTTAATTGTGTTATTGTTGTTGTTGTTCAGGGGACTCGCACTCGACAAGCTTGCTTTTTGTGGGTCCCCGGTATTAATACTAGTACATTATTTTTTATCTTATTTGTTTTAACATACCTAATTTATTTTGAAGAATTATATTTATATTTTTGCATTGTACCATGAGGTTGAATAAAGTAAAGTAATATATCAGCTAAGCTTGTTGAAGACAAGGATTATGGGCTCAATGCAGAAGTACCCTCTCAACGCTAAGAAAGGGAGAGTTGGGGGAGACCACTGGGAGAGACATTCAAACGCATTGCCGACGACACCCGACGCTGTGGGTTTGTGCACATTCAGGATAAAATAAGTCACGCGTTCTTCCCGCTATACGCATACTTCACGCTATACGCGCGTGAACCAGTACGCGGTGTGTCCCATCCACTGAGCTCTTTAAGAGTGGTCAAAACGTGAGCCATATACAAAACAATTTAACATTGATATGGCCAATCCATTATGCCCCACCCACTGCTAAGCAAAAAAAACCAGGTTACCAGCCTAAGTGTCACTCAATGTGCAGTGCCTCTTGGTTACCAGTGATTTTTTTGGTTAGCACATACATCTACTAAGCATGTTCACTTAATATGTACCTATGGCACTCTTCTGTCTTTGCAGGTGTTGTGGAGTCGCTCAGCAGCATGCACCGGCAGGCTATGCCAAGACGCCGCAGGACATCAGGCTCCAACTCCTGCAAGTGAACAACACAAACAGGAAAAAGAAAAAAAACCAAGAAATAATAAACACCTCATTATTTAAGTAAGAGGCATTTTTTTAATAAGTCTTTGGCAGCATTTGGTAGCGTCGTTGGTTAGGCCAAAAACAAAAAAACTTCTGCTTTCGATTATATGGCATTTGAAAATAGGGTAGGTAGGTAGGGAATTTTGGGGGGTTTTTTTTGCCCTTTTTTTTCTGTATGATCACATGGAGGTGTCTGCATGTAGTCAAGGGAAAAAGGTAGTAACGGATGGTTTTCGTTTTTTTCCCCCTCATTTTTCCCTGAAAGAAATTAGGGTCCGGGCTGTCCAAATAGGGAAGGTAGGGTAACTGGAAGCAGAAGTAGGTTTTGTGTTGCCTTATTAATTCAAAAATTAAATTGTGTGTTTGGAAACACTAATAACTATTGTTTATTTTGCAATGTTGGCCTTCCGTAGTTTGCCATCTCGAGGTTGGCAAAGACAGGTGTACAGGCAGGGTACAAAATCTTACTTTCTCCAGCTCCTTGGCCTTGGTGTGTATGACGGTGTTGAACAAGGCTTTAAAGACTTCGCACGCCAGATCAGCCTGCACTGCGGTCATCTTCACTGATTCCACAACAGTGTCCCCCACCCTGTCTGTCACTGTGTGTGTTGCGGTATCTACCACCGCGTCTGTCACTGAATCCACAACACTATTTGTCACAGTGTCCACCACTGTGTCTGTCGCCGCATCTGCCACCGTCTCTTTGGCTGGTTCTGACACCACGTCCGTTGTCGTATTTGGCACTGCATCTGTCACAGGTTCTGTCGCAGGTTCTGTCACCGTGTCCGTCACAGTCTCTCCACCCCCCACTGCTGCTTCTCCGGCTGTGGATTTTGAGGCGGAGTCAGTAATGCCAATTGTGTCTTCCGTCGGTGATTGTGAAAGAGTTGCTGGTGGTGCTGTTGACTGCGGAGGGAAACCTAGCACTTCGGTCTCAAGAACTTGGGTAAGTAACTCGATCCCGTTGTATTCCTTTCTCACAAATGACCTAAACAATAAGAAGAGTTTTCAACAGATATAAGTCTTTTTCCCACAACGGAATTCCGTAAATTCGGACGGATGCCAGACACCTTAATGAGCTGCTGTTGGAAAAGTGAATGTGATAGATCACTAATATGTGACATCTATTGAGTAGAAAACCATTACAGACCACACTAAGGTACCACCATCTTAATGACCTTGTACATCATGTGGTCAGACTTACACAGAGAAATGGATTTTACGTAATTTCCTACAAAAAAACCCCAAAATACATAATAGAATTCAGCACAGTGCAGTAACATGGAGGAAATGCTCTGTATTGTCAAACAAGGCCATTATCAGTAAGGCCAAAAAAAAAAGTCTCCGGTTTCTGGTATGCGCGCGCGTCGCCGTAGCCATGCGCGTCGGCAAAATGAAAAAGTTTTTTTTTCAAATACAAGATGATGTCTCAAAACCGCCAAACTCACTGGTTTGACTGGAATCCTGCTGCTGCACAATTTTAACGTGTTTTTAGATGGGGTTATGATCGAGAATAAGCTTTATGTGGCCTCTCTGGACTCCCATATATTTGCACGTTTAGTCGGGCACCATTTGCAGTCATCAGCGGACATTTGAAGCCAAAATAAAAAAAAAAAAAAAACAGGTAAAAAAAAAAAAAAGCCGCGTCGCCGCACAACTTTTGGGGCAAGCTCCATACCAGAAACCGGAGACTTTTTTTTTTGGCCTAATACTATCTGGGCTCTAAACGCATATATCCATCAACATATTGAAAACCTGTTAAATTTTGAATTTAAGCTGCTTTCTTGCAGGCATGTTTAATTGTTTCGCCCATACATGTCCTTACCTGGTTTTAGGGCACAGTGCTGTCATTAGGAACAGCAACCTCATGTCAAAGAACTGAAACAAATAAATTGAATTAAAAATTTACGATTAATTAAATATATGGATGCATGCAGCAGGGAATTTGTGTGTGTGAAAATGTTATTGTAAATACTGGACCAAAGAGGGCGCTGTTTCTACGGCAACTAGACAATTGGATGCTGAGGATGTTGTATACAGGTGTAACGTTGCCATTTAGGGAATAAAAGTAATGAATCCAAGGTCACTGATGCAAGTTTACATACTGCTATAGCTCAAAAATTACATTTTAGAATTGGATTTGTTAGATTTAAAATAATGAAATATATAGTGTATAAAAGCACGTATCCACCATTACTGGTGCATTGGGCACTACAGTTGTACCTCATTTATTACATTGTTTGTTTCATTGGGCCAATGAAACATTTCAAACACAATCTCAGCTCCCTAGCTCGATGCTGCCATTTCGGAGCAAAGCAGCTAAAATCAACAGCAAACCATCTCTGACCTCACAGGTACCCATTTACTCCTGGGAGGACAGACGCAATGAGTAACAAAGCATTTTTCCTAGGGCACACTCACTTAACCCCAGGCTGGACTCGAACCTACGCTCTGCAGAATTACTGGTACCTGAAGGCCATGAGATCAATGCTCCAGACCAAGGGCCCATGACACTCCACCAAGAAAAGTTAAATACTGCCTCAATGAACAGCATTTGTCTAGTGCTTGTACCCAGTTTATGGTGTCATTGCTACAAAATAGGGGCCGTTTTGTTTTTACTTCTTTTCAAGTTTTTCTTAAAATGTTTCTTAGATAAAAGAGAGAGGCGGTTCACAGAAGAATAAAACTTTCAGAAATACATCCTCACCTTAATGTCAGTTGATATCTGTGGTTCGCTACTCGGATACAATCTGACTCGGTTCATTAAATATTTGACACACTTGCTGTCTCTACATTAGGAAGAAAAGAAAGGACAAGGCAAGCCCAGTAAAGCGAAACCCAGAGTACACAAAGTTATATTCAGTTGATTCAGAGTGGCTATTACTGGGAAGTCTTAACATGCATCTGTGTACAATGGGCCGGATTTAGCCCATTCATTGCTTTTACAGGGTAATCCTATAGGATAGCACTGCCCGGTTCTCTACACTTGTCTAATAAGTCTTTAGTCACAAGTGGCAGGCAGTCAGCTAGTCAGTCAGACAGGTACAAAAGGACACTAGTTAGCCTTCTGAGACCAGCAAAAATTAAGGAAAAAAGTCACAATTGGAATAAACCTAGAGTCGGTGCACCAAAACAATGCATTGCAAATATACAGTCACATGAGTTTCTTTAACCCTAACTCCCTAGGCCTTTTTGCTAGGATGTAGCCTCCATTATTTCTTGAATATGGTCCATATGGTCCATGGAGAGGTGACCACTGCCTGAATCCTGCAAAATCCTTGGGCTATGACTGTCAATAGGCTGAGGCAGAGGCAGTGACATCCTGGAGCAGTGCGGAGGATGTCAAGTATAATCAAGGACTAAATTTATGCACGGCTGAGCATAAACAACACAAGGTCCGGCCCAAGATCTTGACAGGGCGTACTCCGAAATCAGCAACGCACTTTGGCCATGTAACCTCAATCCTGCAAATTCCTCCAATTTGCAAAAAGGATTTTGGAGGATTCAGGGCGGTTAGGGTTAATATGTTAATTAATGGGAGACTTTTGAGACGGTGGCAGCAAACACACAGGTCCCTTTTCCATTGTTTGCGTCATATTGAGCATGTAAGCTTAACCTGAAAAGATCTGCTACATGGTACCCTATGGAGACATGTGCACAATAGGGAACAAAAGATAGTATACATTTCCACAGGGCAATTTCTTAGGTGAATACGTCTCCACAAGGTTATCACGAAATAGACCACCAACATCTCAAAAGTCTCCCATTATACAAACTGCAATCATAGCTTACATTGTACTCCCATTTTCATTTATAATCATTTACTTTCACAACTTTTGAAAACTTAAAAACAGCCCTTCAAAGTTAGTTATTTTACACATCCAAAAATGGAAGACATTATCAAATTTGAGATGTAAAGAGCAGTGTCAGAATTCAATACTGTTATTGGCTCTGAGTGTAAACTTGTGAGGGCGCTCTTGACATTCACTACAGGCTAGCGTAGCATAAAACTTACTGGCACATGGTTTGGACTTGGCTGCTGTTGTAGACTAGATTGCACAGACACTTCTCGGCCTCAATGATAACTTCAGTGACAAAAAAAATATGCACAAAGAAAGAAAAATCACTTCACATCAGTTTCAAAGTCTTGTGTAAGTATTTCTCATTAAAAAAAAATACATGTACATGTATGTACCATTCCATAATAAAGAATCTTGTGCATATCTTGGCTTTATCTTTTGAATATGACAAACTAACTGTGTTTTTCCTCTTTTTGCACAGGTCTTGTGAAAGTACTGGTCGTGTGAAAGTACATGTACTGTGAAGTACTGTGGCCTCGTGGTTAAGGGCAGTGGTAATAATAATGGCGCTTTGATCTTAAAGGTCATTTTCAGTCGCTACGTCACAACCTTACGCCACCTAAAATGATTGCGCAAGTTACGCCATAATTTATGGCGCATGTCCCGGACTTACGCACTATCCGACTTTCGTGAAATGTGTCATAAGTGAAATGTTGCACAGCGTAAAATGTTGCGCAACTTACGCCATAAATTGTGGCGCAAGCAGAGTTGCGCCATTGCGTAAGGTTTCGTGAAATCGCCTGCAGGCTGCATCCAAACTTGGCTACGGCTAGCAATATGTGCTACATGTGTTCATGTGTGTACATATAACCCCCCGAGGACCGACACACAAAGGGAGAACAACAGATCCTTCAGTCCTTTTCAGGTCTTTTGTTGAAAATAATCCACTGTAGTAAGTTTGTGTGCTTAGTCTATGAGAGAGTGTTATAAAACAGGGACAAAGGGAAACACAAAGCATTGTCCTCGAGAGTATAGTAAAACGAGAGTGTGTGTACCTTGGTCACTGCGTTTGGTGGGTTTTTCTTCGAGTCCCGCTAGCTTCATCAGCAGGAGGATGCCGTCCTTCTGAGCCAACTGATACAGGTGGTGCTTTTCCCTGCTTAAGATCCGCAAGGCCTCCAGACACAGACAGTAACACTCTGTGTTGTACTTGGCCTCCAAGGACCTCAAAACGTCACCGATAAACTTCTGATTTTATCAAATTAATCGCATAGGGGAAACGGATTAGGTACTTACTAATAACCCTCACCCTCCTCAATCCTCTAAAAATCAACCAGTAGGGCTGTGGATTACATTTTTGAATAATTTAGTAGGCCTATTTGGTTACTCCAACTTGGACTTGATCGAATATTCAAATATCAGTTTTGAAATGTGTATGCGTGCACTTGTTGAAATTGACAAAAAGCTTATTAACTCTAACAGAACTCAACCCATCAAACCCCAATGGCATGTTTTGTTGGAATCTGTCTGGATGGGTACAGTACCCCTAAACTGACAGTCTTTTACATTGGGTTGGCACACCTCCAGAATCAAAGTCAGAAATATGTGTGTGCAGTTTCCCATATGGTGTTGGAATTCGCCAGGATGGGTATGGTTCCTAGTAAATCATGCTAGGGAGTTAGGGTTAAAATAATATAAAGAACAGGTAGCTCAATGGCTGATATTTGACTGATTTTAAAGGGAATGTACATCATTGGCTTTTGCTGTAATTTACAGAAATGAACTATTTGAGGGGTAAGTATAATAAATCAAATATTGTTACACTGACAAGTTTGAAGTTTTGTGTTCGAAAATGCTGGAAAAACCAGGAAAAACAAAAATGTTCAAGTAGTCTGGTTCCCTGACTCCACCTAAGATAAAATGCATCAATTTATAGATGCCGGAAAATTGTAAGGTAAGGAAACCAATCTAGCTGGTCTGCACCCGTTCATGAACATGGAACCAATAGTAAACAAAATTTGGACTGAAAAAAGGGGAAATTTGGAGCAGAAGTTGAAAAATAGTTAGGTTTTTCCAACGGTGGTCGGCCGACCACTGTTGGAAATTTATACAAAATACCACTTTTCTTGGAAATGACTTCACACCAGGTGCCATAATTTTACAGGATGCTTCAGACTTTCATTTACCAACATCCTAGTAAGCTTTTTCGTAAAAATTTGGTAGTTTTGTTTTCCAATGTTTGCAAATGTTGTATATTCCCTTTAAGGAAGAAGTGTGCATGAATTTTCCTCATGGAAGCTCTGAAATCATGTGAGAAAGTGGCGCTCAACAAAAGTGTTGAATTTGCCAAACAATAAAACAAAGCTTACTTGTGTATAAACAATAAAAACTTTGTTTCACTTGAACGCTGAAGCACTAAGAATGAGCCATTCTTTTGCTACACAAGATTTTCGGCGGTTAAGGAAGAAATAATGTGAAGGTAAAAACCTGAAATTACAATAAATTAGAAACAAAGTTCTGTCACTTGAGGGGTTTACAGGGAAATACTGTATGCGAATCTTCACAGATTGATTGGTTTGGATTTTGTTTTTATTAGCGATCACTAAAAATAAATCATTTCTAAATGAAAGTGAAAGTGAAAGTCACAGTAGCTTTTATTTTCTGAAAAAGAAACAAGTACTTGTGCTTGTACAATGATTTGCTTAAAATGGACTGACGTCTGTGAAAGTTGGTGTGTGTGTCAATACCAACTTTCACAATTCCAATGACGCAAACAAATTATGCTTTCTAAACAAGCTTCATGTTTGAGACAAAAGAACACCGTATATTAAAGGTTGTTTGAAACTTGTTTTTGACAAAACCACAAACCTTTTTGGTTTCAGATCCCAGCTCCGGGAATGAAAACGTCTGTGCATTCTGAAAATGAAAGATTAATTTTGAAAGGAAATCGAGGGTGGTAGAGATAAGAGGAGTGTGAGATGGGATATGGAGAGAAAGGAAATATACTAAAAATGATAAATACAAATTCTAAATAGAAAAATACACCACACTGCAAAATGTGCTCTATTTTTCCAGCATCTATGACAAACCACGCAACAATTGGGGTTACTAATTTAATATTGACACCATATATGCACACCACAGTACACCAACACGCCCTAGATCCGTTTCCATTAAAGTAATAAAAAACGATGATATAATTCTGTTTACAACTTCAGCAAAAAAAGAAATTCTCATGATTTTTGAGAACTGCAAAGTGCACTGTGTGTACTATACAAATAATAATAATAATAATATAGCATTTATAACTCCCTTTTCCAAATGTAACAAAGCACACCGACGACATGTTTGATAGTCAGAATAACCATCCATCAAATTTCCTTTATTTTTGCTCAATTTTCCTTGATATCAAGGTAATTCAACTGAATGTGCTTCAACATATCCGACGGCTAGTCAGAGTATCACCCGTTATCCAAGGAGCCAAGTCTCCTGTATAACGTCTGATACATTTATATCTAAGCATGCGTGACGTCATTTCATTCCGAAATCAGGACTAAGATTGTGATTGGTCAATTCCATGCTGCGTTATTGTAATATACAACAACCTGTACAAAAATGCTACTCATTGTGGGCATGATGCTTACATACGCGGGGAGCTTGAACTACGCACGTATAGAAGGCACCTGCTGATTGGTCAGTTTCTCGAGGTCATACGCAGTCTAGTTGCATAATTGATCGCCCAATCTGTTGGTCGGCTTCCCCGGGATCAGGGTCTATGAGCTCTGTGCGCTAACAAAGAGGGCGCCCTTTTACCTAGCAACGACGTCCCGTGGGCGGGACATTTCGCTGGTTGACGCGCACCATTCCTTGTGTGTGACGCGCGTACACCAGGGATATGGATTTGTTCTATGTACACGCAGTGGCCGCGCTTATGCAGCAAATGAATTGCAGTCAGGCAAGATGGCATCGGTCGGTCACTTCCTTTGCCGGTGAGGGGGTACTTGTGAACGGAGCGGATTACATAGACTATCCGACGGCATGCAAGGACCTAAACAAGACAAGGAAAGCCTCGTGAAGCTGGTCCAAGAGTACACAAAATTCTATTCAATTGATACAGAATGGCTATTCACTGGAAATCTTTATGTGCATCCGGTCTACATACGTAAAGGGCCACGTACGCAGCCCATTTTTGGCATTACGGGGTATACGATAGCACTGCCCGGCTCACAAGTAACGGTCAGTCAGTCAGATATGTTACACCCCAACTGTGCCACTGCGCTAACTATGGCTAATTAATCCACAGTTGGGTAGTCCTAACTATTGTTTGACCATAAAGTTGGGCATGTATTTACAATAGCCAAACTATAGTTGGGAGTACCCAAGTATGTATTCACGCTCGCACGGCACCGGCGTGAAGTCAAACTGGATGATGATGCCTAGCGGCGATATCCAGTCAACTTTCTGAGATTCTGAGATTCTGAGATTCTGAGATTCTGAGATGTATGAGCCATAGTTGCCACAGTTGGGGTGTAACAGATACACGTAGACCTAAGAGGACACTAAGCTGGCTTATGGGACCAGCAAAGTATATGAAACGCACCTCTTTGTTGAACTCTTGTAACTTGTTGCAGATGTCTGCCTCGCTGCCGGCCTCAAATGCCGGTATCATCGAGGTGACTAGAGCCTCCATTATGCTGAACTGAATTGCGGTGGCGGTTGGCTACTGATGAGGGGCAATCACGCAAAGCTGAACAATTGACTTTACTTCTGGCACACTCCAGAATTTAGAACAGCGAAACCGAGGAGTTTACCTGAAATAAGAAGCACATGTACATGTTATTGTATCCATTAGCAGTTGTACAATGTATGGTGTGTAAAGCATTGTAATATTATTACACAGTAGGTATTTACTCCTTCACGAATCCACAAAACCATAGAGTTGACATATCTTGACATCATTTGGAATAACGTTATTTAGGTTTTAATTTAGTGGATAGCGGCGGTATCTGTGGATCATCGGGTCATGGGTTCAATTCCTCGTGGGGACCAAATGTTCTTTTAATGTCCTCCCCAAAAAGTCATGTTCAACCTCTCGTCGATGAAATGAAATTTCACAGTTTTTTTTGCAATTTATGGCTTTGGAGTTGGAGGATTTTTTTTAAGGCAAATATATAATAGTCTGAGAAGCAATTCCTAACGACTGATGTGTGATGCATGATGAGTGTGCACTATTTATAATGCTGCCGATCCTGTAGCCTTGTAAACTGGTACTGGTTCAGTCATATCAGTATACCACTACCTTTAGTTTTTGCAATCAGCAAAATGTGTGATTTGCTGTTTATTGACTAGCTTAACCCTAACTCCCTAGGCATTTTTGCTAGGATGTAGCCTCAATCCTGCAAAATCCTCCAATTGGCCTCATGGAAAAATAGCATATAGCCTCAATCCTGCAAATTCCTCCGCTATTTCTTGAATATGGTTCATGGAGGGATGACCACTGCCTGAATCCTGCAAAATCCTCCGGCTATGACTGTCAATATGTTGAGGCAGAGGCAGTGACATCCTGGAGCAGTGCGGAGGTTGTCAAGTATAATCAAGGACTAAATTTATGCACGGCTGAGCATAAACAACACAAGGTCTGGCCCAAGACCTTGACACAGTGCGTACTCCGAAATCAGCAACGCACTTTTGCAAAGTAACCTCAATCCTGCAAATTCCTCCAATTTGCAAAAAGGATTTTGGAGGATTCAGGGCGGTTAGGGATAATGTTCAACAATCGCACATGTTTTACAATGAAACGTAATAACAATGGGATTTTCATTTGTCAGTATTAGCATAGAGCAAGGGTCCATGCTCTATGGTATTACCATAGAGCAAGGTATTAGTATTACATTGTGTGTAATCATAGAGCTAGTATAGCAGTAGTTCTTTGATACAAGTTTCATGTGGGTATCTGTCGTCATTAACTTGTTTTAGAACGTGTACGCTTCAGCCGTCTCCACCTTGCATGTGTTCAAAGCTATATATTGTCATACGGCGCGGATCGGAGCACGTATTATTACACGAAACAGTCGTTGATAAAGCGCGACTTGTTTTTCCTCGATCAAGCAACGACGGTGGCGTCACGTCAGACGCCCTCATTCGGCAAGTCGGTGCAAGGATTGAGCTTCACGGCGAACACATTGAGCTGTAAGTTTTCTGACTATTTTGCTGTTTTTCTTCAAAATTTTCGCTGTTTGGGAACAATGTGGTCTGATGAAATGTCATGAATGTGTAAATCAATCCAGGGTAACTGTCTCTCTCATTTGTATCCTCTTTACCGGTTTTTTGGGGGGTCTTTTTGTCCTCGCGTGGGTATGTGACTATGCTACTGTGAAGCCGTCACCAAAGTATGCCAAATCGGTGGAGCGTTTGCATGGAGGGGTACCCGTAATTCAACGCTCCACTCAGTAGAGCTACAACAATATCATGGCATGACAACATCAACAGTACACTGTACCATGGCATGGAGTTATAAACACATACATGACATACATAGCAGTTAGCACCATGACTCTAGTCTACCAACAGTCATGACAGTATCACACAGCATGATCTGGGGGGCCAATTTCAATTTTCATAGAGCTGCTTAAGCACAAAATTTACTTAAGCACAAGGTCTTTTTTGATTAATAATAAAAATTAAAATCATGTTACCTGCCAAAACTCCATGCGATTGTTATGCTAAGTAAACCACAGCTAAATACCAGTCAAGCAATGTACATCACATGGAGTTTGGGCCGGTAACCTAATTTTACTAAGCAAGTTTTTTCGTGCTTAAGCAAATTTTGTGCTTAAGCAGCTCTATGAAATTGGGCCCAGCCAGACAGACATGACAGACGGACAAGCAAGACAACTTGTCTTGACAAAAGAAAGACAAAAAGTGTTGATTGTTTTTACATATTAGAATTATCAGATATATGGACATTAGCATCGGCGTTGAACAAGAATTTAGGATTTCAAATATACTCACGCAGAAATTTCTGACCGAGCACTGTATGCCTACCCAGCTAGTGTGATCTCAATACGGAGTGAAAGCTTTTCTGATCTCGGCAAAAAAATGAAAAAAAATTGTTATGCCAAAGATGAATGCTGCCCTCTTGCGTTTGGCTCAAGTTAGGTATTGCCATTAACGATACGCTTCGAGTGATTGGTCACAATAACCAGTACTCAGAAAATTCAGCGAATCGCCATACATTTCTTTTTGAGCGCTGTACTGCCAAAACATCAACCACAGCATTTCTAATAGGACAATATTTTCGACGTTTTGTTGACTGGACCAATCAAATGACTCAATACATGTTAGAGGAAGCTTGATGTCATTGAGGTAAGAATGTAAGAAAGGGACAGGTTAAGTAGAAATTCTTCGATTTTTACTCGAGTTTTGGGAATTTAACGTTTATTATCCAGAAATAAATAGGTTAATACGACTGCTTAGTATTTTGAGCATCTTAAACTTAACTTTTACGGTAATGAAATATGGAAACTAGTAGGCCATATTTCTTTCTTAGGTAACATGGTTAAAATAAAAAGTAAAAAACTCGTCGATTTTTTTATTTCACAGACTGAGTGAGACTGCGCTTGACATGCTTGACGCATGGAGTGCGGGAAATTGTCATTTGCCGGGGGGGGGGGGGGATGGGGAGGGGTAGGCACATGGGGTGGGGACAAAACAAAAACTCTCTTGTTGAATAACATGTAGTTGGCCCCAAAAGGAATGGGTTGGCTTAAATTTAAATTGTTATTTTTTTTCGGGGGGGAGCATTTTGTCATCCCGTGATGGTCGGTCATGCTCATGGTAATGGAGGAGGGAAAAGTTCCATACTCGGATGTCAATTTATCTGCTGCCAAACATATTTATTGTCACCTCACCTTGTCATTTGAACCAAAAGAAATCCAGGAAGCTGTGTAAAGGTGAAAAAAATGTACTCAAAATGTGTTTTTAGAGCACATTTTGGATGCATACGTCGTGCAGAAGTAACTTGAAGCAGCCGGTCAAAACTGATTGTAGTGGCTGAAAAGACAGCGGTACGTTATACACGTGACATCAACAACCATGACGTCGCATGAGCCTGCCAATGATAGTTCAATACGTCATTATGAATATTTATTTTCTCATGAATATTTAGTTTATTTCAATGGATACTTCAAATACGTCCAAAGATTGATGATTGCAACAGCGATCGTGCGCGGCCTAGCGGTTAAGAGTCTCGTGTATCAAGCAAGCGTCAGAGGTTCGAATCCCGATGAAGTAACTGACTGATTAATAAATAGAAGTTAAGGAAAGGAGAGGGTGAGAGTAGAGGAGGGAAAGTGGAGGAATAACCATAAAAGATGTAACTTTTGGCGCTAGAAAATTAATTGAAAAAAGTGACGTCCGAGTATGGAATTTTTTCCTTTCTACGGACTCGCCTTCAAGTTGTGTGTGACAACGCGCGTGCGTTGCAAGTGTTACCTGTGCCGTTTATGCCTTATGGATTGGAGGGTTGAGGAAACATGAAAGTGGATGTTTATTTCTGACAAACAGGAGCAGGGCCCTTAACTTCACAATCACCTACAGTTTATATACTTCTGGAATCAGAAGGCTTCTCTCCGTCAGCTGACGGAGAGAAGCCTTCTGATTCCAGAAGTACAGTTTATAATGCCCTAACTGTAACATTACATGTAAAAAATCCAAATTATTCTCTACAATTTAACAATTGTTGACTGCTGTGATGTGGATATGACGTTTTTAACACCCGAGGCAAAGCCGAGGGTGATATGCGCCCAGAGCATTTGACGTTGCAGTTCTCATTGCGCAAAGCTAGCGATTCCACACACTAGGTTCCACACGCGTGTGCAACACGCGCAATGAACGCAGTGCGATATTGCCCTCGGTGTTTGACTGTACAGTGTTTACCCTGGCTAATGAACTGAGCGAGGTGGTAACAATTCAAGTTGATGATTGAAACGAAGTTTACGCAGTGTGCAAACTGAAAAAAATGCAGCGCTCACAAAAATGCGCGATAATTCCAAAAACACATCGAAATTGTGAGTTCTTGATACATGGAGGTAAAGGAAAATGCTCATATATTACACAACATGAACATTTTTCAATTGATATTTCCTTTTTTGCCAATCTTCACAGCGAGGTGGTGATATTGGCAAAAATTGAGCGAGGTGGTCACTGAAAGTAGCGAGGTGGGCCGCCTCACGTTTGAATGGGCAGGGGAAACACAGGTTTGACATGCATTTGTATTGTCCAGACATGCAGCCGTCCTAGACCATGTAGACCAATGAAATTACAATATCCAAGCACACGATATAACAAGTATTGTTGTCGTACGCTTCAGAAATACTGAATACATCGGGACGTACCGTTACACCTACATGTAACATTTGTAATGCCTTACTACTTGTATTCATTTTCTGTTATTCAGGTCAAGATTCCGTTAATATCAGTTAAGCATTGAATTTCCATGACTGACGTTCCATGAGCAACAACTTCCACCGTTTATCGGCAGTGTGACAGCCATGGGAAAGAAACGGGAGCGACCCTTTGAGAGTGCACCCAAACGACGGACCAAGCTGCAAATTGGCTCTGCAACCTCAACCAGAAAAGATGGAGTTGGTACAGGTAGTTACGAAAGGCTTCCGGTTTCCATAGCTACCCTATTCTGACAACCCCTACCCTAATTTTTTTTGTGGGAAAAATGAGGAGAAACACCCAAAACAAAAAATGTCTACCTTTTACCCCTTGACTACATGCACACGCCTCCATATGATCGTACACAAAAAAAATTGGCAAAAAAAAAATCTCTACCTACCTACCTAGTCCGAAAATTTGGGACTCTCAAATACTGTGTATGAGAGTCCCAAAACTTAAGGTATTGAAAACATGCAAAACAAGAAAATAGACTGGCACCTAAAATAGCCAGTCTTTCATCAGTACTGTATCAATCAACCATGCCAAAAGAATTTAAGAAACATGTGGCATGAAGCGGGAACTAGTCTCACTATACTACACATTTCTCCATAGTAAAGCCACCAGACTATTGACTCTGAATGAAGAGGTCAGTCTTTCCAAATAGTTGGACCATGGTTGGACACGTACCAGTCTAGTCTTTAGCCCCATTTTGGAATCACTTGACTTCCCTCTCATGTGCAAAATATTGAAGAAAAGTCTCCTTTAAAAATTGAATTGAGTCTGCAAACTTGGTAGGTGAAATACTGAGGACATGTTCTTTGTCCCAGTGCAATTTTTGGAGAAATGTGCTGGCTAAACTGTGAGTAAAGTGGGCCTGATTTAGTTTTGCACGTTTCAGAGCACTCCAGAGCCCTGTCTGCTACGTACCCTATTTTCGAATGCCATGTAATCGGAAGTAGAACTATTTTTTTGGCCTAATAGTTCACCACGGTTACTCATAGTGTCAATGATATAACATTGGTGAAAGGCAAAAATACCCCAAATAATTTACATCTCTTCATGCAAAAATTCTATCATTAACCCTTTCCTTACCATGGGCGACTTTTGTTGACAAGAACTACCCCCCTGCTGATTCCCATGGGCGACTTTAGTCGACCAGGAAACCACACAGAGAACACCCTCAACACAGGACATATTCACTACTTTTCAGAAAGGCGGCATGTTGATATGTTTGGCCGCCCATACATCAACCATATACCAGCTGAAAGAGTGTTTTCGGATCGTTCTAATGGTGTAGTTTATTCATAGTGTTACCATTATAAAAAAAATGAGAAAAGTGCTTCAGAAGTATCCACGCACAATTTGAGGTATGGAGTGCCATTTGGTCATGTGGTGAAATGGCTTGCAGTTTGATAAATGAGACCAGATGGACAAAAAGGCATAACATTTTTATATTTGCACGTATGGACTTCATTTTTACATCACATAAAAGAGTAAGGTTCAAGGAACAAACTTTACACACAACACCTATGATTTTAATCACTCCTTGGCAGTGAAAATCTGGGTTGAAAAAAGTGAGTTTTCGACTTGTGGTCATTTTTTCACGCTCTAGTGATTTCCGCGTGACTGAGCAAACAATTTGGTCCTGGGGAGAGCATGGTCAATAAACAATGTGGGCATGAAAGGGTTAATAAATGATGAATAATACATATTTATTTTACCAGGCGCCTTTGGGTCAACATTCCAAGAAGCTTCCAGGCCACAGAGTGGTACGTACTGACCTAATAATAATAGTAATTACCCCAAATCCTCAGAAGGTCTAGATAACTGCTTGTTTTTGCAGAGCTTAACCCTAACCCTCCAGGATATTTTGGCTAGAGACCCTGCCAAACGCAGCAACATGCAACACTTGTCTAAGTAACAAGCCTGCCCAGAGCCAACCTCGTCCCCAGTGCTTACTTTATTTCCAACCGCGTTTCCAATAGTAAACCCTGGATAGGAAACTTTCTTCCTGTATCCTGATTGGATACCGCAATTGGCTAGTAATGGATTTTTATCGTGTACTTGGTGCTATTATTCACAACGTGCAGTACGTGTTTTCGCGATCATGCGTCCACGCCTTCTCGAAAATACTAATTTGCTTTCCAATTTGCTCATATTAATATGTAATATGATACTGCATGTTGTCTCGATAAGATCGTAACAGTTTGATTTAAAAAATCGTGTTTTCGTAACTCACGCCTTGCTCGCGCTGCTACGAATTGACTCTGTTTTTACCCCAGACACCGCATACAAAAACAAACGCTAATGTGTAACGCATATCCAGGCACCAGACTGTTCCTCATTTGCATACGTGTTCAAAAATCTTGCACATGCAAATGATCCAATACCAGGGTGAGAGAGCAGGTAGTGGTGGGCGCGTACTGCTCGACACCCTGGGGACGAGGTTGGCCCAGAGCAGCAAGATCCATCAGGCAAAATGTCTCAAGGCAAACTGCCTCAGAGTCCGTGGTCACCGCACACAGCAGGATACAACTGTGGCATTGTTCTGTGGGACTGGCTCTCATTGTCTCGGAAGTGGCAATTTATGCACCGGTGTTGGTAGCTGAATGCATCAAAGAGCACCAGACTTTTCCACCTGATGCACTGTGTTGCGCCTGGCAGGGTTAGGGTTCATTAAAGCAGCTCTAGTTTGTATCTTTAAAGTCTTTCAAATATCAGCAAGTTAGCTGCTTGCAACAAATATAGCAATCATGCACACAATTCTTCAAATTTGATCGAATCCAAATCCGAACAATCAAAACCTAAATTGTCAAAAAAATGTAATGCGCGATTGCACTTTGAGATATTTCAAAATATTGTCATTTGTGGGGATGTCTTTTAGATCATAATCCCTTGAGTGGTCTCCTTGGTCAGTATGGGGACAGCGATGAGGAGGAGAGCCAAGACAATCAACAAGGAGCAGGAGGTAAGCATTTCCGGGCAAGCTGCCGACATTGTATCGGGTATAAGTTGCAGGACTGGGAACAACTTGCCCCGCTATCAGGTGTAAGTGCTTCTAGCAGCTTTCCGAGTTAGGGCCTGTAAACTTCGAAAGAATACAGTACTTCTAGTGGTACACTCTTGGGGACCGTGACCATTCAGCCCCGGTATGAAAAGGGCCCCCCGGTAAGCTCGTCCCCTCCCAAGAAGTCATTTCGCACCGTCCCAGCTACCGGCCCAGGAGCTGGTCCGGTTGCTAATCAGGAACTCCTCTATCCTCGGGTCTATTGTTTGCAAGTATTGACACATGTAATATATCGCAGAAGAAACCCACTTGTTGTTTTCATCTCTCAGCGCAAAACAATAGAACACTTTCGTCGGCACAGATCAAAACCCCTGCCATGCGGTTTCGCACACAATGGGGCCGTAAATTACCAAGGCGTTTGGAAGGATTTTATCTTTAATCCGGTAAGTCTGTTATTGTTCTGCCCTGGAGGTTCTCTGAAAGGCAATAAATTGATGCGCCTGACTGACTTCAAAACTTCTGGTCAGACAGGACCATTTCCCGGACGAGACTGGGCTGAAGACCGGACTGGCTCTGGACCGGACGAGGTACCGGGGGGCCCTTTTCATACCAGTGCTGAATGGTCACGGTCCCTTATCTTGTTAATCCCGTTGTCAACAAATTGGCCCCTGTTATCAGATACTGCTGCTTATCCCCTGCGCTTGTCAATATCAGCTGAGTGACAGCACATGTGGCTTGATTACACTAAGTGGTAGGGATTATAAAGCCAACGTTTGAACAAAGGATTAAGATAGACCAGAGGGCTGGCCAGTTTACAGTTAGATTGACTGTTTTCTCTCAGAAGTTTCTAGTGGAGGTTACTCGCAATCGGGTTTTGAACAATTTCCCCGCAATGAAGTTATCGGTATTGGTGAGTCAAGCAGTTGCTAATGCAAATTTCCCTGGAACATGTCCGGGACAAATGCAGGGCTTCTGCTATCCACAGAATTTTGCATTTATGAGCACCATCAGCAGAAAAATTCTGTGTTAACCCTGTAAGCACAGAATCCCTACATGTAGTTACAGCATGTACACATGCACATAAGCCAAAAAATCCTTGCTTACCCATGATATGTTCTAACCTTAAGCCTGGAATTTTCTGCTACAATAAGCAGGGATTTTTCACTAATTCTACGTTCTACTTGTCTGGATTATTAGAATTATCGGTGTTTTTTGTGTTTAACAAGAATTCTGCGCTATCAAAAAGGGAAGAATTCCATACAAGGACATCACTCATTTATTCCAGCAGTGACCTATCAGCCATCAGAAAGCGATAACATGTCCTAAAAAGTCAAATTTAGCAGGGAAAATATTGAAGCATATACTAAGAAAACACTTGGAACTTTTCAGACCAGTCTCATAGGGTTTGTGCACAGGGTGCCAAGTGATACCAAGGTATGGAACTATTTCCATAACTTTACTTTAATATTTCTTTGTGTTATCAAGGAGAGCCTGAGAAACCCAAGAATGAGATCGATGCTAAAGTAGCAGATTTCCTGGCTGTGAGTATCGACTTCTTTCCTCTTTCTGCCAAGGTTGTGCCAAATATGCTTAATATTCAAAAATATTTGATCATCATTCTGATAGCATTTATGCAATTTTCTATGTTTGAAAAAAAATTGAGTGGTCTAGAAAAGATGAAGAAAAGAATCCGTTACCCTAACCCCCTCAATCTTCCAACTACCTCCATGTAACAAGTGGACACAACCTTGTCCCTCCAAAATCCGTTATTTCTTGACTGTGTTCAGGGTGACCAGATAGAGCCAAACGACCACAACTTTACATGGGTTTTGATTACCCTTGAAAGTTTACAATGACTACAAGGAAGAATACCAAAATAAAGTATCATATGTTTTCTCTAGTGGAGGATTTTGGAGGATTAACCCTAACCCCCTAGGCCCTTTTTGCTTGGAACCATCCTCAATCCTCCAAAATCCTCCAAAATTTTGCAACTCCGCCTACATTTTTCAAAATTGTCAGACAGTCCTGCCTCAAAATGCATTCATCGTCAATCCTCCAAAATCCTCCTCATCCCAAAATGTTGCACTCATGTTTAAATGAAGGATATAACCAACGCCAAATCCTTCAAAATCGTCAGACAGTCCTGCCTCAAAATGCATTCATCCTCAATCCTCCAAAATCCTCCTTATCCCAAAATTTTTCACTCGTGTTTAAATGAAGGATAACCAATGCCAAATCCTTCAAAATCATCAGACAGTCCTGCCTCAAAATGCATTCATCCTCAATCCTCCAAAATCCTCATGTGCTTCAATCACCATTCATCCTCAATCCTCCAAAATCCTCATGTGCTTCAAATCACCATTCATCCTCAATCCTCCAAAATCCTTGTGTGCTTCAATCACCATTCATCCTCAATCCTCCAGAATCCTCATTTGATTCAATCACCATTCATCCTCAATCCTCTAGAATCCTCCAAAACCGCCAGGAGGATTTTGGAGGAGTGAGGTGGGTTAGGGTTAAGGTACCTTTCTATCAAAAACAAAAAGGTCGAAGGAGTTTATGCTTGACAATTCTTTCCCTTCATCATTTCAGGAAATAGACGCGCTGGATGGAACCGAATCCCCAGGCCCGTCAGGCGAGACGTCAGAAGCTCTGTCCAAACAAACAGCAGACAACGTCTCCCAGAAGTACGCTCAGCAAAACTCCACACTGAGCCAAGCTGTGGAATCCACCAGCGATGTGACATCAACGCCTAGTGGATTTGTGGAAGGGGAGCCAATGGTGGCTGATTCAACTAATGGCGAAGCAGGTATGATATTCTTGGGGTTTGTTTTAGCTCCTTTCTATAAAACATACAGGGTTAGTGAAAAAAGAACGAAACCCAAATGTCGGGCCAAAAAAGTTGTGCGTTCTTTCAGCAAAACAAACACAATTCACACACGTCCCTATGTCATTTGTTTCCATTTTGCTGAAAGAACACTGAACTTTTTGCGATCCGGGGACAGAACTTTCAAATGGTGGTTGTGTTTAAAATTCCGTTACTTGAAAATTACGTGAGTGATTTGAATGATTCTTGTACTAAAAGAAAGCTTATGAATTGGGCTTTCATATCCTAGATTTTGAAAGTGCTACATGCAGAACGTCCCACTAAAACAATAGTCGCGACATTTGGGTTTCGGTTTTTTTACTCACCCTGTATCAGGGGTGTGAAATCTCAGCTTTAAAGCTGATTTCAGCTTTTTTGTGTGTTGGATTTCACCCTTTTTTCAGCTTTTTCCCTCACTTGCTGTGTACAAAAGTATAGGAGATTTCCAAAGTTCAGCTTTTTTACACCTTTTTCAGCTGTTTTCAGCTATTTTTATCAGTGGTCACTCACACCCCTGCTGTATTCTAAAATATCTAGTTAGTTACATTTAGTGAATGTTGGACCAAATAGCTGATCAACAAATTCTAAAATATGATGTAAAGTGGATTAGTGGATGTAGGATAAAATAGTACCTGATCAGCAATTTCTCAATTTTCATTTTGTGATCTACTGTACTCGGCATGTAGTGAAAAAGTGGATGTAGACAAAACATTGTCTAATCAACAAATTATAAACTTGCATCAGGTGATCTACTCCACATCTAGTGAATAAGTGGATGAAAGACAACATGTTACTTGATCAGCAAATGCTGAAATATGAGGTAGTGATGCTACTTCACATGTAGTTGATGAGTGGATGTTGGACCAAATAGGAGCTGATCAACAAATTAAAAAAAAAACTCATCCAGTGATGCTGTTCAACTGCTCGTGGATTAGTGGTTGTAGGACAAAATAGTAGCTGATCAACAAATGGAGAATCAGCTAAAGTCTGTTTTGAAGAACCCTTTCCCCTAAATGTATTGTCTTAAATTTCCTTATATTGACTCCTTATATTGACTCTATTCCGCCTCAAAATCCACCAGAAATCTTTTTAAAGTTTTTTCTGGATTGAGGAAGATAGATCCCAGTTTGTTAAATTACTAAAAAAAAAGTACCATTTGTTTTGTTGTTAATTTTTGCTAGATTCAAGAGATAGAATGGAATCAGTGGATGTTATTAATTTGTTTATTTTTTATTGAATCAGCGGAACTAGGAGAATGGCAAGAGCTTCTGGATGAAGCGACAAACTGCGTGTATTACTGGAACACAGTCACCAGCGAAGTCACCTGGGAAATGCCCGAAGTCCTCCGACTAGCCAATCAGCAGTTAGCCAGCCAGTCATATGACCACCAAGCAGCCAGTAGCATTGTCGATTACGAAGCGGGCGGCGACGCAGAGGCATCTGCAGATGCTGTTGTTGCTAAGCAACAAGATGATGCAGACGAGGAGGAGGACAGTAGGGAGAACTTCCCGGAGAGCAACTCGCGCGATGAGGGGACGGAAACGAGAATGATGCCCATCTACGGACAGGGGAAAGTCGAGTACGACCTCTCCCCGGAACCCGAGATCGAAGAGGAAGATTTTGAGTTGCAGAAACCGGAGGCCAAGAAACCAACGTACTCCATGTTTGTGAAGGGAGACACCCTCCCGGGATCCGAGAACGGTGTGGAAGCCGGGTCGGATGACAGCAGCTCTGCGATTGGTCAGATGAAACCTGTCCCTATGGAGGAAGGGGAGGAATCGACCAATGGGGATGGAGAGACTAAGTTTGAAGGGCTTGACGATGACATGGATATTGATGAGCAACTTGAAATTGCTCTGGAGAGACGGAAGGTTTGTGTTGTCCTCTAAAGGTGGTTTTTTTTTTTTTTTACGGCATGAACAAAATATATTCCGTTTGATTTTGGAGGATTGAGGAGGGTTATAGTTGAAGAGTCCATTTGGCTTGGAGATTGAAAACCGTGGCCGGGTTATGGCCGCAACCTGGCTTGATCTGCATCAACGTTTTATCGACGTGCACAGCATGAAGTTGTAAACAAAATTGTCAAGCCCAGGTTATATCGTTATTTTGTCTGGAGATCCCTTTAAATAGTGATTTGTTTCGCTTTTGGGAAATCCTCGGGCCTGTTTGTTTTTAATATTTTTATCTTGTTTGCCCGATAATAAATAAATAAATTAAATAAATAAATAAATATCTGCATCCTGTTGTCAGATCTTGCAGACTGCTGCAACTGCCCCTGACTTGGGACGGGCGGTGGTAGGTTGAGCACTTTGGGCCCGGGAACCCTCCCTCTCCAGAAGCAGCAACTGTCATGACATAGGAGTCATTTATGTCATTGTCAGTAGAGAGTACTCCCTTTTTTTATAATTCAGATTGGGAACTGTTGGTATGAGTGACGTACACCAACGTGCCAAGCCATTACCCCTTATGTTACCCCTGTTTGGAAGATCTAATTATGTCATGAGCTTGAGAGTCCTTTTGCAATTGTTCCTTTTAAAATATTTGCTGGTCTTCTTTCTTTATTATCCTGTCAGGCTGAGTTACGGGAGTTGGAATCTGAAGGAACATTGAGCCCACAGATATCTGAGAAGAAACGCAAAGCATCTGTACCGGTTGATATTTACGGTAAATAAAAAAATTAAAAAACGTTGCAGTAACAACTGTAAAGATGTTACTTGAAATGCTTATTGAATTAGAAATTAAAAAAAAAAAAATTGTCAGCTTCGTAGTAATGTTTTCATTGTTGGTCACAATCATGATGTGACATGCATAAGGGAAAAATGCAAACTTTTAACTGGCAGTAACTCAAGGTTGCACCTTGAGGACAAGATATAAAATCTTGAAAAAAAATTGAGGGACGTTTGAGTTATCACCTCGCACGGTCATGAAAAAATCCTGGAAAATACTAAAATTTGAAGCTATCATGGAAAAGCCATGGAATTTTGTTATTTTGATTAGGAAAGTTGACATTCCAATAAAATCAAAAATTGTAATTTGTAAAATATTTGGCTATGGCAGTCTTCTAGTTTGTATATAACTGTACTTCCTCTTTATGCGAGACATGTGTATGCTCTTATATCATTCCGAGTTCACTGCACCATTGTGACTTGTTTGTGATGTGTTTGTGGAGCTCAGTGGTCTTGTGTCAGACTGGAAGCCCCAAAGGGATTGGTGTCTCTTGCCTCAGTGTGATGACTGGAAGGTGTAGATTGTAAATAGGCTCATAAGATGCCAAAATAACATATGAATTGGTCAGGGACAACCCTAATTTTGTCCCAGAAACGTCAACATGGAAAAAGTCATGGAATTTTTCTGTGGGAAGCCTGTGAAATCATGTCACACATTGTGACATTGCGAACCTTGTGAAATCGTATCACTCAGTCACTGCCATCATAATCGACATCTCCATCCTCATCGTCTTAATTAATTCCTCAATCACCCATCATCTTCTGTTCGTTCTTATTTTGCTGGATTTTTCTTCTGTTCTTTCTTATTTTCCTTAATTTCTTATTTATTCTGTCTTATTGTCGTCCTTTTTTTCTGTTCTTTCTCATTTGCTTTGATTTCTTCTTCTGTTCTTTCTCATTTTCTTTGATTTCTTCTTTTGTTCTTTCATATTTTCCTCATTTTCATCTTCTGTTCTTTCTCACTTTTCTTCGATTTCTTCTTCTGTTCTCTCTTTATTTTTCCTTGATTTCTTTTTATATTCTGTCTTATTTTCCTTGATTTTTCTTTTGTTCTTTCTTATTTTCCTTGATTTCTTGTTCTGTTCTTATTATCCTTAATTTCTTCTTTTGTTCTTCGTTATTTTCCTCATTTACTTCTTCTGTTCTTTCTTATTTTCCTTAATTGTTTTCTTTCTTCCACATTATTTTCCTCATTTAATTCTTCTGTTCTTTCTTATTTTCCTCGATTTCTTCTTCTGTTCTTTCTTATTTTCCTCGTTTTCTGTCATTTCACAGACGAAAAAGGAGAGGTTAACCTCCTTGCCTTCAAGAAGAAACGCATGGAGAACCTTCGCAGCGGCAGGAAGTCCTCCGTTGAGATGATTGACAGGGGCACCCAGTGTGATGAGGAACTCCAAGGCCTTATCACTAAGAAGAAAACCAAGGAGGAGGCGGACATGAAGGTAAATAACAGAAAAAGTTCAATCCAAGACCATGAGTGGTTGATTTGTGACGTAACTTAAGCTTGCGTTGGGGGTGTGGCCTAATGTCGAGGGGGGGGGCATCGAGTGACAAACAATTTTGAAACTCGGTACAGCCATAGTCCAACTCATAAACATACCCAAGAAATTTCATGACTAGGTCTAAGGGTTTTGGAATCATGGCTAATTAATGATTCATATGCACGAATGGTAATTCTGCTCTGTATACACGACGTATATGGGAAAATGCAGTTCTCCCCACGCGAAGTGCCGGAAATTATTTTTGCTGCGCGGCAACACGTGGTCCAATTTTTATGTCTTTGGTATCAAAAGATGCGCTAGGCTCGAGGCTAAAAAGTCATAACAGCTCGGGGCATGGGAAAAAAATTCAAGGCTATCGCGGATTCATTCTGCCCCCCCCCCCCCCCCGGCCCTTTTAGGGTTAAATGCAGTAAGTACAACATACGCGAACAACGTAAGCTGTTTTCTGTGAGTACATGTATGACGATTAAAAAAGGTCACGACAAAAATCATCTTTGCACGTGTTTCAAAAAGAGTAGTCCAATCTTCCTTCGTTTAAGCAAAGCTTAGTTGAGCTTTGGTTAGCTGTAAATTCGTGCCCGAACGCGCTCGAGGATGACACATTTTTTGTGATTTTGATTTTCAGAAAGAGATAGCGGAGATGGCATTGACGCTGGACAGTAAGCTGAGCTTCCTGGGCATCTCCAGGAAAGATCTGACCAAATTCCACATCATGCTCATTGAGAAAGAGGTTAGTTCCCTGCTTCATGTTCCCCAAAACTCAAGTATACCAATTCCTTGAACCCTCGCCCCGTGATGTCGTAACCAATCACAGGCTGTAAAACCTTTTACAAACCTTGATGGGTATTAAACCAAGAGCAGGCCTTGAATTTGGGAATTTTTAGGGCAAGGCCACTTTGGCCTTGAATGGAGCAAAATTATAGAGGGCACCAAGGCCAGTTGGGAGGGCACCAAGGCCAAACTAATATCTGCAGAAGGGGCACAGAGGCCGGCTAAAAAAAAATGCGAATTTATATCGGCGATCATGTAGTTTATGGCCCCTCTTTCGTTTCGATCAAATTGAGTCAAAGGTGTTTTTATCATTCAAAAAATTACCTTTTCAACCTAAAGCAGACTTCTCTCAGCTTATATGGCACCTGTTTTGTAATTTTGAACACTTTTTGGGGATAGAAATTACGTTTTTTGTAAGCGGTTTTATGGTTGGTGACGTGCGATCGCCATCTCTATTTTCGTGTTGTCGTTTTCCCTCCAAATTCCCCTTAAAAATTCGAAACCCTTCCCTCTATCTATAACCTACCTGCATGTTCTTAATGTGGCTTAAAAGTTGATTTTGTTCTCTTGGGGAATCGGGCCCATAAATAATACACGATCGCCATTTACAATGTCCGCTTTTGACAATCGGAATTCGGAACGCCATGTGCACGCGTGTTTTTACTATGCCCCGAGCCCGTTTGCCTCGTACACGAACATCAATGTGTTCTGTATGTACCGCGCATTGCAAGCACTGAGAAAAAGAAAGTCTGTTGACTGCACGTAAGATCTGCCGTACTTACTCCTGCTGGTATGTGTGTGTACGAATACAGACATATATTTTTGTGGCGGGGGTGTCGCTACTTGAAGTATCAGCACATACAGGAACTGGAGATTCAGTTGTCAGTGTACATGTACGTGTGTGTACATCATGTACATACAGTGGGGAATCGCCGGCGTTTGGCCGGTCGGCCACGGCCGTACTGCGCGCGTGTGATTGATTCAGCGAGATATTAAGACAACTGATGATCGGGCTGGCATGGCATCGAAATACATTGTCAATGTGTGGAAAAAACAACTGGAATCAAGGATTGTAGTGGTTTTAATAGGCTGATAGATGTTTTTGCAAAAAGGGCACGACGGCCAAGGTAATTATGGGGCAAGGCAAAACTGGCCGTGAAGACAGGGATTTTTTGTGGGGCACCTCGGCCAGTAAGAAGGCAACGACGGAACTGGCCGTCGTGGCCGTCGTTCAATTCAAGCCCTGCAAGAGTTTTACCAGTTGATAACCTCATTGTAGCTTTACTAGGCTTGCCTGGTCTTCTTATGTAGAAACTTTCTTAGTTCCAAGGTAGATAATTGATTGGTTTGTACTTTGTGACATTCTTTGAATTCAAATTGGAAGCTTTGTCGCAAATTTAAAGAATCCAACATCCTTATTTGTAGTACAGATTATTTAAAAACAGCTTTATACACCTGTTGTGCAGCGTATATTGTGTACGCATATACATTATTGTGTATGAACCAATAAGATAATTGATTGGTTCGTTATCTCCTTTATGTTCTGCAACAGGTGCGAGTCCGAGACTGGAGAGAAGGCTCCCTGGAATCCAAACACCTCCTCCGCCATCTGAAATCGGCCGACTGGGAATTCCAGCGCTATGAACTCGAAGCCGCACCTCCCGGCTGGTCTTGTAACTGGGACAGGTACGATGCCAAAAACTACTCCTACTTTTCCAAAAAAACTGAAAAACGTTCCCAAAAAACTAAAAAAACTTTGTGGCCAGCCTTCTGGACTTGGCCTGGGGGTCTCCGCATACCGGTTGACCCCCCTCTCACAAACTGGATTTGGTTTGGGCAATATGTTGGATGTTTGTGTGTTTCGTGAACGATGATGAGTCTTACCAACAGAGGCATGCTGGGAAGGAATTGTAAACCCGTCCATGGGTCCATCGGCATGCGACACATGACGAAAAGAGACCAGATTTGAGCTTTACATCAACTAGCGGAGTCCCTTTAAGCTTGCAGAGCCCCTTTAATTCAAACAGGACACTCCTACACAAGACGAAATCAAATGTGAATACATGACAACTGAGCATTTTCCACAATTCTGTCCTGAAGCATTTCACCCAACATTTTCAGAATGGGGATCTTTCAGACAACTTGTATTTTTTTTGGGGGGGGGGAATTCAAAATATAGGTGGTGAAAATTTGCAAATGCAATGTTTTATGCATCAGGAATACCATTATTTCTTTTCATGTCAACCTCAATTTCTTAAGTATACATGTCCTGTTTTGTGTTTAATTCTCTACCCCAAAACCTACTTAATAGAAAACAAAATTACGAAAATACTGAAGGGGTGGGAGAGCTTATAGTCCTTGTGCCAAAGACAACATAACAAGTTAAGGAAAAAGAAACAAAATTCAACGGTCCAAATTGTAACAAACAAAAAAAACCTGCCCCATCATCTGGTGTGAGAAACGTCTGTGGAGCAGCTAATTACAGGCGACGCCATTGGAACCGGAACCTTCCAAGGCAGCTTCGTGGAACACAAGTGGATTCGGTAGCGGTCAGTGATAAAATCTTTCCAATTTTAATTCCTTACCATTTGGTTATTATATTTTTTTGTTAAACTGGTTTGATGTATATTGCAAGTGGTGTTGGTTTAAAGTACAAGACTGTGTCTAAATATTTTGTGTATTTGTGAAACATTTGGATTAGATTTTTGTTCTGAAACTTTTTGAGGTCATGTCGTAGTTTTATAGAAAATGACTTTAAGCTCTTAATTCAACTTAAGAGCTTCTCTGCATTTACAAGGAGAATAATGGTGAAGAAGTTAAAAAGAAGTTGGTTTAATTCACTTTTGGACCCAAGGTTTACTCATTCCTGGATTTAGTTCCAGTAAAATAGTGTTAGGTCCAAAGTTTTGTGTCATTTTTCAATATCCGTTGGCACTGGTAAGTTTTCATTGAAAAGGTATGTGTGCTGTGCCAATTTTCCAGGATTTTCGGGAATTGTACACGAAGGTGTTGAGCTATACACCAGATTTTTTTGAAAGACCTGGTAGTGTTTGCCTAGAACTGCCAAGTCAATTTCATATTACACTTGTGTTGTTTAAAATGTGGGTGCTCAATGAATGGCTCAGTGGAAGTTAACTGGGTTAATTTCTCTGAGCTACATGAACATGTACCTGCTAAGCGGTTTTGACTGTTTTATCTGCCAAAACGTCACAAAGTTTTCTCTCCACCTATTGTGGACTTCGTGCCCAAGTACCCCTTCAACAGTTACAAAGGGATAGTTGGGGGAGACCTCTGCGTGGGACTCTTGAATGCATTGCCGAAGACGCCTGACGCTCATGTCAACTTATCCACTTTAGGTTATTAAACCTTTTTGGGCGTACCCGTACGCTGTGTGTCCCTACCACTGGGGTGCTAAGAAATGGTCACAAAGCGCCCTCTATTATTCACGAACGGAGTCCATAGTAAGCAGTTTTGTCTGTATAGCAGATTTGGCATTGAGGCAAGAAATTTACTTAGTGCGGACAAATTTTGCTGAGGAAAAAGCAGGTAACCGGTGGAGATACAATAATACATTTATATTTCGGTTGGTACTCGGCTAACTTTTGCTAAGCAGGCCTCACAATATTAAGTAAATACTTTGGCAACATTTTTTCACGTGTTATTCTTTTCTTCCCCTTCATCAGGTTTCTCTAAAAAAAAAATTATTAAAGTAAGAGTCTAAACAGATTTTACCGACTTTTTTTGACGCATCCTGCCCTTCTTTTCCCCATGTTTTCCAATCACAGAGAACACAAGCAGTACTACTACAGCAACAACCAAACCGGCATGTCGCAGTGGGACTTCCCCTTGGAGGCGGGGCTACAGGAGGACAAGAAAGAGGGGGTCAGCAAACCCACCGCTGCCGAGACGGAATCCAGGTCTCTCTTCAATCAGGCCTCGCTGACGGAAGGAACGGAACACGGGAAGTACATTCAGTCATCGATGGTGGTGGTCCCCCCAGTACAGGAAGTTACCCCGATCCCAGGTAAGCTTGCATTCCAGTTTACTATAATTTATGTCCTCTTCATGTATGTATGCTCAAAGCACCATAGTGATGTTTTTGTGGTGCTCATCAGTGGCCTTGTGTCAAACTGGAAGGCTGAAAGGGAGAGGCGTCCCTTGCCTAAGTGTGATGACTGGCCAGTGTGTTGTAAATAGGCTACTAAGATGCCAAAACAGCGTAGGAATTGGTCATGAAAGCTCTAATTTTGTCCTGGAAAAATCATGCAAATGTGGTATTTCATTTTAACATTTCTGTGGGAAACCGGATTTGTGACTAACATTTAGTTTTCTCTCTGCGAATTCGCAACAGTTGAATATTTTGCTGTGAACGATTTGTGACATCAAGTTCAGGATATGCATTGGTATGAAGTCTGAACCCGTCTTAACTCTGCTTCAAAACTTCCTTACGTCTTCCTTTTTATGTCTACCCACAGCATACAACACGTTGATAGCATCTACCTCCACCCCAGAGACAGCAGTTGTGGACTACACAAACTACCCAACTCAGTACGCAGCCCCAACCCCACCCCTCCCAGCTGCCCCAGCCCCACCCCTCCCAGTTGCCCCTGTCCCGGCCCTCCCAACTGCTCCAGCCCCGTCCCTCCCAAAACCTACCCCTCCACCCTCTCTCTCCTCCAAACCCAACCCCCCTCTCCCATCCACCAAGGCGAAACCCCCTCCTCCACCCCCAGGGACTGAGCTCTTCCCTCCCTTACCGGACTCCCCTCCCCCACCCCTCCCATCAGGATCAGGTCCCCCCTTGCCACCTCTTCCGTCCAGCCCACCCCCTCCTCCCCCTCCCCCTGAGGATGACGAAGACGGGGCTTGCGATAGCACACGCGCCATGACGCCCCCTCCACTACCCATACCCAACCTCTCCACATCAGAGATGCTACCGGGCATGCCTGGTGACCTCCCGACCTCGACAACAGTCTCCTCCGCGAGTTCAGCAATCATCGGCAAACCGCAGATGCTATACTCCGCCCCAACCCCAACCATCAGTAGTGGTCCAAGCATCGCAGTGGATGCTGGTTATACAGCCCCGGTCTTGTACAGTGCACCATCGGTTGTTGCAGCTCCCCCATTACCCGGGACATCCACAACAAGTGCACAGCCAGCAGCAAAGACAAAAAAGAAGAAAGAAAAGGTAATTTACACCGCTGGGTGAATTACTCGAGTACTCGCGAGTAGTTCATATTACTTGTTGTTCTACCCATGGTATTTCATCTACTTGAGTACTCGTCCCGGCGCGAGTAGAAGCAGGTACTTGCGATTAGCAATTAAAAGGGTTAATGGTTCACGGCTCAATACGTCCCCTGCAAACAGGGAATCACCCCCTCTCTCTCTAAGATTCCATTTGTCCAAAAAAACCAAAAAACATTCAAGTAAATGACCCAAAAACATCGCACAGTAAGGACATCTCAGTGTTGAAAAAAATATGGTGTGACTTGCACGGTATTTGCTTGTAGGTACTTCCCTTCATTGTCATTTTTCTGCTTTTAGGGGAATTCGGTTAACTACTCGCTAGTTCTCGACTACTCTCTTTTCTTTGCGAGTGCTGGAGTAGAAAAATCCTCATCTACTCACCCAGGCCTAGTAATTCAACCCCCACCTGCCAAACAGCCATATTTCTTAGAGAGGTGTAGTACTCTATTCATCTCAAGTCAACCACAAGTCATGCAGTCCCAAGTCAAGTCACAAGCTATTCAAATGAACTGAAACAAAGACATTCCTTTGCCATCCCTGTTATTTGTGAACTGACTTGTCTGGGCTACATTGTGTAATGCGAGTCACTTTCAGTATTGTTAACAGTGCTCTGCGACTATAACACATGCAACTTCATTGTTTTTGTGCCTGACAGACGAAGACAAAGTCAACGAGTAAGAAGAACAAATTGCCGCTGTCCCTGGTCCAGAAGTGGCAGCAGATCAAGGAGGAAGTGGAAAGAGAGGAGATTGCCGATGAGGAAGATGAGGACGAAGATGATGACCCCACCGTGGCCACTCAGAAGAGGATTGAGCAGTGGAAGAAAGAACAGCTGACTGCGTAAGTATCAATAATAATAATAATAATAATAATAACTGTATTTATATAGCGCTTTTTGCCAGAGTATACAAAGCGCTGGGGTAGAATGCAACCAAAGCCAGGTAAATGAAGTATATGAACATATGAGACCCATTATGAAGCACCTTTTTTTGCTAGGTGCTGCGGCGCATAATTGCTGCCACTGCCAGAAACACCGGGGCAAACCCCTCCTCTTAGCGACAAGTGTTACTGGGTTCTTTAACGTGCATTACACAACACATGGGACCTACGGCTTTACGTCCCATCCGAAGCAATAATTGTAAAGTGCCTTGCTCAAGAGCACAAGCACCATGTTCCCATAGTCAGGATTCGAACCCGCGTACCACGGCACACGAGTCGAACACCGTAACCATTGGACCACAGCGCCCCAAGGATTCAGGTTCCACAGGGTCAAATAACCGACTGGCAAACTTTCTATATATGTGATGCGATCATGCTAAATGATGTCTCTCGACTCTGGTCTTTTTTTCTTTGTTTTACCGACTTTAAAAGAGCGCAATCTCAGCATTACTGCTGTGAAAACCCCATGCTGATACCATCTTTAATCCAAAAATTATGGAAGTCAGAACACCAAGAGATGTGATGAAGTGATGTGATGAAGTGGCCCTATTTTGGCCTGAATCTCCAAATGAAAATTCCCGACAAACGACTCATTTAGCTTGATTGCATCACATATGTTACTGTTTCATGGGCTGGACTCTGGAGTCTTTTTGAAAACTGCAACCGGTTTTTTTTTGGGGGGGGGGGTGAAGTCAGTCTTATTTTTCTTTTACTGTTTTCCTGTGTACTCCTGCATTTACCACTGTCTAAATGCAAAGAGTTTCTGCTGTATTGTTTTGCTCTGTAACTAACCAAAACGCCTTCTGTTCTAGCTGTTGAATTGTGCTGGATTTAGCAAACTCCACACTCGTCCTGCTGTATTTCCTTTGGTCAACCGGGCACTCTTTTAATATTTTTAACGTTAGACACCATGTTTTTTTGTTCTCCTCTGCAGTGGTCTTTCAACGAAGAACGCCAACTTTGAGATGATCCAGGGCAATTGGAGGGAACGTCTCAAGAAGAAATCAAGTCAGAATACTTAATTTGTATATTATTTGTTAATTTTGTTTTATATGTTTTTTGCTATTTTTATTATTATTTTTTTTTTTTGCTAGATGCATTGTTAACCCATTAGCAACTGTACTACAGTGTATTACATTGTGCTTATTCACTGAAGAATCCATAAAACCATAGAGTGCTCTGGGCCCAATTTCACAGCGCTGCTTAACAATTAGCAGAAAAGTTGTGCTTAGCATAGCAGAAAAATGTGTTAACCTTAAGCACTATTTCACAGGGTGGACGTGCTAAGGGTCGCGCGTGCATGGAGATTTCTATTGTTACGTCACTAAGTTAAGCAAATTTTTCCTCTGAAGTAAGCATGCCTTTTGCCATGCTTATGCTTATGGTCTCCATGAAATAGACGGAGGCTCTGTAAGCAGAAAATTGTGTGCTTAGCAGCGCCGTGAAATTGGGCCGAGGTGGTTTCGGGTGCAGCAGGGAGTCATAGGCAGGGTGGTTTAAGATGCTACAGTGACTAATGGGTTAAAAGAAATCGAGGAAAATGCTTCATCTAGAGTTAGCTGTGAACTGCTGTGAATTATGACTAATGCTAGGTTTACACATTCCCAAATTAGTTATGAATATATCAAGAATAAACCAAGAATTGAAATTGGTTCCCGAATCACCCCGACAAATTTGAACATATTCAAATTTGTCGGGGCTCAAATTTTTCGGGGCTCAAATTTGTCGGGGCGCTTCCCGATCTTTAACGATCTTTCACCGAACTAACAGAATCATCATGAGGCAGGCAAGAACCATCCTTGATTTACTTTAAGAATTGCTATTCCTGGCGAATCGGCTCAATAATCGGGAATGTGTGAACCTAGCATAAGTTAGGTGCTTATGGCCAGGAATGATTGTGTTGTCAGCCATTGGACACAGCTGTGGCTGTGGTTATGACTTCTCATTGGGCTGTGTCAAGACAACTTTAGCTGTGGCCTTCATTCACAAGCACCCCGTCACTCACACAGAGACCTCATTTGCATTAATTATGCATTAGCGTAACAAAACAAACCTCCAAGATGGCTCCTGAATGCAATCCATCTATGGGCTCCGTGCACCAACAAAAGAGGGCGGTTTTTTACCTCTTTGCAGAGCCCCGTGGACGGGGCACACTGCATGTGCGCACTGATTCAAGCGTGTATAGCGTGAAGGACGTACGACATGTTGTATTCTAAATGTGCATAAAGCCATGGCATCTTTGCGTGAGTGTCGGACGTCGTCATCGATGAGTTCAACTGTCTCTCCCGATGTTCTCCCCAACTCTCCCTTTCTTGCCGGTGAGGGAGTGCATGGAGCCCGTACATTGGTTGGGTGAGCAATGCATTCAGGTCTCAAACTGTACGGACAAAGCAGCACATGTTGTATTGCACACTACAAGTAAACTATGAAAATAATACAGCTTTCTTGACTATTGTATGGAACAAAATATGAACTGTTTTATTGTGTTCATACCGACATGTCATTCCCTAAATTTTGGGTTCAAAGTGTGAAATTGTTCTTGTTGTCTTCAAACTTTGCAATTTGCCAATGAATCATCTTTAAGAATGACTTCAAACTATTTTTGTTATTTGTTTCGTAAGTAGTTTGCTAGTTCATAATCACTCTTGGAGGATCAGTGCATTAAGGAGTGCATCCAAACTCAGTGGTGCACCCAGAATTTGGCTTGGGGGGGGAGGGGGGCTCACAATTTTTTTGAAATTTTTTGTTTTAGAAATTTGAATTACAAAAACAAAAAATGTACCCAAAATGTTTTGCCACGGAAAAAAAATGTTTTTTAAAAACAAATCGTTTTGGAGGGAACGAACCATTTTGACATTGGTGGCGCCATTTACACCCGATTATACTACTCGAAAATAGGCCACCCACATATCACCACGGTCAAATCGTGGGACTAAAAAAAATAATCAAACAATTGACAATCTCGGGGGGGGGGGGGGGGGGGGGGGGGGGGGGGGAGGGCACCCCCCCCCCCCCCCCCCCCCCCCCCCCCCCTCTTGGGTACGCCTCTGTCCAAACTTTAAAAATCTGACATGATAGACCAAACAGGGACAGGAAAAAAATATGGACCCAGATTTACAGAAAGACCCATTGTGAATACAAGCTAGACTATCAAATTTGTTTTTTGATGGCAAGGCTAGTACACTTTCATTACAAAATGTTATTACCTTGTTTTTGTATATACATTGTATTTAATAACTCAAGTACAGTACATTTTGTTTCATTATATTATGATGACAGGAAAGCAGGGCTGTGATATAGGTACCTAGCAGTGTCACAATGATTAGGCCAAAAAAACAAAAACAAATGTTTAGCGTCCTGCCTTTTTGAAAAAAAGGAAGGAGGCCCTTTTTTTTTCAAAAACGACTGGCTGGGCTATATTTCAAGATGGCCGCCAGCTTTTTTTCAATGGCCACCACTTGGACTCCGGAAATGATATACATGTACCAGCTTTATATGGGCTAGCTACAACAACAAAGAGGCCAAAATTATGTCATTGTTTAAAATTTATCATTTTTTTCATTTCCCCCCCCCCCCCCCCCCCCCCAAAAAAGGAGGCAGCCACCAAAAAGGAAGCGGGCGGGGACGCAAAACATGGTTTTTTTAAATTTTTATTTTTAATTTGGCCTTATATTATTCTGATGAGCTGATGCCTTTTTTTTTCGCAGTTCAAGCATTTGCTTTGTACAGATACACAATATCAGTTATGAAATGTACGTCACAACACTCTTAGTCTCACATTGAGATAGAAAATGTACAATAAATTATGAAACCCAATTCCTGGGTTCTCTAAAAAAAAAAGGAGTCTTTATCTTTTTCCTAAGCCTTTGCCCTTTTCTACCCTGTATATACCTGTTGTTCCCAGCCATGTAATTTCACTGTTAAAACCACGACTGTTGTACAGCCGTCCAGCAAGAACATAATACCCTCTCATTGCTCCAATCCCCTAGGCTTGGGCATCTCTCACTGGACCTGGACGTAGCTGGCAGGAAAGTGGCCTCTGGCGCCGGCCTTCCTCCCATAGGCCCAGCCGTTGCTCAGATGATCACCTATCTGCACCAGATACTCACCTAAATGGGGAACAAAAATAATTTCAGGATGACCAAAGACTCTGAAAATTTGGTAGACAGAGGTGGATGGCTATATTGGTAGAGCACTGATGTGGCATTCCAGAGGATGCAGGTCCAAATCCCACTTCAGTCAATTTATTGTCTCTAATCAAACATGTTACCACAAGATGTGTCTGCACATTGATAACATTTGAAAGATTCAGGAATGTCGCCAGCAAATTTGCCAAGGATGTTGGAGTTTTGGCTATCCATTCAGAGACTGTATCCACTTTCACAAGAAGGCCATTATATTACGAAGAAGTCAAACCTGTTCCAGATCTCCATCGCTTACTTTGCTTTAGAGCCATCTCATCCCGTGTCGCAGGCTTGAAATCGTAGAGCGCCCTCACCAGTCGCTCCCCTTCATTGGGTTGAAGCGCCTGCCGTGCCTGCTCCAACATCGCAGCCCTCTCCGCTGCCCCGTTCCATCTCTCAATGTAGGTCTGAGCAGTTGTCTCTGCTGGAGTCTGCCCTGGGGTTTGCTGTTGTGTCTGGGTGGGTGTCTGTGTAGGTACCTGCTCCTGATGGACTGCGGTGGGGGTCCGATGTGCTGGGACCTGACTTGAGGTCTGTGTTGGCATTTGTTGGACTGTCTGTGTGTGTATCTTGGTAGGTGTTTGTTCAGGGGTCTGACTCACTGTTTGAGCCGAGACCAATCTTGAATGGCTTGTTGTTTGGCCCTGCATGTGCTTTTGGAAATACGGCTCTGTGGAGGAATTAAGTGTATGACAATATTGAAGCTTGATCGTCTGGATGTGTTTTCCAGGGAGTCGAAAGGACTATTAGAAATGGAACCAGTATGAAGGTTTTTTTTTTCAATTGAATTAAAAACTTTGATAGAAGCTGTACCTTCTGGAGAAGATCTGTCTTCACTCTCGATGTTCCCATGGTAATCAAAGTTTCCATGGTAACCACCATTAGCAGGCTGCTCTAACATTGTCGATGATGGGTGGTTGTCATGTATATATGATTCCTGACTCTGAGATGTTCCGAGCGTGTCATACAAGCTGCTTGACAGACCTTGGTGCTGGTGATAACCTGGTGACCTTTCTGTTCCGTGATGGTGATCGTGGTGAGATTCTACATGTACTTGATGTTCTGGGTGCCCCTGAAATCGGTCTTTTGACTTATGACCTTTATGAAAATGACCTCTTTGGTCATCATGGTGGTCTTGTGGAGGCCAGTGTCTCTGTACATGTGCATGATGCTTTTTGTCATGGTGATGTGAGTGATACACATCTTCATGGCGCATCTTCCTCTGATTCCACCTCCTCCCATCGTCCCTCCTGCCACGCCCCCCGAGTTGCTCCTCCAACCATCTCTCACTCAGGTCCTCGTTTTGCGAGTAGCGAGGTTCTGGAGGGCGCTGTTGATGATCCTCTTGACCCCAATGGTCTTGGGGATGCCATTGCTTATAGTAGTGCTGTGTCTCGTGTTGATGGGAGCGGTAAGGCATGTTGGCATACTGGTGGGCGTGGTCAGGCTTAGAGGGCCATTGATGGCGGGCGTGGTCATGGGCGGAATCCACTTCAGAATCAAAGTCATCAGTAGTGAAGCTATCGACAGGTATTAAAATGATGATATAGTATGAACTTATTGCATGTATTTCCGTTACATGTACCAGAATTCATTGTAACAGGTACAGTATCAACAAGTATTATGACAATACATGTACAGTAGAATGTATTGTTTTAATTCCTAATCATGACTTTCATGAAGCTAATTAACCATAGCCTAAAATGAGGAGTAAATGGTAATGAGTTGAACCACGTTTCCTTGATTTTAGTGTTCTGAAATGGTCGATGAGAGCAAACAGCTATGAGTACTTTAAACGAAGTTGAGTTGAAGATCAAATCCAACAAATACACTTGCAATATGCTCTGTTTTCTTTGGGTATTACTAAAGAGCATTCTCCATTATTAACTGAAAGCAAAACTATGACAGTTTCTGGACAGAACTTCCCTAAACATCTCCTTATCTAGTTGCTCAATTATTCTGGTGTGGGGACAATGTTATTCTTACTCGTCAGTCATTTCGTCCGTGGTAGCTAACGCCGTGCCCTGTTGGGTGGTAAGTTGACGATAGGAGGGCTCGGCATCCGTCTGATGCCTCCTGGGATCTATCTCCTGTACAGTATAAAGGAAAAGGGATCAGTATAATTTAAATGTATAATTTGTCTCAAGAGGAACAAGAAACCACAAGAGCAGGGAGCGCACTGCAGACGGCAGAGCAGCATCGAGACTTGCCGTGCAGAAAGGTGCCGTGCGGAACTGTCTCCCTGGTTGACAAGAGAGCCATACGAAAGGAGAGGGCAGGTTCATCTCAGGGCTCAGGCGCCCTCATCCTTTACCTGCACTCGCCGTGGTATGGTAGAGTCTGCCACTCAAGAGTGGGTATTTACAGCCATAGTAGGAAGTGCGAAGACTTTGATCCATCTTCTGTCGTGACAGCTAAGCCTTTTTCGGTGTGCTACCCCATCGTCAGCCATGACGTAGTGATGCCATAGTGTAGTGTCTCTGAAAAACTCGAATAACATTTTTTTGCGCCCCCCATCCCCCCCCCCCCCCAAAAAAAAATAACTTGCTTTTTCCGGGATATTTCAAATAATATACTTTCCAAAAAAAAAAAAAACCTCCGTGCTGAAAATGGTCAGTGAATGTTTGAAATCGAGTTGCACAAATATGGATGGTTATCTCTCAACAAGCGGACTGTAATTCATTTTATACGTCAAACTCTGGGAGTTTATGTATTTTGTTTTTCATTTTAACTTGTGTCCGATAAAACTGACCTCGTATTTGGGCCAGTTACCCTTGCTTCCCGTGCCATTTTTGCGGCCCCATTCGTCCACGTCTGCCGCCGGCTCCGCCCGCCGCACCTGCTCCAGGATTCCCTGGTATACTTGACCCATCCTTAGAAATTTAGCAGAGGGGAAAAGAAGTAGAGTTTTCAGTTTCATTTATGCTGGACACGTTGAAGCAAAACATATTTGGAAATGGGAGAAGCAGAATTTGCAACTTTTGATAAAGAGGTATTTACACAGAGAACTAACATGCACCAGGGTGAGTAGATGCACTGTAAAAAGGTTAGATAAAACACTGTTGGGCAAAGTAATTTACCCAGCATTGGTATGAAATAACCTCATATTGGGTTGAATTGGGTAAAAACTATCAAACTATTGGGAAAGAATTTGCCCAAGAGTGTAGGCAGTTGATAATTCGACCATCATTGGTCGAATTATCAACCCATTTTGGCCAATCTTGTTTACAGTGTGGTGATGGAGGTGAATACTTTTTGACCGGCAAAAACAACATTTTTCCACTTTGGAAAACAAATGTCAAACCGCAAAAGAGACTGAAAAGGGGTATTATGCAGGACGTGCTTTTAAAAACTACGGCAGGTGGCACTCGTGTACGCGTACACGCGTACTCGATGCTCCTTTGACCAATTGGGTTGCCCAATCATGGCCCAATAAACTTAATCACAATGCGCGTACTGTACGTACAGAGGCACGCGGAAGAAACAGTTACATTGTATACAGTGCGGCATTGGAGCGGGCCACGTGTTGTCACCGCGCCCACGTGCGTAGTGGGCGGGGTCTAAGATGGATCGGTCTATCCTTTTCGTAAGTGTGACGTCATTTTAACTTAAACCACGCCCACTACACACCGAGTAGCATTGAAAGTCATTAATATGTAAAAAAAAAGTTAATACAGTGCTCACCATTGGAACCGGAAGTAGTACAAGTGGCGAGTCTAGCCAATGGGCGAAGGTTATCAGTGGTGCGTGCGCGTGCATAACAGAGTCACTTTCCGGATTGCTTGTGCCTCAAACTGTATGGCCGTGTGCGCCAAAAGACCACCTCACTAATGTGTTCTATTTTTGGTTGTCGGATTTTTCCACATGTAAAAGACATTGTATTTTGTCCTACCCTGTGCCGGAGTGAGTGTTGAGATTCCTGACGAAGAGCTGCAACTGCGATTGAATGTGGTCCAGTCGCTCCCTCTCAAACCCTTGCCAACGGTCAAACACTGACGTCATACTCTATAATAGAAATGAAATAGAAATATGCAACCAAATGTTTCGATCGCGTTCTTTCCAAAATCTTGTGGGGATTATTTGGGTGAATGTAATAACCGAGGTCTTGTGTTTGTAATATTTTTTTAAGAGAAATTCGCCCACCTGTGTGTATCTCTCCTTGGCTGTTACATTGCAGATCATTACCCTCCGGAGATACACCTGCTTCAGCCGTTCTCTTTCCAGAGCCAAACCATCGGCCCTCTGGCGGAGTTTCCAGAGTGCTTCCGCGTTGACGGCCGGGTTTGAAGCCTCCTCGTCGGCGAAGCGCCTAGCCCGATAAGCGGCTAAGCTGGCGTTAAAATAAGCCTGTTGGGAAAAAGGTCAATCATTAGGCCAAAAAAAAGGCTCCAGTTTCTGGTCTGCGCGCGCGTCGTCGTAGCCATGCGCGTCGGCAAAAATAAAAAATGTTGTTTTTTTGTTTTCAATGTAAGATGATGTCTCAAAACCGCCAAACCCACTGGTTTGACTGGAATCCTGCTGCTGCACAATTTTAACGTGTTTTTAGATGGGATTATGATCGAGTATAAGCTTTATGTGGCTTCGCTGGGCTCCCATATATTTTGCACTAAATTTAGTCGGGCACCATTTGCAGTCATCAGCTGACATTTGAAGAAGAAAAAAGTAAAAGCCGCGTCGCCGCACCACTTTTGGGGCAAGCTCCATACCAGAAACCGAAGACTTTTTTGTTTTGCCTTATGTAGCAGCTGGACACAAAATTTGCTAAGCACAAATGTGATTTCTTCTTGCATCTGATTCACATTTTTTTAACACCAAAAGAGGCTCAGCAATTTTATAACAAGATGCTTTTCTATGGAATTGCTTAATTACCGCAATACTTTGTTCAGCACAGATTACCTTAGTCCAAGTTGGACTGCTCCGTCGCGTGTCAGTTGTAATGCAATGAAGACGTCGTCCAACCTGGGCTAAAATTACCTCAGCCTCCCACGCGGGATTGAGACCCGGTTTCGATTCCCGGCCAAATCATTTTTTTTTCTGGTTCCGTTGTTTTGTGAACATACCGAAAGTTATAAAAGCAGAACTTAAACAAATAGATTTAAACGTTTGTTGTTTTATCCGGAATTCTTGGGTTTTATTTTCTCCGATGTTCTGCAGACCATTACCTTATTGCAAATGCTATGATTAATTTTAGCCAGTGGGTGGGTGGGGGGCAGGGGGGGGGGGACTGGGATCCACAGTATTTTTCCCCGAGGGGGCACTGAAGGCAAATGATATACATGTGTATATATTTGTTCAATTCAAAATACCCATGTACACTCATCTGTCTTCCAAATGTGCCTGAAATCTTATCACTGGTGTTATAGACTCACTTTGGAACTTTGCCATGACCGCTTTTGTCAAAAGTGACCGCTCTGGAACTGTCTGCGAAACAAAAGACACCTGCAAGACTATCGATCGATCCGCCATATGCAACGGAAGCGCGCGCGCGTCTCAGGGTATTGTAGGGCGTTATTTTTAGATTGACAGCAGACAGCATTTCAGACACTGTCTTTTGAGATAGTGTTGTGACGTGTCCACGGCGTGCAGTGCAGAATCCACAACAAATGCTCCAGGAATTGCTTCAATATGTATCTAAGCAGGGAGGTGAGGATCCTGAAGAGTCCTCTTACTGTGAAACCATGGAATTAGGAATCCTTTGAGGGATGGATGCACAGGAGAACTAGTCACTACATGCTGAAAATGTGGCAATCTCTGCAGAACTTCCGATTCGTGTCCGATGGAGACTCCATTCAGCTAGCAACAACATGGACGACCCATATTATGCGACCCCAAGTCTCAACCGAGAAACCGTAAGTGCCAAACTTTGTTTAAAAACAGTGAGTTCTTTCGCAGTCCGTTACTTCCTTGAGCCAATATTCTTTGAACTGCAATACATGTTTTTTTTTACAAACATGTTTGCTTGGCAAAATCTTCGTAAAAGCTTTGCTTCTTGTTGGCTTCTTCCTGCGCCCGGTCCAACAGTCTACCAGACAAACCTCACCTACCACCAACAACTTCATACCAATCCGAGCAAACAAAAACTGCTACAAGCAATCATTTCTCCCACGCACATTAGTGGACTGGAACTCACTGCCTAAAGAGATTACAGCAATTCAGGATAAAGGAATTGTCAAATCTGCCATTAACACACACTTCAATGTCATCTGTGAGAAAGAAGAAACCAAGTCAACCAACTAAACAGCAAAACAACAAATCCATGCGCACAACCAACCCTGCCCGTGTGACCCCTGAGTAGGGATGTTGGTGCAGTATTTATCAAGACAAGACAAGATAAAAGCTAAGGTAAATGTTTAATTTTTGCTAGGCTTGTGAAGGAAGGCCCACTTGGCAATACAGTAACAGTATTTTTTGTGCTTAACAGTGCTGGGATATTCTAGACCCTGGTGGCGATGTAATGATGACTTATCCCATGTACGATGTATATAAAGTCAGAAATTTATTAGAAATTGAATAAGAACTTTCTGACCTTTTTGGCTCTGTGCAGTTTTGACAGAAGTTTGGCGTACTCTCTCTGCGCGGCCGCAAATGCCTCTTTCGCTTGCTGCGTCTCACGGAGCCCTTCTTGCCCACTCCGGTGAAAATGATCGTTCTTCCATCTGGGTGTGTGAAGAAAAATTTGCTTCCTTGTGAATTCTTCGATGTGTCACAATTTTAAGACTCTTCTCTCGTGAATACGCCACAATCGCTGTTGAAAATCTCAGTGGGGGAATTTTTAGTCATGGTTTTTGCTAGCTCGCTGTTTGACTGAATGTGAGAAGTTTTTGTTAATCCTGATTTTTTTGGACAGTTTCAAGAATTCGGCCTACATTTTTGTCAGAAATCTCACTGAAAATCTTGAAATAGGTAACTTCTTGTCCACTTGTCTAGTGAATCGAGACTTCACCCCACCCCTGTCCCGCCCCATGCCCAGGCCAACCCGCCTCACCCAACCCCAGCAGTAAAATGCAGCAATGCACACAAGAATTTCGTCTTGCTCTGCTGTTATTTTAGTTCAGTGTTTTCGCATGGCAGCCGTTTTATTTACTTGTACACGTTGTAGTACGGTCCTTCGTCTCCAGTCAGCCTCATTCGGCAATCTTCGTGAATCTTCGCCACTGCCGAGGCCTCTTGCAGCACAGTCCGCAAGGCCGTTAGTATGGTGCCGTACTCTGGACCTGAAAAATGACGTCAGAATTTGGGGAATTATAGACCCCTTGTACGGAGCGCCCTCACTAAGGGCAGGTTTTTTTTAATTTAGTTTAATTTAATTGAGAAGTTGTTGTACAGTACAGAGATTTTACTCGTGCAAAAACATGCCTATTTTGGGACGCTCAATGTTAGGGGTCTATTAAAACTTTGTGTTGACTGTTGGCGGTTCGATGCCCGATGTAAGAAAATGTCCATTTTTCCTCGGGTGTCACTAAAAAGGAGAATGGGGGGGGGGGGGATTCTGCCCGGGATCCAACCGGGGACCTTTCGCGTTTAAAGAATCTTCCTCAGTGCCAGAGTCTTCCTGCCAGGAACTGATAAAATTATTGTATTTGTTGGAAATCATGAATTTCAAGTAATTTAAAAATGTCTCTTCTATATGATGGCCGCGGTTACTTTTCTAAACACGTTAATTCAGTGAAACTTTTGTTTGCGCCAAATATAAAATGCTGACTCCTTGCATGCTTGTATTAGTGCAAGCTAACTGAAGTTAATGAGACAGGTAACTTGTGAGGGTAGGATTCCAGTGTAAGGTAAAATAGACCAGATAATATGAGTCGAAATTTCATAAACACCGGCCGTATATTATTTTTATTCCCTCCAGAAACAATTTTTATTTGTGCATCGGCCGGGAATCGAACCCGGGCCTCCCGCGTGGCAGGCGAAATTTCTTTGCCACCGATGATTTGATGTTACTTTTTTTCCCGACCATACTTCATTACTCAAATCAACATTACACATTTCCGGGGGGCCATGTGAATGTGAGAAAAAAAGTCGAAGGCAAGCATCAGCGGGAAACTAGCCCCCCCCCCCCCCCCCCCCCAAAAAAAAACAAAGTAAGGAAGGATGAAACCCAATTAAGTAAAAAACAAATGTTTTTGAAAGTTTGGGAGAAAAATATGAAAGTCGAACTGTCGATCATCTTCGAGGCAAAAAGAAATGGTGTACTGTATGTTTGATAGCTATGCTGTATAATAATAGGTAATTAAAAAAAATTGCATCGGCCGGGAATTGAACCCGGGTCTCCCGCGTGGCAGGCGAGAATTCTACCACTGAACCACCGATGCTTCTTGACCATTATGCGTTGGAACATGGCTTAGATATTTTAGGATCACTGTGGAGATGTAAAAACGTTGACGCAGCATTTTCGCATTGTGTTGTCCTGTAGAGTGGAGCTAGTACACAGCGCAGATATAGGGACTTCCAGTGTGCATACGAAGGCCTAAATGTCATCAGTAGGGGCCTACCCAGAAAATGTACATGCCTCAGTGCTAATAATATTAGATTGTGTATTTAAAGACAGTCTTTAATAAAGGGGCATTGCAACTCTTTCTTCTGGTGTAAACATGTAAATCAAAGTATGAATGCTTTCGTACTGTGTGTTGTGATTTTGCAGTTACTACGGGATTGATCAAACGTGTATGTTGCTGCTTGTGCTAGCTTGTTGTCTCGGCCATAATCGTGACAGGAGGTCGGGGAATTCTCTCACCTTTTCTCAGAGAATCATCCCATTTCGATGCCCACTGCCTCAGACCCTTGGCGTATCTCAACTCCACGTCGGCACGCTCCTGAATCATGCTCATCAGATCGTCGCATGACCTAGGACGGTACACAAAAACAGAAACTGCATAATCTGGAACTAACAAAATTAAAATACATTGTACGTACCTGCAAGTCTGGTACTCCAAAAGTGTACAGCCGAAATGTACTGACATTTTACCACAGTCGTTCGAAACGGTTACAAAAAGGCTATCTTGATTGTTTGTTTTGTTCACGGATTAAAAAAGATGCAGTCTTACCTAGGCCCATTTTCAATTCTTCGCAAGACTTTCCTTGGTTCGCCAATATCCCAGAAAGACCCTTCTCCCCGCTCCTCAGCCATTCTTGAAATCTACATCCTACATCCTAATCCATGAGTGAAGGTTCATTAAGTTGATTGGGTCTTCGGCAAATCAAAAGAACTAAGTGATTCTGACAAAAAAGTGAGAAGTTTGTCCTTGCCAAACGGTAGTCAAGTATGGCAACATTTTAGCCAATTGTAACTTAATTTGATTATCACGTGAACGATAGAAACTTGAGAAACAAAAACATTCCATTTCGTTCGCGTTTGCGCATTTGCGCGCGTCCCCGCCGCACGCGTGCGCGCACGCGACCCCGGCCATTATCCGGTTCGTTAGTGTGACGTCATCTCAATTCAATCCACTGATCTTTATTTAAAGATCAAAGATCCTCATTCGGATCTCCATATACACAGACCCTATAGGTAGAGCTCAACCTCGTGCCCCGTGTGTACGATCTTGCAGCGCCATGTTGTTTCCTATGTCATGCCTTGCGCGATCGTATTATCTCGTCATGTCAACGCAGTTATTGTGAAATCGGGAACTCAAGATAAACACATTGTATTGCAATGAAATTTCTTGCAATAAATTGTAATGGTATTTGACACGAAAATCTAGAAACTTGACAGGAACCGCCGAAGAATGAATGTAATTTAATTTAAGGAAATTGCAGTATGAATGACACTCCATATTTTATCGTCATGCAACAATTTCTTACAAAAGAGGGCGCGCTACACAAACACTGCTCACCGCGCTCCGACGTCTGGCCGTTCGTTATTTCAACACAGTTACTGTGAAATTGGGAACTCAAGATAAACACATTGTATTGCAATGAAATTTCTTGCAATATATTGTAACGGTGTTTGACACGAAAATCTAGAAACTTGTCAGGAACCGCCGAAGAATGAATGTAATATAATTTAAGGAAATTGCAGTATGAAGGACAATCCGTATTATCTCGTCATGTCGACACAGTTTTTGTGAAATTGGGAACTCAAGATAAACACATTGCATTGCAATGAAATTTCTTGTAATAATTTGTCATGGTATTTGACACGAAAATCTAGAAACTTGACAGGAACCGCCGAAGAATGAAATTGAGATCAGCACCCATCAGCCGTTCTCGGCGCCATGTTTGCAGGGCGGGGTACAAGCGAAGGGTTAACATGGAATTATGGCTTGCTGCACGTGCGTACATCTCGTTACTAAGGGTTCTGTGCTTACAGGGTTAGCACATATTTTTTCCGCTAGCGCGGTAAGTGGAAATTGATGATCGTTAGCACAGAATTATGTGGTTAGCAGCTTCTCGAAATTGGGCCCGGGTAGACATAGCTTCCAAACACGGGTACGGGTATGGCAAAACAAATCTGGTCTGTTGCCGTTCTTTTGCGGCTGTGTCCCGTTCCCTTTTCAAAATGAGCTGTTTTTTTTCATGGCGAATACCGAACGCTTGAGTATTACTATTGCAAGGTAATTAAAGCTGAATCCATAAAAAATTAATAAACAATGTGTTTGTCAGAATAAGGACCGCCTGAGGGCGGAATCACAGCTGATGTGTCCAATCCGCCAACGCACCCTTGTATTCCGAGTCAACGTCTTTGCGACAATGACAACAGGCATAATACACAAATAGAAACTTTGTTCGGTTTTGTATTTTTCCCGTAAATTGATATTTGCACTTTCACATCATCTGTTTAAACGCTTCAAGCGATAGGCCCAACCCGGATATGTCTACGTTAGTTTTTTTTTCCATGGGCGGTTTGTTTTTGTTCGTAAATGTGTTCAATCTCCATGTAAATAAAGACAATTACGCGTTGTGGGTGTGGGAAATAGTGTTGCAAATACTAATTCCTAAGCTGGCGAGGTGGAAGCCATCATACTCATTGAATAAAATCAAGTCATATAGGCAAACGTATTGCGACTTGCGAATTACCCCGTAATTCCAAAGTACAGAATTGAGCCGTGCACGCGTGTCGCCGTTGGCGTTGAATTTTTACGCCTGGGGCGAAATTTTCGGTACCTTTTAAGATTGAATTAAGTGACACATTAATTTATCTGTCTAGCCGGCCATGGGGTGGAGCAGCTGTGGTTTTAGCTCCGGGTCTAAAACAAAAATATTTGGAAAAACCGTTCGTCCGTGTAATTGTGACTTTCACATGTAGCTCACTTGGAAAGTATAATGTGCAATTAATTCCAATTCAGTTGGAATTATCTCAGAAATTAACTCCTACCGGCTCATAGTCGATCACGTTGAGTAAACAACTAGGTGAACGTAAAATAATATGTTTGCTTTTCTTTCAATTAATGGATTTTAACAAATTTAAACTCTTGCTGAAACTTCACTGCTTCACTGGGTAAATTACCTGAATGACCGCATTTAATTATCGGAATCGAAGGAGGCTTGATGTGGTGTTAAAAAGGGGTCAGCGTTATGGGAGGGGTAGTTAAGTACGGACGACTCAGCGGGAAGGACATGTGAGGTGATGGCATTGTGTTCCTTTTATCCGTTTTTCTAAAGATTTCACGTCCGGGGTGATGTTTTTCTATAGGTTTCGCATTATGGGGTGATTTCCTGAAAGGACCATCACCCGCCCACATGTGGGTTTTGGTGAGCATGGGGGGGGTCGCACTTGACTTTTTCTGTGTTTGGTCGTCGGTCAAGAGAGCCACGTAGGATCATTTGCAATTGCCCGAAAAAGCACTGCCGATTTGATGACAGAAATATTGCTCGAAGTGTTGACAGGACTGCAGTAACCATTTCCCTGTGAATTAATTCGCCTATCGTTTTGAAGAACTCTAACATCGAAGGTGTGTCATGGAGTGTCATGGCCTAGCGGTTTAAGAGCACCGGATCAATGCTCTGGTTTTGAAGGCAACAGTGGCGTGGGTTCGAGGCCGCCGGGTGGACACTTGTGCCCTTAAGCAAGGCACATTATTGCTTCGTCCTTCGGATGGGACGTAAAGCCCTAGGTCCCGTGTGTTGTGTAATGCAATTCACGTAAAAGAACCCAGTAACACTTATCGCCAAGAGAAGGGGTTTGAACCGGTGTTTTTGGCCTCCAGTATATAAACTCTGTATACACTCCCACGCGGAGTATTTAGGAGAAGAACGTACCAAGAACCAAGGTGGTTTCAAGGTGCATGCCCGCGGACACCCTTGCTTTTCCGTGCGTTAGCAACGGATCATTTTACGAGACTACAAAACAAAACAAACAAAACAAAAAATGCGCATATACATTTTCCCCGTTTTCTCAAAATGTATCCAGTATTCATTGAGCTGATGATGATGCGACGATATATGCTATTTCCGATCTCGAATGTCCGTCAGCCACTCAATGTCCTTTTCGGTGGAGGACTGCAACGACCCGTCCAGGCGGCTTAGCGATCAGTCCGCCACTAGAGGCTCACCTCACCGCAATCAAAAAAATGGTGGATGCTGCGTAGCCCCACTTGTGTAGGTTGCTGCGGCACGGCCCATCAGGGGGAATCTGAACTTTAACAAGTTAGGTTGTGAATTCCAGTCCCACCTGAGTGATTTTTTCCAACTTTCACCCGGGAAGTAACACACTGAGTATATAATACAGTGTTTATGCGTCAATGAAGGGCTAAACCTAATTTGAAGTTAGTTGTTATGCACCAGTATTTACGATTTTGAGCAATTTTGTTGCTTTAAACGAAAACGAAATGCACAAAAAGTAAGAGATCTTATACGTACCACCAAGGTTTAGTTTCTTGTCCTATTTGATTATTTACAACACACCTTAAGCCTGACTTGAAAATAACTAAAATCAAATCAAATTGACACACAAGGGGTGGGGGTCCAGTGGGGACTGGAGTGAGGGAGTCGGGTCGGGATGAAGGGGGGGGGGGGCGGAGGAAAACATGTGTTATGGAACTTGCCACTCTGTGCTAAATATGACAAAATGATCAGCCCGGACAATCACCTGTTATATTCTCACAAAATGTTCGCGCATCGCCAATCAAACATTTTCGTTAAACAAAAAAAATATCGAGGTACCCAAGCGATATGTTTCCCAGTCAAGTTTACGCCCCAAAAACCTCTCACTACAGCTGTGCATTGGATCAGACGGCGTAATCCCTCAAATAAACATGTTCTCAGCTAGAGTAATTGGTTCTGCTTGCGCTTTCTCTTCGAAAGCGGTCAGAGAAAGCCGAGCTGATTACCGTGTAACGTGAACAAAAGACGCACGACTGGAGCAACGGCTGTGCGTGCGTGCGACATGTGCCAACATTTACAACCGACTTGAAACCGAGTTAAGTGCGTGGAAAATAAACTATGGTGTGCAAATTGAACATTACCTCTAAATAGAGATATCTCTGTTCTAATAGACATTGATCTATTTCTAGACTTACGAAGTTTTTTTTTTTTTTGCCCCGACAAATATAGATAGAGATATAGCTCTATACGTAATAGAGATATCCCTAGAAAAAGATATATTTATTTCCAAGCCATATAGTTATAAAAGCGATATCTTTGATTGTGTTCCGGTGGATGAGGTCATGGTGCAATCAATTATGGTTTAATAGGTTTTAAACAAGATAAACTTGGGGGTTTCAAATTTTTCATTTTTTTTGTTTCTTGCATCATCGCTAAATCTGATGGAGAATTTGGCACCTCATCTGGCAAGAACGGAACATATCTCTATTGCATAATAGAGATATTTCTTTTTGTTATATAGATAAGCATTACAATATCTTTATTAAAAAAAAGAGATGAATCAGAAATAGAGATATTCGAGTATACCCTACTAAAAATAGAAAAATCTCAAATCGGGCAAGCAGGAAACATCAATTTGAAATTGTGAGATATCTCCATCAAAAATGTAGATATTCGAGTATTAGAAATAGAACAAATAGAGAAACATCCATTTGAAGTAAGAGATATCTGTATCAGAAATATAGATTTTCGATTTCTAGAAATAGAAATATCTGTATTACAGACATAGATATCTTGATTACAAATTTCAGTATTTTAATAGATATATCTTCTTTGAAAAAGACCTACATGGTGATTTATCTCTATTTCAGAATTAAATGTTAAAGTTGCATGCCATATCTTTTAAAGCCAAGTAATTGAGATTTCCGATGAGTGACCAAATCTACGTGAGACTTCACGTGCGGCAATTTGTTTGCGTTTCTCATGCTTGGGCAAGTTGGTGTTCGGGTTTGGGGACCTTTTTGGATGTGTATGGAATTTAAATTGGACATTATTCCCGCTTGACCAATATACGTCTGAATTGAGCCACCGCTCGTTCGTTACCTGGTACTGCTCCACACACACAAAAACTGTCTGAAAAATCATTCAATCACTCAATTCGGCATTTTATTCCCATAATGGCATTTGCATAACACAGCCATTGCACTTATGATATTGATTGAATAATACAGTTACCGAAGCAAAGGGAATGGGAGTTGTGACCAGAATTACAACAGCTGATTTATCAAAATTAATAATACAGTCCCAAAGTGAGCTGAATGAGAGATAGATTGTAATCGGAATGAGGCCTATACCAAACATCAGTGTAACCAACAACAGATTAACAACACCAGAATAACAATACCATATAGTAACAATACCCTAATTTAAAACATTAATTTTGAAGCTCCGGGCTTCTGCACACGTGGCTTCTCATATGGATGATATCAATTGAAATCACTCGTTATTTTGCAGTGTTTTGGTCCGTTTGCACAAAGAGTTAAAGGGAATGTACAACATTTGCTTTTGCTGCAATTTTCAAAAATAAATAGATTTTGAGTATTAATATGATGTAGCAACTATTGTTACACTAACTTGTTTTCACGTTTTGGGCTTGTAGATGCTGGAAACCAAGAAAACCAATCATGTTCTTGTAGTCTTGTTCCCTGATCCCACTTAAGATGAAACGGAGCAGTTTGTAGACTTTGGGGTTTTGTAAGGTCAGAGAATCAGTCTAGCAGACATGTACCTTCACAGGTGTGTAATCAATTGCAATGGAAATGCGGAATAACAAAATATGAAAACTTAGGGGCAGTTTAAAAAGAAGAACAATTTTCTCCAAGGCTGGTAGGCCGACCAGCGTTGGAAAAATACAAATTTGCTTGGAAATTTCAGCACACCAGGAGCCACGATTTTAAAGGATGCTTTACACAGTCATTCCCTAACAATCAAGTAAGATATTTCGTGATAATTTTGATCGTTTCGTTTATTTGATGTCTGCAAATATTGTATCTTCCCTTTAAAATATGGAGAGACGGCAGAGTAGCATGCGAGGCAAACCGTCAAATTAAACGGTGTTAAATTAAAACGAAAGTGCAGCCGATACACATGGGGGATATTCCCGCCGATAGACCTACTTCTGGGCGCTCACTGTCGACAGGATAGAACAAAGTGGGCGTAATTCCTGGAAAAAAAATGCAAGTAACGTTATTTTTTGTGTGATTTGATATCGGTAATGTTGCATGATATGGTGTGATCACACACACAAAATATATAAAAAAAAAAATCCGATTTCATATATAATTAAAGCGAAAGATAACTTCAAGGAGGGACTGTCCCATTTGTATCCCTGTCAACGAGGTGGCGAATTGTTAACAATCTTCCAAGAAAAGTTAACAATTTTCGTTTTTTTCCCCTTGGTTTTATGAAAGCGCATGCACTCAGTGTAAAATTAACGGGTACAGTTTGAACGAAAAGGGTTATTTATAAAATGGGGGAGTGGAACAACTGTATACTGGAGCACTAGTCTGTTGGCGATTTTTTTTTGGAGGGGGGTCCTCAGAAATACTTTTCGCAATAAAAATTGTGATACATGTACATGTACAGGGTGAGTAAAAAAAACACGAAACCCAAATGTCGGGACAATTGTTTTAGTGAAGTTCTGCATGAAGTACTTTTAAAATCTAGGATATAAAAGCCCAATTCATAAGCTTTCTTTTAGTACAAAAATCATTCAAATTACTTATATCCTTTTCAAGTTAGGGAGTTTTAAACGCAACCGCCGTTTTAAAGTTCTGTCCACGGATCACACAAAAGGTGTGTGTTCTTTCAGCAAAACGAAAACAATTCACAAACATCCTTATGTGATTTGTTTTCGTGTTGCTGAGAGAACACCTAACTTTTTTTGTGATCCGTGGACAGAACCTTAAAGCGGCGGCTGTGTTTAAAACTCCGTAACTTAAAAAGTACATAAGTGATTTGAATGTTTCTTGTACTAAACAAAAGCTTATGAATTGGGCTTTTATATCCTAGATTTTAAAAGGGCTACATGCAGAACTTCACTACAAAAATGGTTCCGACATTTGGGTTTCGGGTTTTTTTTACTCACCCTGTACTGTGCTTCCTGCTTTGCGCGCTATTTTGAGACAAGGACCGAATGAGAAACACTAAACAGAAGAGAATCAAGATTCATTAATGATTCATATAAAATCAGAGAACGTGGGGAATATTACCAAGCAATACGACTCCATTAACTGTCATCTTGGACATAATGTTATAAAGCTAGTGTCGACGAGGTGCGGCGCTGTTTTGAATTGGAAATTGTCAAAAGGAAAACAAAGTCGCTCGTGGCCGACGTGTTTTTGTGCCTATACAGGGTGAGCACAGAAAAACCCGAAGCCCAAATGTTGGGCCCATTGTTTTAAGGAAGTTCTGCATGTAGCATTTTCAAAATCTTTGATATGAAAGCTCAATTCAGAAGCTTTCTTTTAGGACAAGAATCATTCAAATCACTTATGTACTTTTCAAGTTACAGAATTTTAAACACAACCACCGTTTTAAGGTTCTGTCCACGGATCACAAAAAAAAGTTCAGTGTTCCTTCAGCACAACGAAAACAAATCACATAGGGATGTGTGTGAATTGTTTTCGTTTTGCCTTTTCTCTGATCCGTTGACAGAACCTTAAAACAGTGGTTTAATATGGTTCCTCATTATCAATCTTTTGTTTATACTCCAACTTGTAGCAGCAGCTCCCATTGGTTTTGTTCACATTTTCTAAGCGATAATCAATTTATACCATACACACGCACACACATAGACAAAACCTTACAAATTATTGAAAAGAATAAACAAGGTGAAGAACTTGCTAAATTAAGACAGAATATAATCTAGGTTGCATAATTGGACATTAAGCTCTATACCTCAGTATAATTGGACAATAACCTCTATACATCAGTTACCAACCCAACATGAACCTACAACATACGCTTCCGTCTAATATTTGAATTCTAATGGAACATTCATCATAGCTTTAGACAACCCCGAACAAAGCAAACAAAAAGGGAACTTGTGAGTCTACTTTATAATGTGTTGGACAAGGCCTCCAAAGTCTTTTTGGTCTCCAGGGGTTTAAAAGAAGAAGAAAAGAAATCAGCTCCGGATCTAGAATTGGTTCCGCTTTTTCTTTCTCATTCAACACTATCATACACACAGAAACTTGTTCAATATAGACGCGGAGGCGGTGTCGCTCAACTCAGTAAAATCGTAGCATTATGCTTCCTTCTATATATAGAAGGAAGCATAATGGTCCAACAAATATGTATTTACTGGTCTCGTTGCCATTGATCTCCATTTACACTCGCCGTATAATCCGCCTTTTTTTCGAGGAACTCGGATGGTTCCGGCTCATTTGGGTTGTTCCGTGTTATTATTGTTATCAGCAGGTGCAATGTAGAGGCGGTTGCCAGACAGCAATCATCGCAAAATCTACGGAACCATCCAGCTGTTGCCCTCAGCTTATGTAAGACATTTTTAGTGGGGTTTTTTTGTGAGGTTGCCTTTTTCCTCCATTTTCCTCTACCCAGCCAGACGTTCCCCTTATGTGCTACTCAGACACTTTTCCTCGTGAAGTTGCCAATTTGTGGTTGTCATGCAATAATTCAAAGAGATGTGTTGTTATGGAGAGAGCCCCATGCAGACATTTGAAGACAATTAATGTGGAGGGGCGGGCAATAGGGCCGAAGGGAGGGAATCCAAACCAATTTAAAACCTGTGGTAGCAGGTTTACCTTTTGTTGAGGACACTTTAATCCTGTGTACCGGATGTTGGAGCCAAAAGAGGAGAGGGTTTGAAATTTAAGTTCCCCTGTGGAATACACAAAGAGGGTGTCAGAACACGGAGGAAAATAACATTGAAGGCAGCTGGGGAAAAATCGTCTATCCGGGAAAATGGCCAAGAGACGAGGAAATAAAGTGAATACAATTTGTCAATTCAATACAAATCTATGTGTGTGTGCTCCTTTTTATTCTTAATCGTCAAAGTTGGGCTTGTTGGCGCACACTCGCCTGATGATTTTTTTCAGTGCCTTAGGCGACACTTGTGTATGAATGTCGATGGTTGCAGAACGAACCACTCTTTTGTATAAAATGACGTCTGTTTTACCGACAGTTGACACATGAGTTGTGAAACGCCACATTTACCTCAAATGCGCATGCGTGATTTGTTGTAGAATCCCATTAATGTGATTGGCTGAAAACTTGCCAGTCCGTATGCGTAAAAAAACACACGATCGTCTGTTTTGGCCGTGCATCGCTTGGACTTGGTATCTGAGTCGGATCTGATATTTTGTGCGATTCCCAGAAAGTTAGTCTACCGTGAAGAGGAAACGTACGTAGTAAGCCAAGGTCCGCGATGAATGAATAACAGTTGTATTTTTGTCTGATCAACGGTTAGCTATGACGAATAAAACCCAGTGATTCCGTTGAGGTGGTGGACTCCGCTTCGCAGAAACTGTATTTGTTTTGCGGGAGGAGTTTTTGCATCGTTGGACGGGGGAAATCCCACGCGCGTGGGAGTTGCCCTTCGGGTTCATGGTTCGACTTCCATCGACTCTTTGAACGGGTTTGTTGTTTGACTTTTAGTTTGCTTTGCGTGTATCTGTGGCTGCTGCATCCGTGTAGAAGACCTTTGCAAGTTGAAGATACCAGTGTTGAAGATAACGGTGCGATCATCATTTAATATCAGTGATTATTTTTGGAAAGCAGATCAACTGCAAATGATGACAACCTTCCTTGCGAAATAGTATTTTCACAAAAGTATAATTATTTAGACTGCAGTTAGGTTCTTCAACTTTTTAAGCGAGACTGCTGCACGCGTCAAATATGGAGCCTCGTGTGAAAGTGGTTTCCTTGCGTCCCTATTAACTGTCTTAACGCACTGTAGGTGTTAAACTCTGAGGTCGGAATCCTTCTTGCAACGATAACAGTCTCCACAAGTGAGCTTTTAACGAGATCTGTGACTTTCGCGTGATATATGTACAATTGTTGTGCCTCAAGAAAGTGGGTTTGCCACGTAAGGATTTGGCCTCACGCAAGAGGGACCGTGCCTCACGCAAGTGGATTGTGCCTCACAGCAGTGAACTGTACCTCACGTAAATTAGATTGTCACTCACGCTAATGGATTGTGCCTCACGCAAGTGGAACTGTGCCTCATGTTAGTGAGATTGTGTCTCTGACTCGTGGAATTGAACATCGTACTGATTGGATTTTGCCTCACGCAAGTGGGGAGTGTGCGTCACGTAAGTGGGACCTTGCCTCACGCAAGTGGGGAGTGTGCGTCACGTAAGTGGGAACTTGCCTCACGCAAGTGGGGAGTGTGCCTCACGTAAGTGGGAACTTGCCTCACGCAAGTGGGGAGTGTGCCTCACGTAAGTAGGATTGTGCCTCACGTAATTGAATCTTACCTCGTGTGAGTTCAATTTTACCGCGTGTGGAATTTTGTAAGACGTGTGTTTGATTTTGGTTTCACGCAAGTGGCATCTCCCACGAGCGTACATTGCAAGTCCTCGCCTCGAAGTTGGGTTGTGTTTTTTTTTTTTTAAGTATCGCCACAGAGCCTGTCACGTCCTTGCTGGTGAAACTTTAGTTACTGCAAAGAACACAGGAAGCTTGAAGACCAGACTACTGCGGGAACTATGTTTGATATTTTGCCACCAATGAGTTCAGACGGACATTTGCCAACACCGGTCGGTCAGTGTGTTGGCAAGCAACGCCCCAATCCGAACCCACGTAAAATGAGCAATCAATCTCCCGACGTTGATCCAAATCAATGCAATGATCCTTCTCCAAACCTTCAAGATAATCGGGATTTCAACCGGCATCCAAATTCTTTCCCAAATATGCATTTGAACTCGGTTGTCGATTCGTCAGAGACCTACCCACGTCCTGAACAGTGCCACAATACCAACAATAGGCCTCAGCCAAATCTTAACCAAAATCATATTTCAAACGGAACCCAACCACGCCAAACCCTTAGTTCTGATCTTATTTCCCAGAATACATCTTCGGCTAATCCCTTCGTTAATCCACACCTCCATCAAAATCCAGTTAATCCTCCTGGCGGTCAAAAACTCAACAGTTCTCCGCTATCGCGGCTCAGTTGTGATTATCAACACAATAATCAACAGAAACAACAGCATCAGCAGCAGCAATATCAACAACTTCAACAACAAGAACAACAATTTAAACAGAAGGGTCAACAACTTCAATTGCAGCATCAACAGCTTCGATATCAGCATCAGCACCAATATCAACAGCATAATCATGATCAACAGCAGCAACAACAACAGCAGCAGCAGCAGAAGCATCCACAGCAGCATCTAGGACAACCTCATCAACAGCAGTATCATCATCTGCAGTTGCAGTCCCAGCAACCTCAAATTCAGGGACAACAACCAGACCGTTATCATCATCAGCAGCAGCAACAGCAGCAGCAGCAGCAACAACAACAACAACAGTTGCAGCATCGATTTAAATTCTCAGTGCACACATGGGTTCAACCAGTTCCAACGGTCCCCGATAAGACTAACTGCCTGAGTCACAACCCTGAACACACACGGTGCCAAACGGGTTGCCAGGAAAACTGCCCGAGTTTACAAGAACGCATGCCATCTTGTGACGTCCGAGAATGTACCGAACCCCCTCGTCACGACTGCATGTTTGCCAAATTCAAATCCAAACCACCATCGGCCATCACGTCAACTGAGAGTTGGAACATCTCCAGGTCGGCCTCCCACACACAGCTCCAGACTCCAGCGCAGAACCCATGTCACAACCCTGGACAGACGAGCGGTCCCGCATTCGGGACATCCCCTCGACAAGACTGCATGATGTCAGCAGGCCTGCCTGAATCACCCACGTGTATAAAGGCTGTTTTTAACCAGTCCCAACACAACTCACTAACACAGTCATTTCCGCGTTCGCCACGTTCGAAACAGCCTCATTACCGAAACGAACTGCAACAGGGACAGAAACTGCTCGAGATGAAGAGACAGAGCGGTGACCAGAAACGGCGGTACATGCCGCCAGATCCACCGTGGGGTAGGGCTGGGAGCACGACGACAGGACCGTGGTCTGGGAACTTTGGACCGGGGCCAGAGCAGCTTGCTACACGGGACGATCGCTGCGATCAACCCGGCCAGCACTACGCGGGCTGCTCGGTACAAGAAACTGTTGACGTGCGAGGTAAGTTACTGTCCCTTACCTCAAAATGAAGTAGCTACTCACTATTTTCATCACAGTCCTTAGTTTGTTGCTCTATGGTTGTTCAATGCTGTGTGAATATTGGGGGTTTTTTTAACCAGGAGAGTAGATTATGTTGAACCCTTGTGATCACTTTAATATTGGCGTACAATCCGTAGATGGTACGTGTGTCCTAACTTGGCAAAGTAACCCCTCAGCATCCCCGATAGTGTTAATTTGCGAGGGACGTACGATATTCAGTGACAGGGGAAACATTATTCGTGTGTCATCGGAGCCTGGTTATGTACCCTGCTGCTTTTTCACACAAATGGTGGGGTCTGTCTGCGAACAGAAAGATCTAGAAAATGTGTTGCATGTGTGGAAGTTATTGGGAAATGTTTAGGAAGTTTCAAGCTCATGCATCGTGTTCATAACTTCAGAAAATTTACAACAATACTAACTTTCGGTACAAAATGTCCCATCGAGGACCTCAGTCAGTTTTCCAAGTTAAACACAGGGTAAGACAAGACATAAATTCTAGCCTAAATTGATCATGACTTGGCAAAAGTACCTTGGTTGGGCGTGGTTTTGGTGCTGCACATAACGTCCATGCATCGTACCATAGTCTGGCGCCATAGCATACTGCAGTGTTTGTCAACATTAGTCAACCCATTTAGTAGAAGTCTTGGGACACGTCTCTTTCATAGATGTGTCAAAGGTCGAGCATTGTACACCAAAGAAACACGATACAATGAAACGGTACAACGACAAGTTACGGGTGGGAAACTGACGTGGTACGAAACAAACACCCGATTAATTTTTCAAACAATTATCAACTTTAATTAAGCACTTGTAATGGGGAGAAGGGTACCTAAATTTTTGCATTTTAAACGATGGAGGTTGGTTGAATTTATCGCTTCTATTTTACATATACACTTTTGTTCGTCGTTTTTAGGACTCTAAATAATGTTGTTTTTTAATCCCCAAATGTTTTAAAATGTTTCCATTTAAAGTGATTCATGTCACGGTCTTCTGACAGACAATCTATAAAACAAGAAGATTTTTTGTTTGACATACAAACTCTATATAAACAGAGAAAAACCAAGTCGTTTCACTGAAAAAGATCGATTACGCTGTAACATGTTAATTCCTGTACTATTATACCGAATGTTTTCGAGGATAGATTTACGAAATACTATTCTTGAAGAAAATCGATGGCTGCGATCAAATTGCATAATCTTTGCTGAATGACACATACGTTAGGCTTTACGAATCGGTGTTTTGCTTGGTGTCCCCGATGACGTCTGTTAATTGGGGAAATTACAAAAATAAATAAACGGGAAAATGTAACTGACTGACAACATAAACACAGGGAAATTTTCCTTTTTTTGGTCATTAGCTTGTTTTCCTGGATGGGTAAAATGTCTTTCCGGGAATGCACATTGTCACATGCCCTTAACCCTAAAAGATCCGGGGGGGGGGGTGGAGTTCGCCCCCTCAACTTTTTCCGCGATACCCTTGCGACCCAAGCTTTCCTGACGTTTTAGCCTCGAGTCTTGCACATCTTTTGATACCAAAAACATAAAACTCCCGCCATGGGTTGCCGCGCAGCAATTTTTGTTTTTCGGCGTTATTAGGCGCCGTGAAAACTGAATTTCCCTATTATGTAGTGTACACAAAGCAGAATTACCATTGGTGCATAAGAATAATCAATTAGCCATAATTCCGAAACCCTTCAACTTATAGTCATGACATTTCCTGGGTATGCTCATATTAAGTTGTTCTATGCATGCACCGAGTTTCATAATTGTTCGTCACTCGATGGCCGGGATTTTTTTTTTTTTGGGGGGGGGGCGCGGAATGGTCAAAATAACCCGGCCCCTTTAGGGTTAAACAGACTGTTAAGTTAGATTGTTTATTACAATGTTGCAAGAATTGGGGATGGTAGTAAGGCCCAAAAAAAAAAGTCTCCGGTTTCTGGTATGGAGCTTGCCCAAAAAGTGATGCGGCGACGCGGCTTTTTTTTTTTTTACCTGACTTTTTTGCTTCAAATGTGTGCTGATGACTGCAAATGGTGTCCGACTAAACTTAGTGCAAATATATGGGAGTCCAGAGAGGCCACATAAAGCTTATTCTCGACCATAACCCAATCTAAAAACACGTTAAAATTGTGCAGCAGCAGTATTCCAGTCAAACCAGTGAGTTTGGCGGTTTTGAGACATCATCTTTCATAATTTTTTTTTTTTTTTTCATTTTGCCGACGCGCATGGCTACGGCGACGCGCGCGCATACCAGAAACCGGAGACTTTTTTTTTTGGCCTAATGGAGTGCCTTAAATATGTAAGCTAATGTTGGAGAGAAAGAGTCAGTGCTGGGAGGTCTTTTGTATTTTGTATGCTTTTGTATTAACTTTTAAAAATAAATGCAAACTTAACATGACTAATGCATTTCCGCAGGTGCATGGTCCTGTGATAAATAGAAAGCACACACATTGCTGTTGACAGGACAGGCCTGGTCAACAGTTTGTACAGAAATAAACAGTTAATTTACGAGTCATAAAATGCCCCGGGAATTGTCGGAAATATCTGTACACTAAGTCTGGAAAGTGGATTTGACAAACGAGGAAGACCCCAGGCTGTGCGTGTCTATAGTTTCAGGAGAAGGAGGGTTGTCAAACGGCCCTAGAACTTGAAAATGAGCGGTTCCTTTAGGAAAAACAAATCTGCTCTTTTTTCCCTCCAAATTATTATGGTAGGGCCACCTGCTGCTTCCCCCCTCCCAGATCCGCCCGGTGCACCCCTCACCTGGTGTTTGGCTTAGTTTTTTTCCGGGATGTAGGTCTAAATTTGTCGAAAAGTTGGTGCAACCGGGGCAGTAGGAAGGATTGATTTCAAAGAGCTGAACTTTCAATCAGTCAAAAGGACTAACAATCAATCAGTTAATCAATGAAACAAACAATTTCTGGGATATCAGCAGCTGCCATACGGGCTATAGATGTCCCGTAGGATTCTGTAGGCAGTGACGTCATTTGGGAGATGTTTAGGGCGAGTCAGAATAATCAAGATCCAAGTTCACCGTTTTTGTGTGTGGCAAATAGAGTATATTGAGGGGAAAAAACTGGAATTTTGAATTTTTCAAATTAGTGGCTTTGGTGAGGATTTATGCCATTTTTATTGAGTGGCTCATTTTCAATCTGCACACGGAATTGGTTTTTAAATGTGTCAATAACTTCAAGTGAGTCAGTCACCATGAATATGTTTTTATTTGTTATTGCACCGCTTCACATCAGAATGCGATTTCAATGAATTTGTAAAACCTTGGAACCGTGGTCGGAGTGTTTTGTTGGTGTTTTGTTAGCGTGTGTTCTTTGCTAGCGCTTTTCTTCCAAATGGTACAATGGATATACATGAAACTTTCACCAGATATGTCCAAAATACCAGCCTATAACATAATCTAATTTGCACTGGTTTTAATAATTGCTACAATTTTTTAAAAATATTTTCTTTAATTTGGGTCCAGATCATTCTGACTCACCCTGCATATGACGGGCGAAAATAATCTTAGAAGATGCCGTACTCGCGCATGCACGCGTTCTGAAATTGAGGCGCGCGTGCATAATTATTAGCAACCCCATTGGTTGAAAGAGTACTGCGTGTGCGCACGCGACCAGCGCACGACCAAGCACGTGGTAACAAGCTCCGTCGTGTTGATATTGAATGTGGCTGACAATGAGGTCTTTCACATCTTAACAGTGGTATAGTTATGCTAAGTGTGACGAATGTCTAGTCGAAATGTCGTTCAATGGTTAGAGCCATGGGCTAAATTCGAGGTTAAATTGGAGTCAGTTCTGACAGCCAAATCTAAATTTTGTGAGGATTAGACTATACCTCTGCAGTTTTCACAGCAAGACCGACAATAAGTTTGGCCTCTTCGGGTTGGCTATATAAGATTTTCAAAAAGCACCGTTGACCGTTATTTAAGCTTAGAGAGCTATTTAGATCTCATCTGACAATTTCCCTTAATTTTGTTGGTCTCTTATTGCAGCTATTATTAATAAAATCAGGGTGTTTTATGTGAAGTTAGTGCTTCGGGGTGGACATATGTAAGTTAATGATAAGATTTCAAAGAGCACTGTGGAGTGTTATTTTATAAGCTTAGAGAGCTATGTAGATTTCATCTGACAATTTCCCTTAATTTTGCTGGTCTCTTTTTTGGAGCTATTATTCATACAACTGTGTGTTTTTATGTAAAGTTAACGTTTTTGTAATCGTAAATCGATTGCACTTAAATCTGCCCCCTATAGCAATCGTTACTGCTCCTTGATTAGATGTCGAAATTGGTCAGTAGACCTGCCCCCCAGGAAGTGAAATATAACAAATTCACCTTGACATTCTAGCCAAGCGGGGGTCCGAAAGAGGAAGTCAAGATTAAAGTTGGATTAGAGTGTTGCAGATTAGTGTTGTTAAACAGGTGGGTTTTTTCTCCGGGGAGTTTATCTTAAAGTCGAACTCCGAAACCTCCAAAAAGGGAGGTGACCCAATTATTATCGAAAGCTCATTTTGTGCTCAACCAGGGGCAATTCCACGGAGCTGCTTAGCGGAAGGTACTAATTAGCAGAGTTTCGTGCTTAGAGATAATTGGCACATTGCCAGTCAACAGCAAGATACCTAACATGACGTTTTTGTTTAGCAAATCTCTTCTATGCTTAGCAGAATTGTAGCTAGATAACTGATTCCTGACGATAAGCTTACAAGTCAAGAAAGTATTGATCGCTTCGGATTTTAGTTAAGGTCAGTAGCTACGCATACTACCGCATACACACAAATCACCCCACAATCTACAATCCTGGCCAAATCTCGCTGGGCCCCCAACCCCCCAGCCCCCGCTCAATGTTGTCTCTCATTGCGCGGTGTGTGCTCCATCCGCTGAAGAGAACATCATTGCGCGATGTGTGCTCCATCCGCTGAAGAGAACAGCATTGACCGGGGCAGCGGGGGAGTTGG